AAACATTCTTCTATTTCTTTCTAGATATGAACAGATTAAATTAAAAAACAAAGGTCTATTTTACTAATATTTTTTTTAAAAACATCTTTTTCTATTAGTTCATCATTTATATCGTGTAAAAGATTATTATCTGTGAAAAATTCTGAAGAAGAATAAAAAAAAAATATGAATTTCGAAAAATAAATAAACTTCTTGTGGTAAATCGTGGTTAAATTACCATTCGAGCATTTCATGCATGTAACGAAAATAATATTCGAATAGTAGCTATCTATTCACTTGAAAATAAATATACTATTTAGTAATAATTAAAGGAGCACTTAAAAATGATATTAATGCTATTCATCCAGATTATGGTTTTCTCTCAGCAAATGGAGATTTTGCTAAAGCATGTATTGAAACTGATATTATGTTTATTGGTCTAACATTGGATGTTATTTATTGAATAGAAAATAAATTAAATACGCCGCAAGTAGGTAAAAAGAAAAAATATCATAAAAAGATAATAAAAGAATTTGTTTTGTTCTTAAAAAGCTATTGATGATGATGTACCAGGACTGCTATATGTATCCCATTTCCCTATTTGGTAACTGCAACATTTCATACACTATTTGGCTTTTCGTGCCTGTTTCTGCGACAAACTGATCTTTTAATTGACGAAATGAGCTATGTTATTCTATAGTTTCTTTTTTTTACAGAGATATTTAAAAATGAAATGTACTAGTAAATAGTGCACCATTAAACATCAGGATCCACCGTATTCATTTTTGTTGCGTCTGGAGTTATTCAGTTTTCTATTTCTCATTTTTTCTCCACGAATTTGCTAATCTGTCTGGAATTCGTCAGGAAGTATCGACTAATGTTTACTATTTTTCTGCCATATTTGACGAATATACGTCATTTCAGAAATTTATTTAGAGTTGAATTCTATGGTAAATGAATGATGACAATAATCTTGACGTGGAATCGAACGAAAACGGCAGAATAGAAATTTCTAAAAAATTAGCAACAGAAAAGAGTCTATTAATTCTATCGAAAGATCAACTACGAGTATCTAAAAAAAATAGTTTACCATTAAAGTTGAATAGATGTGAAGAATAAATAGCTATATAAAATAAATACTGGTCTAAGGGACTTGATATTAAGAGTGTGTTAAGATAAAATTTAGTATTTATTTTCAAATTAGATTGTTTTAAAATTGAAAATTTAATTGTGAAAGTTAAGGAAGAAAAGCTAATATCTTGATTTCCGATACTATCACTTATTTCTGATGTATTGACACAATATGGATAAAAATCATAGGAAACCTTCAGAAATAAACAAAATCATGGGAGATTCTCGGGAACCAGTATTTAGAACGATGTAGGGTTGAAATCATCAAACATTAATGAAATTCTTTAGAGACTATTAGAAATCACATCTTCACTTTAAATTTTATCACTGATCGTTTCATAACATTTCCCACTATAATGTTCGAGATCTCTCATATCTTTGCCGCATTTCAATAGGTCTTCAGGATTTTCAATCACTTCTGGTGATTTCGAGCACTAGAAATCAGGTTTTCCTCTTGATGAAAGTGTTTTTTAGTGAAGAAATAATAATAATGTTGATTTCTAATAAATAAGATTCAACTATAATGTTGTTTTTTGTATAAAAGAAGTTTTCTTTTAGCAGTTATCCAAACTAATTCTTCTACTTCAAAAATAAAGTTATGGGCCCCATTTAAGATTTTCTAAATCCCATTTGAAAATTAAAATATAGAAGCCCTGTTATTCAGACACGGTTTTCAAGTCATTCTCAATGATCTCGTTACTGAACAAATGTTTGAAAAAAGTCACAAAAATGGATTGTTTTCAATTGTTTTCTCTGAAGACAATAGTTACTTTTCCAACTTGTGTAACATTGTATGGTTCTTCGTTTAATTCAAGTTATATTTGAGTTTTTGAAGTAAAAATGAATAATAAAACTTCAGACTTGAAGTTCCTGTCAAATTTGAATATAATTTAATACATTTAAATAAGTTATGAGAATGTCACGGAACTAATAACAACACAAGACAGATTTGACCAGCACAAACAGATCAATGTGTCGTTCACAATCTATTCTGCAGTTAATCGAAATACTCTTAAGATATTTTCAACAAGTAAAGCAATTTATTAGCCAAAATCATTCTTGATTTCGTCTTGTCTTTTCCCAATATTTTTCAAAAGATCCTAAAGAGAAACATCGTTTTTTATTTTAATTGGATATTTCAACTATTATTTGACCATATGGTTGTCGATATTCAATCGCAACTTACTTTTCATCCATATCGATTTCTCGACATCAAACTAGAGTTTTGACAGGAAAAATAGCTGAAAAAAAAAACCCATTGAAACTAAGTTTTGAGGTGAAAAATTACAAGAACTCAACGGATTCCAACAAATATCAAGAAGAAACGTTACAAATCAAATAATTCATCAGTAATTAATGTTGTAACACAAGATACCGTCAAGTATCAGGTATCAGACAGATACCCTTAACTTTAAGAGGAAGTTCTATTGAGAGAAAAGTATCGATGAATAGTACACCAACATGAAAAGTTGTAGCAATGGATTTTCCACCTTTTTTCAACTCTCCGATGTATACTAAAGTAAAACTACTTAACCGAAAACACATATGTTCAGTATCTTGGGAGTAAGAATGAATGATGATTGTTTAAATGCCAGACGAAGTCTTTACATGACTATTAGGGTGTGAGAACATTGATCAGCAAACAGAAGGTAACTACAAAACAAAAAACTTGAGTTTTTTGATAAATTGTATTGAGTAAATGCAAAGAGGTTTTCTTAGTTCGACATTGAAAAGTTGTCATAACCTTTACTATGTCGTACTGATAAAAACCATGGTGCCACAGATTGTAATTTAATATACAATATTTTATTGATGCTAGTTGGAATCACAAAGTTATCGTACCGGATAACATCAATATACAGAGCATAGTTCTCGCTTTTCTCTTTTCGTTCATGTAGATTTGTAGAGGACGATGATTTAATCGAATGGCTGTTAGACAAATTTCGTCCAATAAAAACTCAATAAGTTATATTTTCCAATCATATATGCATGCATATACTATAGGATTGATGATGAGTGCGCATTTTCTGTATACCATTCGTTAGAAGCAATTTTCTAACTAAATTAAACTCGTTTTTTTTGCATCTACGAACTGTTTATTTTTTTGATAACCTCACTCACAGATGGCTACTTTGACACTCATATTCTGACTGAAAGCTATTCTCAGGATTGTATCATATTATAGATAGATCAGACGGGATTGGATGATCATTCGGATTTATCCTTACTTTGAATGAATTTTTAGTTAGTTTATGTGAATGATCTGACTCTTTTCTTCAAAACTGAATAGATTTCGACGAAGAAAACTAAACAAAATTAAAGCTAAAGAGTCTTCCAGTATCGAATTCATTTCTATAGTAGATCTACGTACTGAAGAGTTTTGCAAAATAGTACAATAATTAAACAAAATAATACAATAATTAATAAATATGATAAAACATCTATTCTTGTCAAATTCTTATAACTTTCATTCAATAGAAAAAATATTTACAAACATATTTGGAATGTGATTCTCTTATTGACATATAATTTTGCAATATTTCTTTCAATATATATATATATATATTTTTGTTTTCTGATTTAGTTCGTACTGTTCAATTTTTGTCACACATGCAATCTCATCCACACTCACTGACACAATGTCACATTTGGAAAAATATTGACACACAGATAATAAACAAGAAGAAAAAAAAAATTTTGTACCACAGAAATGGATACGACAGCAAAATACAGTATAAGTGACAAAAGAAAAAGAAATTCTTTGATGATATGAATACATGCATAAAGACGATGACACCACCACGGATACACGAAATAGCACCATTGATTGTGTAGGATAGGTATTGATTTTTTTTTAGGAAAATTAAATGAGAAAAAAAAAAAAGATCTGCCACGCCATTTAGATAAATGTTGGTCTTACATCAAAAGTTTGTTAATCATCGAAAAAATAAATAAAATAACACCGGGGTAGTGTTAAATTTAATCATCACGAATTTTAAAACAACAAGATAAATCACCGTTTGGGACCACAATAAATTTCTAAAAACAAAAAATATTCTGCTAATAACTTTTTAAAAAACAAAAAAGAAAAGCACATACGATCACTTTCGCATGCTGGCGAACTTTCAGGTGTAGGTGAATGAGGATAATCATCATTTGACTATTAAAATAAAATAAAAAAGTAATTGAAAAAGAAAAGCTTAATCAATAAACATACAACAACAATAGTTGATTTTGATAATGTAACTGGTTTTAAAATTCCACATTCATCAAATTTAATATCTTCATCATTTTCTGATATCATTTCAAATATATCATTTATTGCTTTTAATTTTTGTCTACTTGACATATCTTTTCAAAGAAAGACATATATTATAATAATACTATTCATTTTATTTATTTTCTTAACTCACCAACACCTGAAGCTGTTTTTGTTAATGTAACAATTCGTTGATTATCATAAGCACAAACTAAATCATTCAGATTAAGTGGTATCAACGAATCGTTCTAGACAAAGAACACAGTTTTTAAATTAAGAAAACAAAGTATTCTTTTTCTTACCGCATAAAAAACAAATTGTCCGATAGATAATTTTAATTTATCAACAATGGGTTGTAAAACTTGTAAAAGTGTTCGTTTTGGATCACATCGTACACATAAAACTTTTAATGGAAAATCAATACGTATTAGAATACGTATTTCAACACGAATTTCTTTTCCAGATAACGTTGATAATGGTTCTTGTGTATCAATTGGCTGCTAGAATACAACGTAAAAGAATAAACTTATGACTCAGGTATAAACAATTAGATAATAAATAGATAACGTCTGACATGAATATAAAAAACCAACAGCAAAAAGAAAAAAAACACATATTTATTTTTTTAATAATGATATCATTACATAAAGTGTTCTATTTATTTCTTTGCATTTGTATTTATTATACAAATGCAAGTTCACCAATTGAGCAAGTTATGGAAAAATTAATTAAACTTATCAGTGAAGATCAAGTAAACGAGATAATTCTTTTTTGAATATATTCATTAATTTTTATTTTTTAGGTTTTAAAACCAGCTGAATTTAAATTTCCACAATGGGAAAAAAAATTAGGTCTTTATCGTTCTGAAATTCGTATAAACTTTTTTGGTGAACCATTACAAGCTGATTTACGTAAAAATAAATATGTTTATGTTTTTGATAATAATATGTTCGCTACTGGGTATGTTAATAATAATTTTCTATTGCTCAAATAAAAATAAAAATAAAAATAAAAATAAAATAAATCTTTTATTTGTATAGTTGGATATTAACTGCATTATTAGAAGCAAATATGTATGGTCGTGCTCCAAAAGTAATTGATACAGAACATTTATCATTAGCTATTGATGCAATTGAAACATTTCATGATCATAATCAAAATGAATCTTCTGTTCCATTGATGACATTTTGGTCTCAAATATATAATCAAACAACAAAAACATGGCAATCAACACCAGATAATTTACGTTTTCTACTTATGGATTTTGATAATAGTCTTAAACTTATTGAAGATATATTAAAATTTCTTGGAATAAAAAATATTGCACAATTAATTGATAAACTTCGTGCAAATGTTGCAGCATTTGAAGATGTTTTTCAAATTCCACCTGATTTTGATGATACATATTTAAATATAGGTTTAGGTGCACAATTAAAATTATTACAAGATAAATATCCATCGGTTTATCAACGTTGGTTAGAAACAAATTCTAATATGAAAAAATTAATCGATTTAACATTACGTTATGCTTATAGACCATCAAGTGAAGATTTAGATTTAAATACAATTGATCCAAGAACATATTTTTGGATGAGAGATTTTGTTCGAGATAATCCACAAGCAATTATAGCAACAACATGGGCACAAAATATAACTGAAGTTCGTACAGTAGCACATCGCGGTATCAGAATGCCTTTTAATCTAAATAATGTTGATGTTACTGTTGGTGCTAATGTTTTATATGGAATTACAAGTGCTATTATTTATGATTTAGTTGATTTTAAAGATTATTTTAATCAAGATATGCAAGTAAATATTATTTGATTTTAATTCTTTGAAAAACTTGTGTTTCTACAAGTTTAAATTATTATTATTATATAAGAATTCGGTCTTGAGGGTCCTAATTTTTTGGACTCATTTTATCTTATCTAACTGAGACAATAAATCAGATGACGTGTTGACACCTGAAAGTTTCTCATAGAGAAAGAAAAAAGAAAATTACAAAGTACAACCAAAGCAATAATATAATCAAGAAAAAAAACAAATAAACTTTCAATGAAACCTCTGTTAAATTTCAATATGAAACATGATAGAATTGTTTTTATTCTAAATGACAGAATCTAAGAAAGAAAGAATCGAACTCCTACCGCCATATGGTTCTCAATAGCAATAAGATGTAATTTACTGTAATGTTTATGGAGATGAGAATGTCATTTTTCCCTATACATTTTCAACAATAAACTAATAATAACTAAAAAATTCAAATATATACTAATGCCTAACATGATGGACTCATTATTATTTTTTGTTTAGTCCTCTTTTTCGTTCTTCTCATAAAAAACAAATTATCTGTCTATTACTAAAAATTAAATCTGAATTTGTTACTCTAGAGTTGAATAGTGATTAATAAATATCGATATATGTATTTTTAGACATTATATTTATCAACAGCATCATTAATAGCATGGTCAATAAAAAATTCAATGAAAAATCGTCCTGATCTTGCACAAGTATATTATCCATCACATTATAATTTTCTTTGGTATGGATCACGTAGTTTATTTCTTCTTGAATTAGCACGTCGTCAAGGAAAAACAATACCCGATATATTCAATCGTGTTTATTCAATATTAGCTGATGTTTATCGTAATGATGTTGTAAAATTTTTTCAAGATCATGTTCGTTCTGATAAATCATCCTATGATGATTTTCTTGGTACAAATGATACAAATATATTTGGAAAATTAGAACCAACAGGTGAAGATAGAATATTTTCAACAGCACAAACTGTTAATGTACTTATTGCTTCATTTACTTATTTGGATACAAATACAGGAAAATTAAAATGGATTATGAATGAACAACAAATTGATACAATTAAAATTATGATTAATAAATCAATATCATGGCTTCTTGATAATGCATTTAAATATCAACCTTTTAATTGTTTTTTTTCAGGTTCTGTTAAAGGTTTAAATCAATTACCATTTTGGTATCCAGCAAATATTTATCAATATTTAAATGGAACTACTTTTGATCCAGATCATTTCGATATGAATAATCAAGCTCTTCTTGTTGATTCAATTGTTGGTGTTAGTGGATATATTGATGAAACAATATATGAACGTATGATATCGGAAAAACATTTTAATAGATCAACACCAACAACATTTAGTGGATATAATGTACCAGGTGCAGAATTTCCTTTTTGGTCCTCACAACCTTATACACATGCGGTAACATTATTAGCACTTGCTCAATATAATAATTTGGATGGATAAATAAAATAAAAAAAAAATATTTGTTTTTGTTTTCCTTACCTGATCATTTGACGATGTTGAATATAATTCTGTTCGATACCAAGTAATTCCACGTTTAGCAAACAAATGATTTATTGCTTTTTGAATAGTTACATTAGTACAATTATGTGTTAAAACTACTGCTGATGTTTGATCAGGAAATATAAAACGACAAAAACGAGATGTATCTATTGATAATGTTGAAGAATTTTCCTATAGAATAAATTCATGTGAAATTTTTCTAATCAAAAAATCTAAATAAGAATAACTCACAGTTAAAGTTTTCTTTTCAGAAAATGAAATTGATTCTTGATTTGTTTCTGGACGTGAAATAAAATTAAATGTTGGCGAATCTTGTTGAGTAGTATTTGGTGAAATTCTATTTATTTTATTTGATAAATTTCCACTATTCACTGATATTGTTAATGAAGAAGTTGATGATGATGCACTAGCAATTTTTGTTGTTGATATAGCTCCTAATTCAGTTGATGCTGATTTATTTGTAATTGGTGATGTTAAAAATGGTGATAAACATAAATTTTCATGTATTGGAGTATTTGTACTAGCATTGATAGTTTGATGATGTAAATTGGACAAAGATGAAGGTGTCTCACGTTTAACTAGATATTAAACAATAAAATTAATTTTATTTTTTTATTAAATAAAATATGTATATATATATATATATGTATATTTATTATAATAAAGATTTCCTAATTTTTAAATAAAAATAAATATAGAATAATGGTATGAGAAGGTTTAAATACTTATTTATCTACCTGAATGAAGTAGAAAAGGCATAGAAAGAATGCGCATGCTGTACACTATTCATCACTGGAATCTTCGTTGAGAGTGTTACGCGCCGAGGCTGTGACTGCAACGAAGAGAGAGGATCTATATCGATTCTTTATTACGATTAAGAATCGTACGATGACTATATAATTTAACACAGCTATCCATATGTATGCATATATATAGATAATGTGGGTTAATTAAACGAACAGTCAAGTTTTACAATAAGCATTAATTTTCATTTTTGTCTTTTTTTTAATTATATTTAGAGTTCAACAATGAAAATTAATAGGTACTAAAAAAAAAGAAACTATAATGTGCACAAATATTTTCTATATATAGTGCTTTAATGATAATAATAATAATAATAATAATAATTATAATACACCAATTTTTTTTAGTAACGATTTTTGACATGCTCTTTTGATTTGTCTAGTTTATGAATTTATGTATATTTCTACATGTATGTATATGTTTCTACAGCAGAATAGGCCAAATCGATCAATCATTGATCTACGTTCACACCTCATTCGCATGCAGAACACCAAACAACTGACACGAAGCTATCAACAAACGAAACGATTAGTATTAGCAGCAAATAGCAATAGTTGAAGTATTATTAGTAGCAATAGCACAAGTTGATGATGATGATGATGATGATTACTATCACTTTTCTCTATCTATTCGTGCCTCGATGTCGCTCGAGTTTTCACGAACAGATGGGGAAAATACACTTTTTTTAATATTAATTAGGCAAACTACGATTTTTTTTTCTATGTGTGTATATGCAGAACAACAAAAACAAAGAATAAAAAAAGAGAAACTTGCTTGTCTCTGGCGCAGCTAGATAAATTAAGAATGAATAGAAAATAAATTAATCAAAAAATAGTTTTACGTGTATACAATAATAAAGAAGATAATTAGATATAAACAAACCTGATAGACGTTTCCATTTAATGAATGCTAAAAGGATGAATAATGATAAAAATTATAAATTATTTAAAAAATTTTTATTTTTACCTTTTGTCCATGGTAATAGTGGACTTCGTTTTTTATCTTTCTTTTCATCATCTTTTAATTTTGTCTAGAAAGAAAAAGCAAAAGAAAAAGAATATTTCCTATAAAATAAAAATTTTTATTCTATTCATACAAAAGAATCAAGTGTTTTTGATCTATCGTCAGAGTTTGATAGGGTTTGTAATTGTTGTTGTTGCTGTTGTTGTTGTTGTTGTTGTTGTTTTGTATATGATATACATTTACCTTCCATTTCATTCATAATACAATCTTTATACATATTTGATTTAAGGAATCTACTATATGAATCATATTTCATTAATTGGAATATCTGAGATTGAGCCTTTTCAAACATATAAGCATTAGGCTTATTTAATAAAGACTGTTGACATTCTTGTCGTGTTCGACTATCAATATTTATTGGACATGAACCATCATCTGTATCATGTAAATATGTGGACCAAATCAAATTGGCATTAAGACGAATCTTTAGGGAAAATAGATAAGATATATTTCAATAAGATGAAATTCAATTAAATCATACTTCTTCTGGATCTGACAATTTTTTAAATTTTTCGCATGCAATCCAAAATTGAATATTTTCTTGACTAAATTCTTTTTTTAAAAATTCAGTAAATACATGTAAACCTGTATCATCATTGAGCAATTTTTCAAAACCAACAGCCCATGAAGCAACACGACCAATCTCTAAAAGTTTATTTGTTGCTTCAGCATCATCTTGTTCACATTGTTTATGAACACTTGTTAAAGAATTTGATATAGATAAACGTGCTCCAGATAGATCTCCAGTTTCTTCATCAGTAACTGCAAGTGACTGAAAAATATAAATGAAGAAAAACCATCTATCAATTCATAATAAAGCAATCAGATAAAATCAAGTATCATTCTATTGGTCTTTTATACCTTAGCCTTTATAAATTTTTGTGAAAGACGATGATGTATAATATTTGACGACATCATGACTTATTATTGTTGTTTGATTCAAACTTTCTATGTAAGATGAAGCAGACACCGAAAGAGAACAAATAAAAGGAGTGTGGGAAATTGAACACGACACAAGAGGAAAGAACGTGTGTAGTCTCTCTTCCTGTCTCTTTTTTTTGTTTTTAGTTTTAGTAACAAAATGAGCTTTGGATGAATCAAAACTCTTTTGCTCTCTTTTCCTCCTCTATCATTTTACTGTTCTGTTACTCTGTTCTTTGGTAGATCGCTTTTCTGTCTCTCTTTCTCTCAATGTTGCTAGCGGCAGTGATAAATATTATTCTTGTTAAGCACTAGTTGATGTATTTTTCCTGTCATTGAAATATGCGTAACGCATCAATGCAGAAAAAAAGCGAGAGGATAGCGACTGTCTTAAATATGTCATTTTTTTTTGACATGCATAAAAATCGAAATAACTAAATGTACCTTTTTACATTTTACCTCTTTCATTAGGCATCTTTCAGAAGTTTGAAGAAAAAAAAAAGAAAACGCCTATATCCTTAAGGAAAAAGAAACGAGATATATTCTGACAATAAACCGAATCACTACTTTGATGTCAACCGGAAAGATATCTTCATATCTTTCTTGTTTTTGATGATAATAAGCAGATGCGATTTGTTTTTATCAAAATTATGATTCTATTTTCATTTTTTTTTTATCTATACTAATGATATGAATAAATAAACAACGTTAAGTTATTGTAAATTTTCATCATATCATAATACTTCTGTCATCATCATTATTGCTCCTTTGATCTTTTGATATAGTTAAAGCTTATCTATTTTTGTCAGTCTTAGCATTATAACCTCGAGATTTCAACAACAAGAAATTCTTAAGAGACCAACACTATATTCTTTTTTTTCATACATTTGTTAATATGACTTGTACTGATCTGGTTTAATAATATTTAGTAGAAAAGGAAGAGCAAACAAAATAAAGAATGACAAGTATGATACATTGCGTGCAAAAAAGAATCAGACAAAGAAAAAAAATAACAATTTTGAGGTCGGATGCCTGACTCATTACTATGATCGCCATTGCATTGCATGATTATTTTCTTTTCAATGATTCATTCTCGTTTTGACGGAACAACACAAAATTAGCAGAAGAAAAGACATCTGATGTTGTTATGAATATAAAAACGGAAAAGAAATATCGAAAAAAAAGTCATATGAAATGCTTCTTCTTTAAAGTAGATTAATAAAAACGAAAACAATAAAGAAGCTTTAGCTAATATGATTAAAAAGTTATCTTAACAATAGTTCTAAGTAGTCTTGGGATTTGTTCACAACAATCTTTCTTAACCTGTAAGATATATCATTGATACAATAGATAGATCTCTAGAGAGATTTTAAGATAGATTTCTATAAATATAATCATACGAAAAATAAAAAGAAACAAGTTCTATATTTTGATATATATTTTTATTTCATTAGAGATTTTAATCTCTAAAGAACAACGAAAATGAAGTCTATTGATAGCAAAATAATAGGTTGAATGAATTTAATTTATCGAATTCTCTCGAGAAGAATGTATTTGTTTGATAACTTTTGTACATACCAACGGATGGGCAAATTTATAATCATTAACACTCGACTGACGACGAAAGTCGCTGAGAAAATTTCGTATAAATAAATGGCGATGGTGATGATGATGAGGATCATCAGCCGCACTAGTACTATTACTACGCATGATTCTCTGTTGAGCATGAGATAAATATATAAAAAAAAAGATTTTTTCGATGGTTTTTGTTATCGCCGTCGTTGTTCTTATAATTACTGTTGTTGTAGTAATAGTGATTGATTGTTGTTTGTGAATCTATGCGTGTGAATATGAAGCAAAAAAGAAAGAAAGAAAGAGAGTAATTCTATATTCGATTCGCTACTATATGTTGTTGACTAACAGAGTTTCTTACTCTTATAATCCTTAAAAGCTCAGTGGCATGCGATGTTAAGACAACGACTCCTTCTTTTTTGTTCTTCTTCATCGTCTTCTGTTATTCATATGCTACAAATATTTTCTATCGTTTCACTGTGCGCAAGTCTTTTTCACTAGTCCATACAAATGGATTCAAGGCCAAAACGGACGCATGGTAGCGCGCGTGGAATCAATAATTTAGTCTTTTCGATTGACAATAGCAAATGAGAAGAAAAAAGAAAGTAGCAAAGAAAACATTGTTTCAGTCATTTTCTCTATTGATCACATCGATTAGATACTACTACATATATATCAATGAATACTAATAGATTTTCTTCTTATTCATATCTTAAATATATAAGAATAGATTGTCTATTTCAATTGATCAATAATGCATTTATTAGGTGCTTATATAAAAGAAATAACAAGTCAAATAGAGTTTGAAAGTAGAACGATGTTTTATAGAAGAAAGGAAAGCGAAGACCTAGGATGTATAGACATGAACAAAACAATAAAAAAATGCATTGTGTGCACTATGCCGGAAGTGATCGATTCCAAATGATGTGATCCTGAGTGTGCACACACGCAAACCCATAAAAACAATGTAGGAAAAAAAAACAAAATGTTATCTCCCTAGATTATGGAAAGACAAACTATCGAGGTCTTCAAAACAGGAAAGATAACTAAAAATGATTTAATGATAAATAATTATTTCTTATTAAACTATTGTTTTTATACTATAAAATTTAATTAAAAAAAGATTACAAGTATCTCAGAATCGAAAAAGAAACCTCAATCGTAATTTATTCTTATTTTTTTGTTTCATTTAATTTTTGCTATATTAGTATACTCTTTTTTCTTTAAACTTGAAAAAGTTTTTATAGAGTAGAGAAAATTTAAATAAGTTAAAATAAAAGAAAAAAAACAGATACCTGCGCTCGTTTAGGTTGTTGAAATCGGATCAATTGTGCTTTAGAAATATTTTTACTGTTTTTTTTATTAAAAAAGTCTTGTTGATAATTTTTATTTATATTTTTCATAATTTTAACCGCATGAATACCATCGGATTTAGAATGAGAACAACTATGATAGTATTGCATTTCTATTTCACATTCCTATATATATATATATATTATCATTTTTTTTGTTTATTAGATCGTATAAATAGGAGAAAATCTGATCACGACAATCTAATAGGATCACGAACTATCTCTCGTTTTTCTTCCTCTCATTTGTTATTATTCAAGTGTGAAAAAAAAACGTTCCTACGAAAACAAAAAAGACAATGATGCTCATGATGCATAGTTTCACGAAGACGCAAACAAAAAAGAAAGTAGAGAATTAATCAAGCAAAATTTTTCTATTAGTAAGAAAATTAGCAAAAGATGTTTTAATGAGACTCCCACATGTGAAAACCTTGTTTTGACTATGATCTTTCTTTTTGTCTATTACAGATATTCGATCATAAGAGATTAAGTAGCAAAATTTTATCTTTTGTATATTGGGTTTTCCGCATCTATGAAAATCTTTGTATAGAATAGGTCTTTTCTTTTTGTCATAACGAAAAGAATAAAAATATATCACGCTTGATAGAATTAATTTTCTTAATAAATTAAGATTTTTTTTTTCTTGTTGTTCTTGTTTTGTTTTGGAACAAAGAAGAAAATAAGATTTTCACAGACTGATAAAAGTTAGCATATAATTGTTTTCTTTTTCTTTTTATTGTACTGATAAAATCAATTTACTCGAATGTAATCTCGAAGTAATAAATAATAAGATTCTCTTTATTATTTTTATTTTCGATGCAAACCTGAGCAGCATGGCTTGGTAATGGGGTATAACAAGAAAGACGATGTGTTGTTCGAGCACAATCGGTCATAAATTCGCCAAGTGTTTTAATTGTTGATGTGGACATTGTTAATATTCAAACGGCAATTGTAAACCGATGGATAATAATAATAATACAAGCATAGATTTCTATTTGGGATTTTTCTTTTTTTCAAAGTCAATGTTCATAGAATGTCAAAGCATATATGCGTGTGCGCATATTTTATAATAACATTTTGCTTATTGCCGATGTCGAACGACGACAGACGAGAAATATCGGCTAGGATAGTTGCAGACGTTGCACGCGGAAAAGAGTGATGAGAGCGAACGAGAGACTTATTAATTCTAATCGTATTAGAAAAGAACATAGAAGGCCGGACAACAGATATAGATAGTCAAATCATCACATTTCATCGCGACAACGACGAACATAGACAAACTTTTTTCTTCTTTAGATATGAAGTTGCGCCCTAATGCATGCCGTGTAAAATATATATACGTTGCTAAAGTCTCTTCTCATCATTAGAAAATATTCGATTCTCGCGTGTGCGTTCGCTCAGATAGAATTATAGAGAGAATGACGAACAAATCTCGTACTCACAAATGCGTCACAAACTGAATAGCCCGATAACGTAGAAAGACCATGCAAGTATTATTTTTGTCGGATGAAATGAGAGAAAAAATAGATTGTTTTTTTTTGGCTCGTCTATAAAAATGAACAAAGAGAAAAAAAATGCCGCGAGATAATAGTCACACAATGACAACGGAGAAAATAAAAATAACAAATTTCACAAAAAATTTATGATTACTTTAATATAAAATGGAACCTATTGAAATAATGAAATTTGATTGTAAGAAAATTCTCCAATTGGTTCTCTCTACTTAGATCTTGAAAAACAGCATAAAAATCTTCAAACATAAATTTTTGTAGAATCATTTCATCATTATACTTCTTTTTTTTTAAATTTATTCAAATTCTTCAAAAATCAACTAATGACAGACATAAAAATGATTCCTGATATATTTGTTCTAAGACTTTAGTGTTTTCTCAACTCAGACTTCACTGAGCTAACAGAGTTCAAAATGAAGAAAATGCTTTTCTTATCGATAATTATAGTGGTATTGCATTTACCGCCATTAGGTAAAAGAAAAGGCTCTTTTCTTCTCTTTCATTAAAAACGGCAATCTTTTCCTTCTATTTTTCTACACAAGTCGGTGAAAATAAAGATCAATTTTAGCCTGAAAACATTCGTCGCTCTTTTCAAACCATTAATATATTTACCTCGGCGGAAAAACAAGAAAAAAAAAAGAATCAGTTTGTGCATTAATGAATCATGTTTATACATCCTTTGAGAGTTCGTTTTATTTTTAATAATCTTTTGTTTTGTTTTTTCAATATAATTCATATTCTGTTATCAAAATAAATTCATCAATTTTCTTTTTTTTTCTGGCCTAGAGTGATGATAATTTAAAAGATAATTTTTCTTGTTTTTTTTAATTCAATTAGTATAAATTGAATCACATTTATTAAATATTCTACGAAGAAAATTCTATGAAAAGTGATAATAAATTAAGCATATCCATTATTAAATTTATTTTCAAGACACTCTCCTTTCTTACACACACAAAAATTGATTTTTGTTCCAGACATATTCAAACTTCATCAAATTTTCATAATATATTACCGACTGTACTGAAGAGATTATGGTAAACTTTATAAATTAATATGATAACATATTTCAAATATGTTCATCAAATTACAATAAAAAAAAAAAAATAGTTCATATTGCAATTCAGAATTTGTTATGAGTCTTCATTAGAAAAAAGAAATTATTTTTATTTTTGCCTGGAAGAAGACATTTTAATCTCGAACATAGCAGATTCCTTGTTGCTCGTTCTTCTATAAACTCTTACTTTTTATCCTGAAGAGCGCATTGACCTATTCAATAGCGTAAAAAATAAATAGGAAATTCTTCTGAAAAATAGATTCTTATATAATAGATCAATGCTTAACTCTAAGAAAGAAAAACCATTCAGAAACTGTTGTACAAATAATAAAATGACTAATAATTATGTTAGTTATGAAATCTATGTAGTAAACAATATATACTTCAACAATGCCAATTTCGACTAGAAATAGCAAGTTTTGGAAGGTAAGTGACAGAAAACATAAACAAATTGTCAGAAAAATGAATGCTTTAGTCAACAAACTATATTGATTATGAAAGCTTACATGTCAGTCTATGAAATGCACATGCTTATCAAAATCTTAAGTATTTTTGATGATAATCAACTTTTTTTTCTGTTGAAACTTCGTGCTTTCGAATAAAGAACAATTTTCGAATATAATAATGATCAATATTTGAAAACTAAACAATATAATAACTACGCATAGATTAATCTTTCTCTTTTTTTTTCTTGTTATATATAACTGAATATTTTGAAAAGTTAGATATAATATAAACTTGAATTCGTTTATCAAAAAATAGTTTCTTTTTCTATTTTTAATAAAATATATAATTTCGACATGTGTACATAACGAAAAATTTACACTTCCTATATGGAAATTAAATATATTATTTAACATATGAGTCTTATAGCCGAGTACATGACATCTTTTTTTGCAAACGGATAAATCAACTAAGTTTATTAGAAAGTCGATTGCTTCTTGTTGTTGTTTTCTTTAATAATTTAGTTGTATAGACATTTTGAATGATAACGATCGTTTTCTTTCTTGCAACCATTTCTCTTTCTCAAGACGATTAACCGGAATAAACAATCTATCATCAATACTAGTTAGCTGTTACTGATGGCTTCGCATGGTTTATCTCTCATGTGTTATTTAGCATAATTTCCTGATGTTTGTCTTTGTTGAAAAGAGAGTCTTAGTTGAGTTGATTTCAACAAATCCAGCATCTGTCGTCGCTCGAAGGAAGCGATTATTTATGATATGAGTATGCAGAAAAAAAAAAGAAGAAGGAAAATAATAATGAACCGTCATTGATATGTGTATTTAACAATTTATATAAATATGAATTTACTTAACTATCGAATTGACGTCAGAATCAATCTCAATGAATGTCAAATAGTTTTCTTTTATATATATTCTTCGAATAGCTTTCGTATAAAATATAATTATCTAGAGAATAAAATATTTTTCTTTTTGATGTCATCATAATCATCATCATCATCATTATACATCTTGTTGAAAACCAAATACAAACATATATGTCTTCGATAGAATAGATATCTAATCTTTCGCATTTTCTACATATCAATAATCAACAAGAATACTTATCATATACTGTGTACACATACCAATGTTGAAGTAGTAAAACTTGCTTTACGTAATTGAGAATTTCGACGTTGATGAAGATTGACAATTGATGTGCGACGTTGATGATTACTGACACCAGAAACATTTATATTCAGTGCATTGCCTATAGATAAAAGATGAGAATCAACATCCAATAAACAATCGTTAGCTGTTATTGTTGTTGATATTGATGATCTTGAAGTGATTGTCAATGAATTAAATGAAGTATTAAGACGATATGAAGACATAATAATAAATAAAAGTAATTAAAAAAAACAGAAGACCAAAGTAAAGATAATTCGTCAAATATATTATATATATGTATAAGTAAGTAAATAAATGAAAAAGAATTAATTTTGAAAATGAGTAAATTTTCGTATTGTATTTAAGTTCATTATTATTAGTGACTACTGATCATTTAATAAACACATTGACACATATATACAAAAGAATGATGACAAAGAGAAATAGAAAAAAGAAATAGTTCTTGTATTATAACAAGACACGAGAGAAAGAAATTTCTTTAGTTTCGTTGCTTTGAAGAAAAAAAGCATAATGATGCGTGCTTTTCTAAAAGGAAAGAGATCAGAGAGAAATAGAAAATAGAGAATAAAGAAGAACAGCGAGAAACGAAGCCTTGCTATGTGTCTAGCGGTCCTCTATTGAAACGAATACAATAATCGTTGATGATGATGATGACGGGACGGTTTGTTTCCTTTACCCTTCTTCACCCCCTTGTGCCTTCTTTGTCGCTTTCCTGGTGTCGAACATCGCTGGGATTCTCGACCAATGTTTTACATACACCAAGAAATAACGCCAACGATACGGATATGTTTCTTTCTTTTTGCTCAACAACGAACGACCGCCCCTAGTTATCTTCTTCATCATTGTCATTATCTCAATCTTTTCTTTCTTTTTTTTTTCGATAATAGTTTTCGGAGAATAAGAAGAAACAGAAAGAACGAGAAAATACAAAAATGATCCCCAATCGAATGTCAAGTCGAATTAGTTCGTTATTGGTTTAATTAACGAGATCTCCGTATTTTTTTCCGTTCGTTACTTAGAAATCAGCTTTTATAAATAAAAAAAAAAAGAATCGGAAAAATATAGATCAAATTTTGTTCGAATAACGGCAATAACAAAAACAACAACAATAACAACAACAATGATGATGATGACGACGATGACTGTACTAATAGTTTCTAATAGTTCAACGAGTTTTTCTTTTTTTTTTTTTTCTTTCATGAAGCAATATCGCAAAGCAGCTGCTGTTAGTGTTCTTCGAAGCATAGACAAGTGATTCGATTGTTTCTTCAATCAGTCTAATCAATAGCATGCATCTTATCTTTTCTTCAAGACACATATCTATACAAATGGGAAATCTTTCGTCTTCTTTCCTTCTTTTTTTTTATGTCTTTTGAATATGAATAATTTTATTGTTCTTCCATGAAACATTATCCTTGCAAGGTGATGATCGTCACAGGGCTTCATTTTCTTTTTTTTCCCCTGATAAATCGATTACTCTTTGCTTAATATTATACACAGGAATTGCTCTACATGTAATAAAGAGCAACATAAGAATGTTATTGTCCTCTTTCTTTTCCTTCTTGCTTCATGTGTTTGTTAAAAAATATATCGATAAAAAAAAAACGCATGCCCAATGAAGTATGGGACAGTATTTATCGGTTTATTCTATATAGTTGATTACAATAGTTCTTCATTGACATATACACGCACATTATAACTAGATTCTATTTATATTCATACAATTAAAAAAATATAGATGACAAGACACGAAAATGATCATATGTACAAATTTAACATAATTAAAAATTATAGTCTTTGAAATCATTATTTATTAAATATTTCCCTAAGTCAATATTCATTATAGATATTACTAAATTACATAGTAAAAGTTTGTTGTTTACAATATCATGTAAACATCTATTCAGAAAATTATTAAGTATTGATTAACATCAGGAAATACTATCGCAAATCGTAGGCGACTTAATTAAATATTATTGCAATGATCTTCTGTTGGATAACTGATAAAGAATTCTTAATAAACAAGAACGAATGTATGCGTTTTTATTTATTTTTAGTTATATTCAACAATAAAATTCTTTTTAATACATTATACTTTTTATACATCCGTAGTTTTTTTTTCTTCTCACTTTGATAAAAATTGTTTCCTAATTTACATATGATTATTTTAGAATTGGTCATCACTTTTCTTTTTCATATCTTCAAAACTCAATAGAATATCTTTGAAAAAAAAAAATTTTTTTTCTTCTACGTTTTTCTTTCGTACTTTTTTTTGCACCTTTAAAGTCATAATATGATATGATGAACAACAAGAAGAAAAATCAAAATTAAACAAATCTAAATATTAATCTTATAATTGAATATTTATACAAAGCGAAACTTGTTGTATATTTCTATTTGAATACATATATATAAAATAATTGACAAATATTATTTTACCTCATGTGATCGACTAATATCTCTTTTTTGAAGAAATTGTTTTCGTTTAACCCTACCCAGTTTACCAACTGATTTTAAGTCCATTTCCTAAAATAAAAGATAATTAAAAGAAATTTTTTTTTTTTTAAGTATTTAAAATTAAAATCTATTTGATAATGTAAATATTTAAAAAAAAATTACTAATTATCATTATTTAATTATATGATAATCACGAAAGACAATATTCAATAGTATTTTGTTCAATATTACGTAAAAAAAAAATCGTCATTGAGGCAAATAGTAATCATCAAAAACCTAAACATCTTTATTATTTGTTCTTTTGTTATTATCCCATTTCTCATTTGTCTCATTATTTTTTTCTTTATTTGTCTTATTGTTCATTATACAACTAACACCAATAATAAAAACAATACCGGAAACTTTCTTTTTTGTTTTTTCTCCTTCTTCGTTTATTTGCCACCCTTTTGTTATTATCGAACGACGAAAGCAAATTCCCAAGATGACATTTGGTTGATTGGCATTACTCCTATAGTACCACCGATTCGATTGAAATCAATTTGTCTTCATCGCTCTCAGTTTTTTTCTTCATGTATATTATTCGTAGAATAAAATCATGAGCTGAAACAATCTTATGACAAGAATTAAAAAGATTACATATATAATAAATTTTCAATTTCTTATAGTAGGAGCAACTATTTAGAAACGAAAATCTTGGTTTAAGTTTTATTTGTTTCTATTATTACTTACGAAATATCTTCTATTTTGTTTTTAAAAAAAAAAAGAAAAGTTTCAATTATCAAAAAGACTATCATTGATATTTTTGACTAAATTAAAATAGATTTGTCTTTCTTATTTTTTCTTAACATTAAAATTAAGAAAATTTTCTATGTCAACTAAAACAAAAAGAAAAAGAACCAGTGTGTCTTCAATTAAAATAAAACATTATGAACATACATGTTGATCCATAAGTTTCACGTAAAATAATTCTGTTTCTGTTCGAGAAAACAAAAGCGATGTTTCAAATACTATTTATATTATATAAAGACAAAGAAAAATGGAAACAAAAAGAGAAAAACCTTATACTTCGATCTTAAAAGAACAAAGAAATAACTCAATTTATCATATTTTTTTTCTTTCTACCTGTTCTATCTGAATTTCTTCAGAATCATCAGAAGAAATTTTTGGAGACATTCTTCGAATAATGTAAGTTGTTGAACAAGGTGGCATTAATGTTGTTGCTTTTGGAATCGATGACGTTGATTGATCAATGATACTCTCTTGATATGGAAGTTTTTTTCGATAAAAAGAACGTTTTGTCTTTGTTGATGATGTTAATGATGACAAAAGATTTTTTTCCATGTCCAAATAACTACTAACAATTATAATTGTTTGTCGATCTAACCGTACAAGAAACTTATTAGTCGTTGTCGTTAGAGAAATGATGCTTTTGTCGATGCATGTTCAACTAATAACAACAAAAAACAAGCTCACCTGTGCTCATGTCAAATGCTCTGTTGAGCTATGTCACGAACATGAAACACGAGTACTATAAGCTTTTGCACTATGACGTTCGATGATGTCGACAGGCAATGTTTTTTTTACAGTAGTCACTATTTCTGCATAAAATAGAAACAAGGAAAAAAGAGATAGAGAGAAGTAGACACACATAGAGAGAGAGAGAGAGAGAGAGAGAGAGAGAGAGAAATGAAGTCAAGAAAAATAATTATGCCAACACTGGTATATACACATTGGCAGGCATAGACAAGGAAAAAGTCGACTTCTCCACAAAATAACCAGACATGAGAATACCGACGTCAATAAAAAAAAGTCCCTTAATGCGAACGTGAGAGATCCAGAATAGAATTATCATGATCGGTTTTCTTTTGTCTATATTTGTGTGTGTGTGTCTATTTCGTTCTCTACCATATTTATCGGTCGAGCAATATCAAAACATTATTCAAACTCAACAATACACGCACAACTCTGCGTGTCTTTTGTCTCGTCTCGTTCAACATTCTAAACATTATCTAGTAGATTATTTTTAATAATAAGAAAAAAAAAGAAGAAGAAGAAGAAGAAGAAACTAATATTGATAGTGGAAAGATATTGATTATTTCTTAATCTTAATCTTCTTTTTTTCTTTTTCTTGATCATTATTTTCTTTTTTTTAATAGATTAACATAATATTTATCTTAGAAATTTTTCATTTATTTTTAATTAAAAATATACACGAATACCTTTTATATTAATATAGATGATGAAATTAATTTTAATATGAGATTTTTGTTTTTTTCAAAAAAAAAAAAAAAAAAAAAATATTAAATACAACAATTTAATACTTTTTTTTTTCTTGCTAATATGTTTTTTTTTTTTTTCTTCTTTAAATATTTATAAATGAAACAGATTATTTAATATCTAATAGAGTATAAAGATAGTATTAACTAAATGATTAATATAAACAAATACTTACAAAACGATAAGTACTACGAATTGATGATGATGCTTGGAGCACATAACATGCACACATTTTTACATTTATGTAGATCAAGTTTTTATGTAAATATGAAAACTAATAATAAATTGAAGAAATATAAATAAAAATTGCTTTTCTCAATTCTGATTAAAACATCATATTAACCTGACAGTAGAAAGAGAGAGAGCTCTCAATTTCCGCTTTAGATTCTTGTTCTTCTCTTTATTTTCTTCTTCTTCTTCTTCTGTCTTTTCTTTTTCTTGGTTGTTTTTTCTCTACTTAAAGAGAAGAATAAAACGTTGTTCTTCTTATTCATCTAGTATTATTCGCCAAACGCCAAACAGAAGAATAACATCTGTCTTTGCAATATGAAACATTGAAGAACAAAGCTCAAGAAAAAAACAAAAAAAAAAAGTCTTTCGATTTAATAGATCCAAGTTTATAACATCATAGAAAATATCCAGATGACATGTATGAAATTGTCAACAAATTAATTGAATCGTATTTATTCATTTTTATTATTAATATTTGCTAATTTCTAAATCATATATAATACATACATATAGTACTAATAACAAAGATGTCGCTATTCAACATTATTATTAATTAACTTATTCACCGTTTTTCTTTTCTGTTATAGATATATCAATATAAATAGATCATTCATCTATTGATTTATGGGTGTATCTTACACGTTTGCTGTTCGAGTTACATACGAGTGTCATTAATGATCACTCTTTATATTGGATTGAATTTGTTCTCAAATTTATCCGATACTCGAGGGAAAGTCCCCGAACCCAGGGATAGCAACTATCCGATCTTTTATATAAGATCTATCATGTTTATATGCTGAACACTATAGACAATCTTATTTACCAAGATGAGATTTATCTCAGAGTTAATAATTTTGTCTGTGTTTAGTGAACATGATATCGTTGCAAATAAAGTTATGCAAACAGTCTATGGAAACATCGACTTACACGAGGGGTGCTTATGAGTGAGGTACATCCTATTTCTTTTTTTTTGTATTTATTCATCATAAATCTATTATAAAATGACATAAGAAATAATGTTAATTGTATATGCTTATATCATTAGAAAAAAAAACAATCTGCAATCTTGAATTGAATAACTTGAAAGAAATTAGTGATATTCATCTCTTTAATAAGTCAGTTTCTTTTTGTATAGAATATTCTTTCATGACTTGATGCTCGTTATTGAATTCCACCCTTTCATTTTGAATTAAAATTCCATTTCTGTCATCATACTTATTCTAAGAGAAAGTTCATATTTATAATGTATTTTATAATTATGTAACGATAATAAATAATATATCAAATAATAAGTTCCTCGATAGTTCAATGTTTCTTTTTTTCTTCCCACATAACAATATCATCAATATTACCAAGAACAAAAAGATTTTAAAAAACAACATTTTATTAAAAGCTATGAGAATTCTACTTATTAATTTCAAATCCTTTGACAAAGTGCAAACAGATATGAAGTAATGTTTTCAGTTTTAACATGATATTACAAGAATTTGATTGAATAGATAGATGAATATTAGAATTTTCTTAACAAAAGAATAAATTTTTTTTTTTTTTAATATTTTTATTTGAAAAAAAAAAATACTTAAAAAGAAAAGAATGACTCAATCAACTTTATCAATCGGTTTATTATACATAAGTCCAATGAACCAATGATCATATATGATGATCCAATTGAATTAACGGAAAACTAATAGAATACTTTGTTTTATTTCAAATGAGAATTTGAACAGAAAAATTCTGATTAATGAATCCTTTGAAGTATATAAGGTGATTTTGGTCGGAAATGTTTCTTATTTTTTCATTATTTATTCAAGTATATCTTGTGTTAATTAGCTGATTATATATTATATATGAATATATACAAAAAAAAAAAAGACACAAAAACAATGATATGATTAAGAACAGTATGAATAGTAAAAATTATTCAGAAAAAAATGAATTGACTAATCAAAGGTCTTCGTAACTTATCTATAAAATATAATAAAAATGATAATAGAAAACATGAAAGCACTATACGATTTTTGTTGTTTGCTCTACAGCTAATAATAAGAATAATTAAAATAAATAATCCTGTGTCAAGAATGCTAATTAAAGCTCTTCGGTATTCCTTTAGCTGATGTTCCATCGTATATGTAGAAGAACTTTGCAACTGAGATTTTCTCAAGGGAAAAGCACATTTCCGTTTCAATCCTCTACCTTCATCCACACACACAGTGCTGTATTACCGAGAAAAACCAGAAAAGTGCTGTTCCTTTAAGAAAATCTCAGTTACAAAATTGGTTTTTGCATATACGGTGAAACATCAGCTAAAGAAATACCAAGCTCTTCTCTTTTTTTTCTAAACATATATTTTTATTTTTGCTTCAAATTAAAAATAAACTTCGAAAAAAAAATAAAAATTTCAATAGAAAATAATTTTTAAACTAAGTTTTTTTTTGAGTAAAAACAAATTTCATCAATTATTATTTCTAACATTAAATTTTTTCAAATAATATTCTTCTCATATTTGCATTATTAAGATAAGTTAAATACAAATCATTATCAGTATCTTATTAATAAGTATAACCAGATAAACATTGAATATCATGCAATGCATTTTTAACAGTCAACATTCAATTATATTTTTATCATTATCTTAATTGAAGATTAAGAAAAGAAATCAGAAAAAAATTACATGCACAATAGGATGTACGAGAAAAAAAATTCAAGCAGAATAAGCACGCGAAACTACGGATTAATTGCTAAGAACAGTAGCATGTTTTAATTATTGATCTTATTTCTATCTGATAATGAAATAAAATTTCTTATCTTGAAAAAGAATCTATTAATCTTCTTTATCGAAGATGAATTACTTCTTCGATGATTACTTTATTTATTTAAATTAATCAAATAATCATCTTAAATAGAATGATGATAATTATCTTGTTGTTCTTATCGCTGATGAGTTGATAGTTGTCTAACAAATATTATATAGTTTTTTTTTTCAATTGATTTTCTTTAGTAATACTTTATTTACTCAACAAATATCCTCGTCTTGTTTAAATAAAACGATAAAGACCTAATTCGACTATAATTAATCCTACAAGAAAAATATCATGTGATTGATAATCTATCTTCTTCAATAAAATAAGCTATTTATTTTTAGCTAAAGAAAATGACTGGAAAATAAAGCAAAGGGTGGTATCAATCTTACCTAATTCACGTTTCAATAGTCAATTGAATATTGAGAATTTATGAATAGATTCGTTTTTTTTAAAATTAGAAGATTTTTATTATTGAAATTAGTAGCGTACATGGTAACTTGTTCTCAATGAATTATTTTTTTCTCTTTATCATATCAGCTTTATAGCAGAAATATTTTCTTAGAATTCTTGTGAAATCAAAAGAAAGATAATCATTAAAACGTCTATTATCAGTCAGTTCACGGTTGTTTATTAAAATATTCAATAAAAAAAAAAACAAAAGTTAATTGAGAAATCAATATGAACTAAAAAAAAGACATAATTATACAGTAAACAGAAGTTTTTACTATTACGTTCTATAACATTTGCAAAACATGACTTTATTTAGTGACATGTAAATTACTTCGAATATAATTAGAAAATCTATGTAAAACATTATCCAACGTTCCTATTTTATATTAAAGTCTGTACAAATGAATTCGTGCATCATTTTGTTTCAGTTGTAGTCTTAAAAAAAAAAAATAATTCTCAGTCCAAAAAAAAACACTACATATAGAACATTAAAAATCATTTTTTTTTATCAGCTCTTCTATATTAAACAAATATGAAAATGTTATATATTTAAGTTTTATAATTATTTATTTATTTTTTTCTAATTTAAACATTGAACAAATAAAAGAATTTCATTGATTTACTCTTCATAGAAATATAGTATTTTTTATTTTATCATACACAAAAGAAAATCATAATAGATTAAGAGAGTAAAGTACAGTAAAGTTTCTATACACTGTTTAACATAAATGTCTCATATTACTGAAAGTCATTTGTATGTTGGCGAAAACCATTCAACTAATTATTATTAATTACATATTAATCATTAACGACTACTTGAAATACATACTTCAATCTGAAAAAGAAAAGCAGAATAAACGATGACAAAAAAAAAAAATAATTATTAAATATAATTACACAACGAAGTCCTTTTTCCATTGGATCAATCATAAATATTCCTTTTGGATTGAGAGTACGATCATTTTCTTCTGATATATATTTTGCAGCACGTTTAACACACTAAAATATTATATTCTTTTTTTTTTTAATTTTAAAAAAATAAAAAATTTAAAATTAAACCTTTTCATAATGTGTTGACATACAAAGTAATAATAAATAGCCTGTTAAACAACCACAACAATTTTCCATAAATGTTTTACATGATAATGCTTCAGCTTCGGTATAAATAGAATTTATACGACGTATAATATCAACAAATTTCGAACGATCAATCTAAAATCAATTGAATAAAAACAAAAAATACCAAAACAATGCACTAAATTATGATAAAAAAATATTTACTTTTCCTTCAAGTTCAGGAGGAAAACGTTCTTGAAATTTAACAGCTGTACCTTCTGAATAATCTCGTTGAATAAATAATTTTATTGAATGTTCACTTGTTAGACGTGTTGTATCTTCCATTTTACAAAAAAAAAATGATATTAAATATGAATGAATATATATAAAAACATGAATGTTTATTTAGTTTAATTATTGGTCAAGAAAATCTATGAACAAAATAATACTAGATGACGCTACTAAACAGTATATATAAAATTGAACCAAGTTTGAACGTTTTCCATATAAAAGTTTATTTGATTTTGTAAAAAATTAATTTTTAGAATGTAATATCAACACAAATAATCAAATAAATCGTTTTAAATATGACAGAGAATAGACAGAACAAGAATAATCAATGAATATAGCTGTTATCAGTTGATGAGACAACTTGATACGACATGTAAATTTTACTCTTGCTATTAAAGGACAGAGACTTCAATAGACTGTAATGGATAGCAAATACATAAGGCAAAAGAGGGCGGGATGTGGGTGTGGTTCAGAGTCATTAAATGAGCGAAAAATACTTTCGGAGAAGTTGGAATTCGGCGAAAATCGTCGTCGGCGAGAATGGACTAATTCGTGTTCCATGAATGGGGCTATTTTTTTAATAGAAAAACATAGGCTAAGCCGAATTAAAGATCGGTAACTCATCGGGTGATGTTCTTTAGTCTAGCCAAACTCATTAAGATCTCTAATAGAGAAAAATACTAGTTTCTGACTTCATAAGAAATGATTCCGAATAACGAGCTGTAAGAATAATGCTTTCACTTAAAAATGTTTTTTTAAGCACATACTCACAGATCATAAATTTATGAAGGAGAAGTGAGATGATTTTCCCTTTCTGAATCTTCTCTTGCTTCTCATTTGTTTTCTTGAAAATTTGTGCCTACTAATATATAATGAGTTTTTTTTAGTAATTCTTATAGAACAAATATAGGAAAAGTTTTCTTCGTAGTTTACAGATAGTATCATAAATTTGCTCTTAAAATAGAAATTTCTTTAGAATATTTAGGGTTAATCAACAGATTTACTTTGATAATATTGAAATATATGTTTTTATGATTATTCTAATATTTGTAATTATCTGTGTGGGAAACGGAAATATAAATAGTTGATTAATGAAACAAAGATAATACTATCAGCCAATTAGTAAGGCACATTTAAGACGTGGATGAAGGTGTGGTTGAGTTTATTCTCATCTATCTACACCCACACGCCCGAAAAAAAGATAGATATGAAAAATATACAGGATTCAAACTAATTTTCTTTTCGTATTTATCATCAAGTAAATAATAATTCTTATTGTGTCGACGTTTGAATAAAACGACTTTTTTTTCTTTTCGATCAAAGTCGAGTTCACCAATTAGCTTTGTTTAATAAACTCCTGTTAATGAAATGTTTTCAACTATTTTGATATTCAAGACTTGATCTTTGCATTTAGATTTTCATATGTCATGTCATTAATATGAGTAATACTATTTATTTTATTTGACTTTTGTATTCTAAACTATAATTTATTAAATGTATTATAAAATTTCAATAAACAAATTTTGATTTGTGTTTTTCTTTTTTTTATTGATCATTATCAAATGTTAATCTTAACAAAAAACAATCATCAAAAACTTCACCTTGTGTATCTGTTCCTCCATGAATAAACATATAAGGTATAACTTTTTTTGAATCTTGTTCATTATCTATATATTCTACAAGACAATATGCAAAATCAAGTCTAGGTCTTGGTAAAGATCGACAAAGAATTTCTGTCCATTGTTCATTATTTGCTGACCATGACCATGTATCATTTAATGCTTGACCACTACGTGATAAACCACCAAATATAAATAATGTTGATGTATTTTCAATAGAAACTCCACCATGTGCTGCTCGAGCCATTGGACGAGATGATGATGTATGTTCTTTCCATCTTGGTGGATTTTCATTAATATCAATTGAATAAAGTGATGAAAAAAATGTTCGTCCATCCATACCACCATGTAGATAAAGACGAGAATTACCAAGTGATAATAAACAATGACCATGTCGTTGTTCAGGTGGAGTACCATGAGCTGGTACACATGACCATGTATGAGAAACTAAAAAATTATTTAGGTTTTCGTTTTTGTTTTAAATAGTTTAATTGTATTAATAAAAAAAAAATTACCTAAATCAAATCGATATAATTCAGCATCATCAACTGCTTTAGCACCTTGAAAACCACCACTAAATATATATAAACCATTTTGTATACAACAACTTGAATGATGAGTTCGAGGTGATACTAATTTATTATCTTTTGGTGTGCAATTTTCGATTGTTTTTGTTGAAATATTAAATATATGAACATCATTAAAATTATTTTCTGTATTAGCACCACCAAATATTATAATTTGATCATTATTTTCTGATGATAAAACAGCTGAATGTTCATAACGTCGAAGTGCTGAATCTTCACCAATTAATTTTGTCCATATAAATGATTCAGATGTTTTTGATGGTAATGAAAGTGAATGAATATCTGCAAAACATTCTGATGGATTTGCACCACTAATTATATAAATATTTGATGATGAACGAACAAATGTACTTGAATGACCAACACGAAGTTGAGGTGAACGAGAATTACTATGAATTTCAAACCATTCAAATGGGATAAGAGATGTTAATGATGACATTGTTTAGAATGAGAGATAATTCAAAACTCAATTCATCAGATTTTTTTTCTCTTGTTGCTAAGACGTTTTTGTATGGTTCTTCTCATTGAACGAATGAATCGTCAATGAAATAGTTATAACGAGAATCTAGTGACATCTCACATATAGTTTTTCATTTTTGGATTAAATATTTTTTAGAAAATTTTTTGATACTAAGACCGATGATAATGACTATTTTCTGTTGATTTCTAAGACATCACCAGAGTTTCTGAAGTACTTTATCTACATTAGTTATGCTGAATTACGGCTCTATAATTCTTCGAGGTGCAAACAAAATTCTGTCATTCTTATCAATGAGTGTCACAGTTCTTGATTTTTTTTCAGAAACAAGAAGATGAACAGTTGTTGACAACACACAGTGAGTCAATCAATCAGAGATGGGCAAGTCAGGGGTTTTTAAGATTCAAGTCAAGTCAAGTCAAGTCACAGCGCTTTCCAAGTCAAGTCAAAAAATGACTATATATTCTCATCTGGCTGCCGCTTATCTGAAGTATATGAAAGAATTTCTTTTTCTTTCTTTCTGCTCTCATAGGTACTTTTAGTGTAGACAGTAATTAGACGCATAAATTGCAAAAATATGTCCATTTTTTTACTTGACTTGTTTCAAGTCAAAAAGTGACTTGACTTGCCCATCTCTGCAGTCAATGATTAAAAAATAAAATCATGGCATACTTATTATTTTCATAAAAGGTATTTTTTTCTATCATAATAAAAAATATTTACATATAGATCAATTATTCTAAGCATTAGTTACTTGAAAAACTTTTTTGATCGTTCTGCTTCTATTGAAATTATTTGTCTGCATTTTGAATGCGTGAAGGTGTATCATCATTCTGACATCATCTCAAAATACATTTAAAGACTTCATTTGTTTTCACTAACAGAAACAAGAGAAACATATACTAATATATTGGACAACTTCTTTATACATATAAATATTTTAATTTGTATTTTATTTGAGAGTGTGAGAGTGAAAGCATGGATGTATCGAATCGTTATTACGCCTTCACGCTCATTTCCACCTAAAGTTCTATTTCTGCTGAACATCTCATATCCATGTATTTGAGTATAATTAGTAATTGGAACTGATGATTCTTTTTTTTTTGTAAGTTCTGCTACTTATTTATCATGATATTTCTATGAATAATAATACCTTGACGCGAAAAATTTACTTGCTGCACATTCATTGCAATTAATTTGGTACAAGCAACTAAAATTTTTCAATGATTAGCATTCTATGAAATTGATACATCCTACTAAATTGTTGAACCGACGTATGTCATAACTAAGTCGACTGACGAGGGAACATTTTCAGGTGCTAAAAAGCTTTTCAACCGGGGATGTGATAACTAGATAGGGCATAGCTAGCAGTGATACACCCTAAGTTAGTTCGCGCCCAAGTTGAGATTTGGCTGAGATATCGACTTTTTACTAGAATTTGCCTATGGGACCCCATCTTTCCCATGAAATCAAAGTTTTGAATTTTGAGGTGAGACTTTGCCCATATCAAGGCCTCGGCTAGGGTAGTTCATCCACAAAGTTTCAGAATTTTTGGGCTAAGCATTCCCGAGATTTGAGTCTGTTAGTATAAACACAGTTTTTTACGGTTATTGCTGTATGCATGGATATTTTGAAAACATTATATCTCGGGAATGCTTAGCTTGAAAATTCTGAAACTTTGTGGATGAACTACCCTAGCCGAGGCCTTGATATGGGCAAAGTCTCCCCTCAAAATTCAAAACTTTGATTTCATGGGAAAGATGGGGTCCCATAGGCAAATTCTAGTAAAAAGTCGATATCTCAGCCAAATCTCAACTTGGGCGCGAACTAACTTAGGGTGTATCACTGCTAGCTATGCCCTATCTAGTTATCACATCCCCAGTTAAAAAGCTTTTTAGCACCTGAAAATGTTCCCTCGTGAGTCCTACATAAATCTAGCATCATTCGTCGTCATCATTGATATTTTAAATCTAAAGTCCAACGCCAGAGAATATATTCAAATCGATCTGTCTGTTCTCGATCGGTAGTATTGAATAAGAAGTAAATTCAACAAGTTATTTTTCTCATTAGAGTTCTATCATTAGTTAGTCATAAAAGACATAAGCGTACCAAGCGGAAAGCAATAAAAAGAGCAAATAAGCGGGTTGAAAAACACAATATTTCTTTCACTACTATATGAATCGTGTTAGCTATCGTTCGTCATCATTCATGGACGTGATTCGTAAGATATTGATGCAGAAAAATGTCGAAAATAATTCACTTTATGTTTTATTCATTACTAACATGATTAAAAAGCTTCAATTTCTAATATGTGTATATTAACAGTGAAAAAAAAACGAGACAGAAGTGAAATGGTATTGGCTCGTTTTGTTTTCGAACCGATCCGATTCTATCTTTTGTAGACTTGAGCGTATCCAGGCCTTATGGTTCCATCGTCTATAATAACGAATTAATTTTTGTTTCTGACATAACATTGACGATAGCATTTGATAGATTGAAAAATAACAAAAGAATTCTTTATAAGGTAATGGATAGCTTTCAAGTTTATTCAAATTGAAAGTTAAGTATAACAAGGATGAAACAAAAACAGATGAGCAAACATAACAATAGAAAAAAAGAGACCAGAATAAGAAAAACAAAAGATAATCATTATTATCTTTTCACTTTCTTCTAAATTCTCAAGAGCTTTCATCCATAATACAAAAGAAAGAGAAATACATAACAACAATAATAATAATAATAACAGCGAGAATAATATCACTTTATCCGAAAAACAAAAGTAACTAACAAAACAAAAAATGTTTTGAATAGTTATAACAAACAAGAGCAAAAAGAAAAAGATACCTAGAAATGCACTAAGAATGTGCAATACAAAAAAAAAAAAGAACAACAACAAAGCACAATAAATTTTTAATGTGTTCCTATTTTTCCACCACGTCGTGCTCCACGACTAGGAATTCCTCCATCATAAAATGGTGTCGATGATGAATGTTCATAAAATGATGCTGGATGACCAGTTGATTGATAATTTGTTGGAGAAGCAGCTGTCGGATATGTTGGACGAAATGTATGTGGAAATGGACGACGTTTTTTTGCTTCAACATTAATCTGATGTTTTTTTAAAAGATTCTCATGATCAGCTACAATTGCTTTAGCCATTTCAATGGATTGACATACAACAAATGCAAAATTTGCTGCACCAATTTGAGATCCTGTATTACCAATACGAATAAGAAGAAGACGACCATATGGACGAAATAATTCATGAATCTAAATTTATATAGTAAATATTTAAATAGGTTTCTTTTTTTTTTTACTTCTTCTTCTGTAACTTGAGCTGAAAGATTTCCAATAAATATTTCTTGATCATCTGTATAACCAGTATGTAAATAACCTTCTTCATTTGTTCTATAATACCATGAATCATCATAATAATCATTCATATCTTGAGGATAGCCACGCATTGTTCGTGTACTTCGATTACCCAATTTTGATGATTTTTGTTTACCTGATTTGGATGTTTTTGTTCCAGTTGCAGCTGATTTTGATTGATTCTCATTTGTTGTTTGTGTTGTTACTTGTTTTTCTTTTTTTCCAATAGCATCTCGATAAGATTTTGGTTTTGATGATTGTTCTTTTGCTTGAGTTTTGTCTTGTTCATTAACAGGTGTAGCTGGAGGTGTAACATTAGCTATTGAACTTGTATTTGTTTTAGATTTATCATTTTTTTTAGGTATGATATTATCTGAAGATTTAGTATTTGTTGAAGATGATGGTATTATTGATGTTTCTACCGTTGAAGTTGATGTTTGTTTTGCTGAAACAGTTCCAAATGATGCCACTGAAATGAGTTATATTAAAAACGTGTATATTTATGAATAGTTTTGTTTGTTAGATGAATTTCATTAATTTATGTAATCGAAATACTAAAAGAAACTCATGGAAAATTACTGATAAAATTAGAATATTTTTCTAAACAAAACTAAGAGTATAATAGTAATCATTTGTCGATAGAATATAATCCTAATTGGAAGTATCTATGCACAATATGTCTGGTTCATTGTCAATCATTTATGAGTTATTGGGTAGAGTAAAAAATTATAAGCTAGAATCAGAATTGTTATGTTGCTGTTAATTATAAATCTACAAATTTTTTTTTTCTGACTTAAATTTAGTGCATTGAGATTAAAGATTTCGTAGAAGTTTTCATGTAGTTCAAATGTATACTTTAATCAAAACTGCTTATTCTTTTTATGTGTTACAAGATACAACCGTAATCGATTACATTCTAAATACTGCGACTCGAAAAAATCGTGTTTTTTTGAATAAGGTTCATAGTGTTAAATTGTTTTGAACTCTAATTTATTACAATTCGTACCATGATAGATAATAGAATTCTTTACGACGTGACAAAGCTAACACTATTTCCAAATTTTCATCTGGAAAAGTGATGAATACTAAAAAGAAATAATATTGCTTGTCAGGGAACATCTTCAAATATTTTCTTTTGACTTCATTGGATTTTTTCCAATAGGTATTACATAATGTTCTAGTGAAGATGCAAAAAGGATTTGAATACATATTGAGACTTGGTGAAGCTAACCAAGTTTTAATTTTTCTATTTATCAAATGCTCCGTAAGACTCCAAGATTTTGAACGAGGCGTGTTTATTAATTTTGTTTTGAAGCTATCTCAACTTGAAGAATTTCAAACTTTTAAGGCTTCGTACGTATGGATTATGAGTTTTTTAAAAATAGACGCTTTTTGGTTCGTAATCAATATTGCAGAAAATGTTTCAAAAGTTTGTGTCTCAACGATAGAAAGTCTTCAAACTCTGAAATTTTTCATCAAAGCTACTGGATGTGAGATCTTCTAATTGAGGTAGTTTCAAGATAACACTCAAAAACAAGGTTTTTCTGAAAATGTCAAGTCCTATAGGAATCTCTGGTTAATAGATATATTAAAAATTTATTAGCTCGGACAAGTATTAATAGGACATCAGATCTTTTGAATGCTTTCACTAGAATACTATGTAGAACATATTGAAAAATCGTTGACATCAAAAGAGAACATCTAAGACAGCTAGCTTGTTCGTACAAACAATATTTTTTATTTCTTGAAATATTTGCTCACGGCGAACTAACCATAAGTCAGATAAAAATGGCAAGCATACATTTAGACGGAGCCTAAGATTCTGGTTCTAATTGACGACATTTGATATCGTCCAATGAAATATAATTATTGAAAAAGATGAGCAAATATATTTACTAACACTTTATTTTAGTGTTTTGTACAAACGTCGATTATTACCACGATCAAAAATTGGTTTTAACTCAACTAATTTTAAGCCAAAAAATATTGTCAATATATAGTTAGAGAGATTATAAAATTTTGATTTTATCCAATTACTTATCATTCTTCACAATGACTTATATGTAAATGAAAACTGTCCAGACATATTGTGCAAAAACGTTTACAACAGAAATTCATATGAAGTCATTCTACATGCGCATATGAAGTCATTCTACAGGCGCATATGAAGAGAAAAATTAAAAAATTTGAATTTTGAAGTATCCAATACTCAAAAAACCTTTTTGAGTTTCATGAATCGAACATAATTTTCGAAGTATTTTTCTTTCATAAAATTTTAACGATTTGTAAAGTTTGAATCTCGGATACAAACATCTATTAACCTATATTAGAATAGAAAAGTTCAGAGTTATTCATGGAACTATCCATAAAATTCTACAAGATTGGTTTCATAACATTCAACTATTTAACTTTAAAGTCAATAAAATCTGATCGAATCGATTGTTTCTTATCAATAAATATACTTTATTTCAGTTTTTTTTTCTAATCAAGCCTATTTTTTTGTGAAACAAGATCTAGTAGAAGTGTTCAAGTAAAGAAGCAAAAGCTTGAACCCACCTTTGGAGTCCGACGGATCCAAATCCAGCTTATTTAGCGGTTTTCTGACTCGTGCACGACCGTGTTGAAGACCAACTTGATGGGTTCTACCCATCTTCCCATTTTCTCTCACACATCATGCCAGGTATTGCTGATACATAGTCAAAGACCATATCTCAATAACATTTCGGCTTAATATGTGAACTATTTATTGCACTTCAAGAAGACTAAGTAAAAGAATAATGCAACTACATAGTGTTTCACAGTTTAATCCAGCAATGAGTGTATTAATATCTTTTATTATTACTAAGAAAAACTACCTTCATTATTATCTGTTGTTGATGATGGTGATACTTTTGTATTAGTATTATCTGTTGTTGTAGTCCATGTAGCATCATCTTGATATTTGAATATATCATTGTGTACATAATATTTTTGTTTAGCATTCACTGTTGGTGCAAGAACAAATGTTTGAACAAAACGTTTCATCGTTGGTATTTGATTATCTGCTACCGGTGATGAAGATATTTCTCCACAAACTTGTACAACAACTGATGAACCAACAGTTGAATGACAATCAACTTGACGAATTTTAACATGACGTTGTTTTAATGATAATTCTTCAATACGTTTTGCTATATTTTCAATTCCAGTAATAGTTTTACTTGGATCATCATGCATAAATGTTGATGATGATGAATAAAATCGATGTAAAGATTCTGGATGTTCATGAAGAAGACGATAATATTGAACAACAAATGCTTTACCAATTTGTTGTGGTGATATATCACTTGAATTGATTGTTGTTGATGGTGATGATGTCATTCTTACCATTATATAATTAACAATATAGAAGATTAAATAATTATGTTGGATGAATTATCGAGAAAAACATTTAGAATATCTAAAAAAATAAATAAAACCAACAAATTCATTTGAGTGTTTGAATTTATCTTGTTAAAAAAATTTTCGATTTTTCTTTTATTTCAAAAGTTAACTAATGATAATATTATTTATATGGTATAGTTAAACGATGACTTCTGCTTGATTTACTTAGTTGATGATATTTTGTATGATATAAACTTTCAATAATCTTTCGTTTCATTTTCACGATCAATCAAATCGAAACAAACAAATAATTCTTGGACTTATCTTCTTTTAAATAACGATCAAATTAATCAGCATATATTTAATTTAATTAAACAACAAATATATTGTTGTCTATCTAAAATAAAAATTTTATTTTCATATATAATATTATTTAACGTCTTTATAAGACACTTTATCCCAGAATATTTTATTAAATAAAATCAAAAAAAAAAAAAATCATAATCATGATAAAAATAAAAATATTTCTCAATGATTTTTATTCAATAAAATTATATTCATTGATAAAATATTTATAAGGATTTTTTAGATAAACATTATTATTTGTAGACATCGGTAATGGATTTATTCTATAATATTCACAAAGATGAATCATATCGACAAAATTTTTTGAATCTTTTTGTGCTAAACTATATTCATTTTTCTATGAAGAAAATAATAATTATTATTTAACATTAAAAGAAATCATTTTACTCGTGTCGATAATTGATATATTGGAAAACATCGAATGTCATTAGATTGATAATACAAACATAATGTCTAGAACATATAATTAATGTTTAATAAATGTGATATTTAGCTGAAAATCATTTTTCTAATCGAAATTCAATATCTTAGATTTTTGAATCCTTTTTAAAGACTAGCATATAAAATTCTGTAGGTTACTTTTGCCGAGGTCCTTAACTTTTGAATAACTCACGAATGATAGACAGATCTTGAGAAACATCGATGTAGTTTTGTCAGCTAATCTCAAATATGTTATTACTTTTGCTTGCATAGATATAAAAAATTTAAGAAATACAAAATAAATGAAACTAATTTGGAGCTAGAGTAACTATGAAGTCATATTGACACTTTTTAATCTATAGATGTTTTCCTGGAATAGTTTAATTATTAGACTTTTGCATGATTACAGTAAACATTAAACAGAGGAGATAAATGTAGAATAGACGATCCTTAATACATCATCCTTATATTTATGTAAATAATAAAAAGACATTTTAGGATATCTGATGTAACTTTGAAGTTATAATAAGATTCCTTATCTAAGTTTTGAATATGGACGAATATCGTTTATGTACTCTCAATGACATCCTTATGTATCCTCATTCACATACGCACTCTCTTAAATGGGACCAGTTTGGGCTCTGCGACTCGTGCAGATGGTTTAGACGCATCATTATTACCAGAATGCATCGAAGTCAATGCAATTTTGTCAGTTTTAACAGACTTAAAATATGTTCATCCTCTTTAATACAATGCAACACTTTCAAAAAAAAACTGGTGATAGTTGTCACATGCGAATAAATTATGTTTTGATTACTTCAATCCATTTTCTCTAATATTGAATTAAAAAAAGATAAACATTGTTATATGAAAAAAAGTTCTCTTTTATTTGATATATTTGTTGTCTATTCAAGTATTTTCAAGTCTACAGAAACGATTGTTCTATGCTACTGAATATCAACAAGGAGAATTGTCTGTCATTGGATGCCAAGAACAGAAGTATAGGAATGGCGAAGACGCATAAACCATTAAATCACATTTTTCAATAGAATGATATACAAACTGCAACGTGACCTGCTTACATTTCTATCTCAATCCCTTTCTTTTCTCAAACAAATTTTCTCTTCTATATTAGACTCGCTAAACATGCCATTTTTTTAATTGACAATCTTGTAACTTAACAATGACATGGCATAGAAATATAAAATTTGGCTTGGATATGAATACTGATGAATGAAATGAAATTAAAAAAACCATTTTAAAATCATTCGATCGAAACGAAACTTCTAACGTAGATACTTGGAAACATCAATGGTACAACAACATTACAATTTACTCATGTATTGAAGTTACAAAAAGTTTTTTTTTGAATGCTTACATAATCATGATTACTGGTACTTGATTTTTTTGATTGAGGTCGAATAAGAAAGGCACCATATTCATTAGTTCTAGCAAGAATACTTGCAAAAAAAAAATATATACTAATAAATTAAAAATTGAAAGATTTTTTTTCTCGATTACTCACCTTGGATAATCATTATTTTTATTTCGATAAAAAATGCTATTCCACATAAGTCTCTAATGGTTAGTTATATCATTTATTTTAGAAAAATATCATTGGTTTTGTTTTTTACTTTTTCTTGAAAAGGATTTGAGTTATCATTTGAACATAATTCAATACCAGATAACTGATGGTTTTTATTTTCATTAATAGAAGATTGAGTATGTTCAATTTGTTCAGCTTTTGAAGAAGATGATACTTCAAAATCAGACGGAGCTGTTGGACAGCTTAGATATTGCTCTAAATTTCATATAATTCAATATAAAAAGAAAACACATAAATAGAACAATATATACGGTCACTATGACAAATATTTCTTGTTATGTAATCTTGACGAGAACTAAAATAAATTGTTTATCGTTTTTGATGAACATTTTCCAAATCGTTTGACTTACGCATCTATAAAGCATAATGTTTTGTTTTCTTTTATATATATAAATAAAAAAATCAACTTACTACGATCGATTCTTGGATTAGAAGATTCGTCACCTTTCAATAGAAAATAATTTAAATAAAACTTCAATTAAATGACATAAGATAAATTTAGCAATACGATCAGAAATCAATTTAAGCAAAAAAAAACAAGAGAACTCCTTCCTTTTTATAATATACAAATTCAAACAACTCTTTATTTCATTACCATTTTCACTAGGTGTTGGTAATAAACTGGTAAAACAATAGAATACAAAAAAGAAACGAAAAACTTTCTTAAATTTACTATAAATAATCCACTGGTAATGTTTTTGATTTAGATTTGGGAAAAATATTCTTTAATATTCGCACCCATATCTAAAACATATTCTACGAAGAAAATAAAATTTGTCTTTCAAAATTTACTTGTCGTTCGAAATTATCTTTTGCACCAAATATTTCAGTTTGATTTTCTTGATTAATAAATTTTAATTCAAATAAAAAATATTTCGGTGCTGGTTCTATAATTCGATTACATCGATCATAAATTCTAATAAAAATAATTTATTTAATAAACAAAAAAAAAAAAGTTTCATTTTATAATTACTGTGTTGTTTGATCTATTTCAAAAAAATATGATGGAGATTTATTTTCATTAGAATATAGATATAATACAATTTTATATTCGAAAGTTTCAATGGGTATTCGAGTTAATACAATAAGATAAGTTTCAACTAAAATAAAAACAATTTTTATTTATTGCAAAAGAAAATAAAAACATACATTGTGAATCACCACGAATTTTTGTATTATATAAATATTTTAAATGACTTTGATGAATAATCCATTCCGTTTGAATATGTTGATATTTATATGATGTATATTCGATTGGAGATTTTGATTTATTAAATATTTTTCGAAAATTCAATTTCGATAATACTATTTTATTGTTATCACCTAAATAAAACTAATTTTTTATTTGCTTAATATATTTTTACTTTTATACTCATTTGACTTGAACAACACAAAGTTATCTAAAAGATCAAATAAATAGTATCATTGGATTTGTAAAAAAAAAACTTAAATGAAATATTATTTTTCTTTTTCGAAATGATCTTGATTTGATAAAGATCTATTTCAGAATTTATTCGTATTTTATATAAAAAGTTATTCTTCATTATTCTTTTTTCGATTAATTAGATCGATGACGAACACTCTTTTTCTTTTGAATCATGTTCTTATTGATATGGTTTATAAGATAAAAAGTTAAGAAATTCAGTTTATTATTTGAAAAGAATGAATTGAACAATACTCTACTTTCGTAGTCTAAGCAATATTCTAGATCAAATCAATGTCAAGTTTTTTTTTTTTACACATTTGAAGTATATCTCAAACTATTTAAATTTCTACACTAATATCACTAAACATACAAAAGATTTTCGTTTTGAATATAAATCAATCATTAAAGATTCTATAAACTACAACATTTAACTTTTCCATCAATCTATTTAAAATGATCTTATTTAACCTTCAAAAGAAAAGAAAACTACCGAGATGTAAATGTATCTTATTCACAGAAGAGTGATAACACAACATTCTTAAAAGATTTCATGATGTACTCAAGTTTCAGAGAATGTGAGAAAAGTATAGAGACTTTCATCAATGCATTCATCCTCTAAGAAAAAGTATCTATTAACATCAAATAAATTAAGTATGATGTGATGAATAGAATAATTTAACTATACAAAACGATATCGTTATGAGCAAAATAAATAAGCTCAGAGATCGATAAAGATTATTTAAAAAAACATTTTTCTTTTAATAAAAGAAATAATTTTATTTCGAAAAAAACAAAAAACTTCTTTAACTATTTCATATCACTTTCATAACAAACTAAAATAAAAATAAAAAACTGCTGTAGAATCTACAAATTAATTATTATTACCACGTTTTGTTTATTATCGTTCTTCATAATATTAATACAGAACGAAAAAAATAAAACAAAAAATGTTATATTCTAGAAACAGTTATTTTCATCTAATATGATTCAAAGTTATTTCATTATTTTTTTTTTTTTAATATTATTAATAAAATTAATTTACCTTAATTTAATTACAGTGTAAAGAATAGAAAAAAAAACAACGAAACATTTTCATCGATTTATTTTTATTTTTTTTTTCACTGTCTTTAAAATTTATTTCTTTGATTATATTCATAATAAGTATATGGCCATTTGAGATAAATATTTTCAACAGTATTTTGTGTTGAATCAATTCGTAAAGTTGAACGTGGTAATTGATGATTTGTATAATATTGACAAAGATCAGGAATAGTAAAAAAACATGGTTGACTATTATTGCCTACTAAACTATATTTATCATTCTAAATATTATAAATTAGTTAATTTGATATTTAAAAAAAAATTTTTTAAGAAATTACCTCTAAAACTAAGATTTTATATTTTATTATTTCTCCATATGCATAAATATTTAATGTCTGAAAAAATAAAAAAATCTTTGTTTGTTTTTTTTCGTTTTAAGTTTTTAATGTATATGACATACATAATCATGATAATTTGAATTAGTTTTCAGAGAATGAGGTCGAACAAGAAAAGCTCCAATTTGAGAAATTTTATTCAGAATACTTGATGGTTATTTTTTAAGAAAAAAGAATACATATATAAAAAATAAATTTTTTATTTTGAAAAATATTTACTGTGCATGATCATTAAATTCGTTAGCATAAAAGATATCATCCCATGTAAATGACTAAATTAAAAAATAAAAAAAAAAAAACATATTTTATAAAATTTTTATTTTTTTTTTTACTTGATTATCTAATGATGTTGAAAAATCTTCTTTTGTTTTTATGTCAAAATTTGATTGAGACTTTATATTTCTTTTATTATGTTCGTTAATAAGACATTGTGGAATTTTTGTTACTGAGAGATAAATATTATCCGTTGTTTGAGAACTATGAGAATGATGATATTGTTGTATTTCTCTTTGATTATTTTCATTTGAATTTATATATCTTTCGTTTGGTATTGGAGGTGGAGGACGATGATGTAAAATAGATGTACTTCTTGATTTAGATAAAGTTGGACGTCGTTCTAAATTCAAATAGTACAATATTTATGTTTATATTAGATGTATTTCATTTAGAATAATTGTAATCATTAAATTGAGAAAAATTTATTTTTAATTATAGTCTTAATTTGTTCTGAATTGTTTGATCTTATTTTTTTTGTGAATCAAAAATATAAAGTTTAAAAAACCTTAGAAAACTCTTATTGATTAAAAATTATAATACTGCGATTTATACATTATTAGTTCAATTAATTTAACTAGTAGATTGATCATTAATTCATCGAATAAAAATTATCATCACGAAGAATTTATACTTTTTTTTTGTAGATTATGTTTTAGATTTTAATCATTTATTTGATTAAAAAAATATGATCTATAGAAATAAATGATGATTATAGTCTTTCAAGTTTGATGTCAATGGACGAATTCAAATTCGAAAATTTTTAAATTAATCGATTCGAAATCTTTATAAATATCGATTCCTTCTATGATTAAGTAGTAGCGTAACCAGAGGGTGGCCAGGTGGAGCTAAGTCCCACCACCGAGCGAAGTCGGGTCAGCTAAACACTTTTACGAGCCCTTCCACCGTTAAAATCCAAGTTTCGCCACTATGATTGAGTCATTTTATCAAATGATTATATCATCTATCTTAAAGTTCAACAAGCGATATAAATTCACACCAGAACTTAGCATAGGATAGGACCCTTCTGATTTTATGATGTAAGCAAAAATTTTGTTCTTCATTTTTAAATAAGTTTGTCTATCAATAAAGTCCAAATACTTCACTGTAATTTATCAATGAAGTACGCTGAGGTACGAAATTTTCGCTATTTGCTCGTTATCTGTCCTATGGGACAAAGAGAACCTAAAGTTTTTTTTTTTTAATCGTTCCTGTCGCTTAATGAGACAAGGAAGAGATAGGACGCATAAATTCGTTCTATGTTCTTATCTATTTTACTGAAAGTTAAATGAAACGACGTCATAGCGAATAAATAAACTGTCGATTATAAGTTCAAGGTCGACTTATGCACTTAATTTGAATAAGACATGTCAAGCAACAACTTTGGAGTATAATTAGTTCTTAAAAAAAACAAAAATATGAACTTGTCTTAATTCATAACAATTAGACAAGATCATGTTTTATTTTTTTTTATATTATTTTCATATAAATAATTATTAAAGAATAAATTCAAGTTATGTATAATTGAATTGAAATAACTCTACTGAAAGATGACTCATATATTTCTTATCGGTTTTTTAAAATAAAACATGAAAAATAGGAATGTTATTTGTTCTATCTCATAAGGACCGAACGAAGAAGTTGATCTAGACACATAGACCGTTTTCTGATAATCGGTACATTTTAAATGAATCATAAGATGATGTAGAGTTAGTCACGATGTCCTGAAAATATTTTGTAATGAAATTTTATCTAGTCTTATTTTTTATTCATATTCAATCACATGATTTTTGTTTCGTAATCTTAAAATTTGATGCATAGAAGTAAACCTGTACACTCTTCAAATACTATCTATTTAAATTACATATTCAATGTTTTATGGAAATAAATTATTAGATTTTTCTTTAACTAATTTATTACCTTCTTCTATATGATATTCATTATTTATTATCCGATGAGTTGAACTGAATATAATTTTTTTTCAACTAATTGTTTAACAAATAGATTCAACTTACTCTGTAAACAAAAAAAACAAAAATAGAAAGAAAAAACAAGTATAAATCTAATTTACTCGATGCAAATGGTTCATAAACAGAAGTTACATCACTATTAATATGATCTAAAAAGAAAAAGATCAATATATGAGAACAAAGAAAAATAACTTTTAGAAAAAATCCAATCAATAAAATTGAAAAACCAAAAACGAGCAGAGCTAATCGTGTTTTTTTTTGTTCAAGTTCTTATTTACAAAAAATACCTATTTTATGTAAATCTTCTTTCCAATTTTGTCTCAGATCTGGATGAATAATATGTAAACTTGACCGAACACAACAGATAAATATTAAAAATTTTCTTTTTTCTATTTTTTGTACTTACTCGTTTGAAATATAATTTTGATTTGTTCGATTTAATATTTGACGAATATGTTTAATCCATTTCTAAATTAAAATCAATTAAATATAAATCATATGAAATCTTTTTTTTTCTTTCTTACATCTCGTTCATGGATATTACTGACACCAAAAATTTTACTATCACTTTTATCTTTTCCAATTAATTCAAATAAAGCATATTTGGATTTTATTGTTTTTGAACATTGACCAGATAATCTATATGAAAAAGAAACTTATTTAATTTCATTCAAATTATAATAGATTAACTTTTTATGAAATTCTATTGTTCATATGAATATTGTTAGTTTGTTGTACAAGATGCTAGCGAAAAAAAACTCAATAGATAATACTTCATTATATCTTTATCTGTTTTGCTAACAGATCAATGGATTATTTTGGAATAATTATTCTATCAAAAATAATAAATTATACCTCAATAGATAGATTGTTCATGATCAAAAATGACTAAATTATTCAATTCTTTTTTCTTTTTTTTTATCTATCCTCACGGAATATTTGCTTGTCAATTGATTTTGCTTATAATATACAGTCAAAGACAAAAGTTTAAACAAAAATGTATCTTTGATTTTTTCTATAATAACAAGCATCTAACTGAACTCCAAATAGTGATTCGGATAGCCAATGAAGAGCTCTATTAAATGCATCCTATACCCAAATTTCATAGATGATTTAAGGTAGCAAGGTTTCTAGAAAACCCAAAATCATATTTTTCAAGTCTCAGAAAGACTTTGCAATAATTCGTTTCTAACAGTACCAACTTAAAGAATACAAAATTCTGAAGAAAATGACGGGTCGCCACATTTCCTACGACTTTCCTTTCAAAATTTATAAGCATTACAAAAACTGGTAAAAAAGTGAAATTTATCAAGAAACTGCTAAAAATCGTATTTTTTTTCGATTTTTGTGATGCTTATAAATTTTGAAAGGAAAGTCGTAGGAAATGTGGCGACCCTTCATTTTCTTCAAAATTCTGTGTTCTTTAAGCTGATACTGTTAGAAACGAATTATTGCAAAGTCTTCTGAGACTTGAAAAATATGGTTTTGGGTTTTCTAGAAACCTTGCTACCTTAAATCATCTATGAAATTTTGCTATAGGATGCATTTGATAGAGCTCTCCATTGGCTATCCGAATCACTATTTGGATTTCAGTTAGATGCTTGTTATTATAGAAAAAATCAAAAATACATTTTCGTTTAAACTTTTGTCTTTGATTGTAAATAGCTATTAGTATTTATTTTTGTTGCTCTTGATCTTGCAAAAATTTTCCTATGATTTTTCTTTGTGAAATTAAAAGAAAAAAGAATTTTCAACAGTTTTCTATTTGATACCGAATATTCTACTTTTCCTTGATACAATGTGCAATGAAATAAGTTCAAAAATATGTACAGTTTAGTGATATTTTTTTTTTATTCTTGGAGAGAATGAAAATGTCATGCCTTTGTTAATCATATATTCATTATTTTTTCTAGCATAAAACTAGGATGTAGGTGTCTTGTTCTTCGTCCAGCCACCCTCTTTAGAGAACATTGGATATCAGCAGACGATGTACTAGAATAAAATAATTGAATTTGTTGGTGATTCTGTCCTATGGATTTCCACCGAGTTTTGTCGAATGATTGGATTGCTCACGTAGAAATACAGAGTCTACTTATGTGCGTCAATTCGCATTGGAAAAAACGTTTAAGATTTCGAGAAACTTCGGTAAAGTATTTTATTATAAGGAAACCTTGTCATGTAAAAATTCGAATAAAGAGATGTACATAAGTTTTATTCACAATGTTTTTTGATTTATTTATTAGTAGAAAGTATCGGAACAGCTTGTTAGTTATTTCAAATTTTATAATTCGTTACTTTCTGAATGAAAACTAGTTTTATTAATTATTTAGTTTTCTATATAATTCTTTGTTATGTTAAATAAACCGGTGTTTCTTTTAGTTTCTTCGAATATGACAGTGAAAAAAAGAATTCAGTTTTTCTTGTATTTTGAGAATAGTGAAAATTTTTCGTTCTAATACTAGATTCTACATATCTAACTACACGAACTCCGAATATGTTAGTTAATAAGTTTGTTTTTACTTAAAAAAAATGATGAATAGATATTCGATATTCTAACAGTTCCTATGAAATATTTTTATCAAGTTGTTGATTTCATGACTTATAGAAGAAAATTAAAATAATAAATATTATATGAATGCTATTCGATCGAATGTGACTTATTAGTCTGATTTGTGTTTGCAATATATAGCAAAACTGGTTTTATCGACTTTTTTTTGTTAACGATTTACAACGAACTAATATTACTATCACTATTGTTTTGAATTGAATTTTTTTTAGTGAATTATTTAGAGAAAAATGTAAATAAATAATTTCTAGATTTCTTTTCTTACTTAAACATATTTTAATATTAATTTTCTTTTACTATGCTCATGACACATTACTTATGTTAAGATATTCCCTAATTACTTTCTAATTAATAGTCAATTGGAAGAGTCAAACATTTTTATATATGTCTATGTTAAAGAAACTGATTTAGAAAAAATAACCTTTGTAAAGAATGAAAGGTCAATATGTCCTATTTTGTCTAAAATGACCTATATATGCATTTATCAACAAAGATATAAATGTTTATTTTAAAATTAAATCATGCAACCTCATATAAAGAAAATATCAATTATTAACTATCGTTATCTGCATATTTAGATCTTTTGAATTGCCGTCAAATGTCGAAAAACAGATTTCAGAGGTACATTTGTCACAAGTCCACAATCTTTGCAAGGTTTTTTCCAATAGAAAATGACGCTCAAGTGTTAAAAATGCATGACTGATTTGAATTGTGACTCATGCGTCACGCGAAAATCGTCATCGTGCTCTACTTTTGCTTTATTCGTTCTTCGAGTTACTGAAGTCGCGTTTTTTTCTTCCAGGTACAAAATGCTTCTAATAAGTTCATGAAAGTCATCATTACAACTTTTTTTTGTACAAGATCGTTTTAATGCACTCACATATAGTGCATTCATTGTTGTCAAACAAGATGTTTTTTGCTACTTTATATCGAAAAATTGAAAAAGTTATTACGTCAGTCTTTTATTTAGGCATATATGATAAATAAAAGTTATAAATTATTCGAAAGAAAGATGAATATTTCTATCGATGTGTGTTTAACGAAGAATTATAGAAAACAATATTTACATCGTTGTTCTACATCTTATGAAAAATGTAGATTTTTTTAACAGATACCTCTCCATATCTGTTGTATCATTTCGTTAAAAAAAGTACTTTAAAAATAAATTATATACTACTCAAAACCGATAAAAGAATGGTGTATTTTGAAAGAAAAAGTGTTTTTTCTTTCAACAACTTTTAATTGAAGAGAAATACACATTGACTTTTTTTATACGATTATTTTTGCATTTTATATTCATTTATTGAAAAGAATAAAACTTTCATTTTAGCTCTCTATTTTTGATTCTTTCTAAAAGTGACATAAACATAGTTTTAACAAAAAGCGAAGGCTCTGATGGTGGTCTATAGCTAACGAAAAGGATTTCAATGGATGAGAAGCTCAGCCCCTCTCTCCATCCATTTGCGTCAGTGTTCTCGAATGATTTAAAAATGTATGAATACAAAATACACATGTTATGTAAAGACTATTTACACACATTTTATCAGGTCTGCGTCAATATCTTTCTTATCTAACATTAAGGTCTATAGTAAACATTTTTTTAGTTCCGCGAAAAATGCAATCTTTAGTCAATGAACTAATCGTCTGATGTAAAATTATAATTCGGCGAACAAAATATTTTATGACTATTCTTAATATTTTCTTCTAGGCCATCGAGAAAAAAAGAAAAACATGCAGATCTATGTTTATCGAATTGTTCTATTCAAAAATTTACCTTTCATATGCATCTAATTGAAAAATTTTTGATGGTTTGTGTTTTTGATTTTGATATAAATACATAACAAAAAATTGTTTATCATCTTCAATTGGAATTTTTGCTAAAACAACATAATACATTGCAACTAAAAAGATGAAATAAATATTGTCTAATAAACTTTTTTTGTTTTCTTTTAAATAAATCTTTTTTTTTTTACACTGTGAAATATTAAGCAATTTAATTTGATGATAATAATAATGTAAATGTCCTTCACAAATAATCCATTTTTTTTGTAGATCCAAATATTTATATGACGTATAATCAATCATTGAATTGATATGTTTTTTTGTAGTCATAAGTTGTTTTAATGTTTTGTTTTTTGAAACTGAATAAATAAAATAAACTAATTTTTAAAACCAATTGTTTTTTTAATTATACTCATGATTGTGTGTTTATCTATAAAAAAAAAAAGTAAAATATTTTTCTTGTTTATTTAATTAAATTATATAAAAAAAGAGAAACAAAAAACAAAAAAAGAAAATGAGATTTTCATGTTCCATTAAAATCCTCCACGTAAAGCTAAAACCAAATGAAGAACACTGCCAGCAGTAACATTGTATTCATTTACAGTTTTATCATCTAACATTTGTTTACCACCGAATATAAGACGTTGTTGAGGTGGAGGAATTCCTATTTAAAAAGAACAATTAAATCTGTTTTCTAGTCTGGAAAGACTATTATACTACCTTCTTTTTCTTCAACACGTTCTTTAATACGTTCAATTTTATCTGTTCCATCAATATCAACTTCAATTTCTTTGCCAGTTAATGTTTTCACTTTGATCATCATCTTTGAAAGGTATAAATTTAGTGTAGTTTACTGCTTAATCTCACGAGATAATATAACTGTTTGGATATGTATGGTATTTTATGGAATACGAGTCAGATGATTTCGTTTTTTATTTTTTTTTCGTAAGAATTGAATCGATTTTTTTTTTTGTTTTTGAAAAAGAAAATTCTTTTTTTGTTAAATTATATCCATTAAAAAAATTTCCAAATAAATGATTGATTTAAAACAATACGATACAGATGTCATTTTGAGTCATCTCATGAATAATAACAAATGTGAAAAGATGTGATGAGCAAATTATTTATGATTATTGGTTGTGGTACAAGAAAAAAAAATTCCTTAGTCAAATGTATATAGAAATATAATATCGAAACATGTGTATTGATTATCTAACAAGGTCATATGTATTTATTTGTCCTTCATAAAAAAAAAAAGAGAAGAAATATTCTAATCATGTAAATATGAACTATCATAAACATAGTTTTTTTTTTTTTTTTTTTTTTTTTTTTTTTCGATCGGATAAAATAAAAATATTTTTAAATAAACTATTGTTAAGGTCATTTGTTAATAACATTCTTTCTTTTTTTTCTATAGTAGTACAGATGTAAAATTGAAAGTTCAATGTCTTATTTTATGTTTGAATGAGGTACTTATTCGTATGTCCATGAACATCATTCATCATTGTCAATAGAAAAGAAAGAAAAGCAGAACAAGTGTGAAGAATCGAGTGGTTGACTGCAATACAGTGCTTTCCATCAGCATCATCTCATCTGTCTACACCCTCTTGTGATGTAACCAAAAAAGAGTTGCCTTTCAATGACAAGTGATTATACATTCAGACCTAAAACATTATCACAGAAAGTTACATATTCACATGCATGAGCACTATTTATAAAAGAATGAGATAAGCATTTTGGTTTACATTCTTTATTTATTATTTTATTTATGTATTTTAGAACAAAAAAAAAAAAGAAAAATGTCGACAAATCGACTAACACCATTCACTAAACGTACTATGCCGATCAATAATAACACACATACAATACGTAAGTTTAATAAAAAAAAAATATATATCGAAAGATTTTTGTTTCTTTGTTAGCTGATATACTTGGTCATGAACAAATTGATTTAACACGTTTAAAAAAACAAGCACAATTAACTCAAACACAAATACCAAAAATTCCACGTATTGCACGTACATTAAATACACTTGATAATGTTTTAAAAATCTTAGAAGAACATAGTCGAATATCAAAATGTCAAATTGATCAACTTATACAATCTGTTGAAAAAGAAAATCCTCAATTAGCACGAGTAAATTTATTTTATTTTTTTTATGAAAAAGAAATTTTTTTTTTCTTTTTTTAAAGCAATTACATGAATCACAAGTTGCTTATTTAAAATTACAAGCTCATACAGCTTCATTACAAAGTTTAAAAGAATGTTATTGTCGTTATGCTCATATGCTTGATGGTGCAAGAACAATGTTTAATGCATATCAACAAACTACAACAAGACGAGATTCAATTGATCAAGTTAAACTTGGTCTAAAAGAATGCACGAAAGTTAGTATTCATTTAAAATAATTATGTTTTTATAATTTGATCTTTTATGGTATCAATACAATTATTATTACATAACTACTTATGAGAGAATCTTGTCAAGTGTAAAACTGTTTTTTTTTTTGCTTGAGGTCTCTCTCTCTCTTTCTATTTTCGATTGATGAAAGAACCTCTTCAAATATTAAATCACTTTTCGATTAAGACAATATTTATTGAATGAATGCTAATGGATAAAAGAAAAATCGAAAATGGTTTTTGGTTTTCAGGCTTTTGTTTTTTTTTTCAAAGAAAAGTTATAATCTCTTCAGGTCATATGAAAAATCGAATGTCAAGTTTTCACTTTAAATTCTGCATATACATAATACTCAATGAGATTAGTTAATTATGTAATTAGTATTTTTTTTTTTTGAAGATATAAATAGATGAACATAATTTGCTTTTACACATGAGAAAATTTCTAATATTGAACATGATAGAATAGATGATAGTAGAAAAGTCATAAATTGTTTAATGTATTAATCTCATTAAGAAGATTGGTCGTGCAAAGTTTTAAAGTCGATTTCCCATGTGATTTGAGGCATTTTGTTGAAAAATCTAGTAAAATTTCAATATATCGAGAATGAAGGCATAGAAAACTAAATCATTCAATATTTTTTTTTCTATTATTCACGAGTATTTATCAAATTAACATTTTTTCAATCGGAAAGCGAGTTGGCACTTGAAGATATTCTCTCTCATGAGACATCAATTTTTTAGTGAATTTTCTAGCAAAATGACATTTTCTAATTTTTGACCTAAACTTGTACCTATATCAAGAGTTCAATTAAACTTGCTTCGATAAAAAATATTAGAGTTTTTGAATTAAATCCCTAAAGTATATAATTGTGTTTTTTTTTTGAGAACTTGTATGTTTTCTATATTGTATATTAAACGAGTTTAGTTGAATTTTATACCTGAATGCGAGTTTAAGTCAAAGTTCGAAAATATCATTTTGCTGAAAAATTGAGATTGCACAAGAAAACTTTATATCTCAGTCTAGAAGATCAATTAACCAAAAATCAAGATAGACTTTTTAACTATTCATTGTGATCTATGTAATTATAATAGTATCGAGTATAAAGCAGCTTTAAACTTGAAGAAGTTCTTTGACAGTTTAAACTGAAATTCCTGTAGTTTCTAAAAAAAAAGAGCAACTTTTTATTGAATAAACTAGTTGGGATTTTTACGATTGTATATTTAAAAACAAAAATACTGCAAAAGGTTATATGTATTCATAATCTACTCTTGTCGAACAATTACTTTTTTATTTGAATTTGACATTTACAAATGTATCAAGAGAGAATTTGTTATGATATTATTGTTTTACTTACATTTAATCGTAATGATCTGATATGAATAGACCATAAACTTTTGTTATCTATTCAACAATTCTAATTGAATTCTATTCTTAATGTTATTGAAATAATAATAAATTGTTTCTTTAAATTTTTTTCAATCGTAATAAAAAAAAAAAGGACATAGACTAATTTCATAGAATAATTGGTAAAATTGATTGTTCTTTTTTAATAAATTAATATATCCGAGAATAAAATAATCGTATTGAATAATTTTCTAATTTCTTTATAATAGACTTTATGTGCAATTGAAGCTCAATTAGAAGCAATGTTAGGTACATTTATATTAAATTTACAAGAAATAAGTGGTTTTTCTCGAATATGTCCTGGAGATGAATATGAATTAGTTATACGTTATGGACAACAAAAATGGAAAACACGTGGTCGTATACTTAAACATGATAAAAATGAACAAATATGGACACGAAAAATATTTCATTTAAAAGCTAAATTAGCTGATTTATTATTAATTAAAATTAGTGAAGTTAAATTATTAGGTGTTTCATTAAAAACAATTGGAACAAAATGTTTTGAAGTTAATAATTTTTATTCAATGGAAACACAACGAATGATTATTAATGCAAATCAAAGTGGAACAATTAAATTAATTTTTTTGGTTAATTGGGAGTAAGATTTTCATTTTTTTCAATCAAATTAATAATTCAAAATTATATAAGAAAGGATAAAGTGTTCTTCATCAGTATAGTTTTTCATTTCCCTAAACATCAATGTATATGTCACAATTAACATACGATTGAATGAGTTGTTCGAGATAAATTGCCGTTAAAGATTTCTTAGTCATAATATTCATCATTAGCATTAATAATATATTATTCAAAAAAAAAAAATATTCTTATGATTATTATAAAAATATTTTCGTTAGGATTTTCTAAAGAAAACTATTTTATGATTAGAAAAATATTCAACATTTTTATATCGAATCTCAATGCAGAGATTTCTCTTATAGCTAAAAACTTATTACTTTCGTAATAAACATTTCTGCTTTATTTCCATTATAAAAAGAATACTTTCATTAATTGTTAACAATTGAACGATACAACTCCTCATTCTTTAGTGTATCAGTTGATATTTTTTTCTTCTTGATGATCTAATCTTCTTTCTGTCTGAGTTTATTAAAGATAACGTTTGCTTTTTTTTTTTAGCTTTTTTTCCTCACCAATCAGTGTTATAATGATTGATGACAGAAAATCAACATATGTCATATTGGAATTAGTCCGATGTTTTGTATATGATTATCTCTAGAATGATGTATTAGTGGTTTTGTGAAATATGATCTAAAAGGAATGTTTGAGTACAAGGTTAAAAATTTGGACTCATTTGCCCTTACAGACCGTGACAGACGTTATTGATATACAATTAAAAATGGGATATCAATAGCGCCCGTTCTTACATATATATGACCTACTTTGTTTTATTACATTTATCAAAGATTAAGTAAAAAAGAAATGTGTCCGAAAATAGATAGCATAGAGTAATCTCTCTAGGATTAACAAGAGCAACTACATTGTAGCTTGCACGTTAATCCTATAGGAGTTACAAGTACGCGTTTTTTACAACACTCATGAAGAGCTGGACAAGTACGAGTACTTTGCCCAGCTCTGCACTCATGTGATCCATTACTTGATTGAACTTAATAGTACTATATATCTTTCATAGATGTATGCACTGAATTAACTTCTATTTCAGGGTGAAAACCATATCTTGACCGCATTTTATGTACTCAAGTTATTCAAGAACTAAATAAATTTACATAAAGTATCCTTGATTCTGGACGCTAGTACTTGAAAGTTTAACTTTTGAAGAATGATAAATAGAAATATAAAAGCGTTAAAGCTTATAGTAGAAATCTTCTATGACATATTAACTAATATAAATAGTCATTGATAGTTCGAAGAATAATTATATAGGATTTTTCGTTTTAAACTTGTCAAGGATAATATTTCAAATATATAAATATCGAATTCATAATTGTTGATTCTTGGACAGATACTTAGATATAGGACTTGTCCTTAACCTGTTGTAATACGTCGCCCTGACATTTACCATCAATCACCTCAATATTACACAGGCAACTGTTATTAGAGAGCAAGTGTTATGGAAGTATGTGTCGAAAATGCAACAATCATCTTGTATTGAATATTAAACTATGAGTTGTCATTTATTAGTAAGAAAAAATTCAGTCTATTTAATTCAATAACAGTAAATATATTGAATTTTTATTGTATTAAAGTTACTTTCAATTTATTCTACGTACAATCATTTCTCAAATCATGATGAAAGACTATAAAAAATATAAGATAATTATCACATGATAAAATTGCAGAACTTGTCTGATATATCATCGAAAATATCTAAAATTGATTTGATTAATCTTTAGTCGATAGTATGAATTTATAAGAAAGAAAAAGATGATTTATTAAAGTTCTATTGTTTATTAATTTAGTCTTTATGATCAAGTTGATACAAAATTTACATTTTATAATCCAAATCGAACATATTCCGATGTAACACGAACATGGTCAATGTTTGTTGGAAATACAACATTACTTCGAACTGTAAATGATACACTTACATCATCTTCTGTTTCATCTTCTTCTGCTTCATCTCAATATTCTGCTAAACGTTTATCAACATTTTGTCCAATAAATTCTCAAGAAACTAATGAATATGTAACATATAATTCAATAATAGATGAAAGTAATCATTATGATGAAATCGATTTAGAAAATAAACATGAACAAATATCAAAACAAGAAGAAGAAGTAATTTTTAGATAAATTATTTATTAAAATATTTATTTATTTATTTATTTAGATTTGTGATAATTGTCCTGTTCATGATGATGTTCATTTATCATCAAATTCATCATCATTTGCTGCTGGTTTAAATTCTGATGAAATATCATCATCAGCATCAATTGATTATTGTCAAACAGAAGAAGAAGAAGAAGAAGAAGAAGAAGAATGTGTTGAAAATGAATCAATTTATGAACTTGATTTACTTATTGATCAAGTTCGAACATGTTTAGATGATTTACGTCTTATTGATCGATCATTTTCAATAATATTTGATAAAATTGAACAAATTATAAATGATTTAGATCGAATACTTAAAATTCAAATTCATGAACAAACAGAAAAAACATTAGAAATTGAAAATATTCTTATTGATTTTAATTTTTTAAATACATTTGATGATGAAGATACATTAAAAACAATTGATTCAGGTTTTGAAGGTGAACAACAACAAATAAAACAAAATGATAATTTTAAATCAAATATAAATCAACCAATAAATACGATTTTTGTTGATATACTTAATCGAATTTTAATTCTTCTTTATGTAAAATTGATTTTATTATTATTATTATTATTATTATTATTTGTTTTTTTCTTTTGAATAGTATATTCAAAATCGTTCGAAATCTGATGATAATCTTATTCTTGAACATCTTAATGATCAAAATGAACAATTGACTATGGCTATATCTTGGTGTGAAAATCAAGTACAAGATGTTAAACAAGGTAGATTTATTATTCTTTCTTATAATTTATTTCGAAAGAAACAAATTCTTGAACTTAATAGAAGATTATTTATTTTATTAAGAGAAAAGTTTTATATCGAACTATATTTAGTTATTTAACATGTTCAATCGAAAATGATAGCAAAAACATAATAGAAGATTCTTAGTCACTTGTATGGTGAAAGCAGTATGAGAACAACAGAGAAAAACTATACATACATTCTAGTGATGAAAACGACTTCTAAATAATATATATATATACAATTAATCTTACATTTTAGATTATGAGAATATGATAAAAATTTTAATAGAATTCACCAGAAAATTCTAATAAAATTTGTTTCGATTTTCATTAAAAAATTTTCTAAGACTACAAACTATTTTATGCATAAACATGACTTTTTTTTGCATGTACTAACTATAGATAACATAAAATAGGCAGTCATATTCATCTAAAATAACTTTTGATAAAAAATTAAAACTAATGATAATTCATACGATTTGTTAAGATATTATTGAAGTTTCAATCAATTCAAAATTTTAAGACTAATTAATATCGAAGCCAAAACAAAGTTTTGAGAAGGAACTGAGTCCATCTTTAAAGCATCATTCAGAAAAAAGTCCGAAAAAAACCAAATTCTTCTAAAGTTTCCTATTACTCATTAACATTCATCAAATTAATATCGTCTCAATAGAAAAGCGATTTGACATCAACAGAGACATTCTCATAAATTTTCTTGCATTATTAGGAATGAATAATCGATGTTTATATAAATTTTTGAAATAAAATTCAATATGTATGAAGTTAAAATTTGTCTCAATCTTATTAATCTACAAAAAAAAAAGAAAAGAAAATCCTATAAAACGAAAGACATTCATTTTCTTTTCTAGCATTATCTCAATCTGATCAATCGATTGTTGAATTTTGGTTAAAATGTTGTTCAAATGAAACATTCATTATTTCTTTTGAACATTGTCTCAATGAAATAATGAAATATTTAAATTGTAATCAAGGTAAAAAATTTTTTTTTTTATTAATTTTTATATGAATTCTTTAATTTAGATATTGCTGAATATCTATTAAATAATCTTTGTTGTTTATCATTTCGAATAAATTTTATTCATCCAAAATATTTAACACTTATTCAAATATGGTTTCTCTTAAAAAAAGATCGTTCTGACATTGAAAAAGATATTAAAATAGCAAATGAACAAAGTTAATACTAAAAAGAAATAATAGTTTTTTTTTTTCGTTTTTCTATTTTCTTGATATTTTTTAGTTGAATTTTCAAAAAATCTTTCCAATTTAATTTTAAATAATAATTATACTCAAATAGCTTTGATGCTTAATCGACGTACGTTAAATAATAATGAACTAATTAATCGATTATTATATGAATATGATTTTAAACTTCCAGGTAAATTTTACAAAAAAAAAAAAATATACATGTATTGTTTTTGTTGTTTAAATTAATTTTATTTTAGATGAATTGATTGGTATGTTATTAACATCAATTCGTCATGATGTAATATCTCATTTACGTACAGCATTATTATCTCATAATGATAATCCATGTAAACGTCTTCAAATACATAAAATGATATTTAACGTGCAACAGATGGATTCTCTCTAGTCATATTAAATTTCAAAAAACAAAAATATTTTCTTTCTTATTGTTATTTACTTGTTTTCTTCTATTGTATGGAAAATCCGATTAGAACAGTGTTTGCTTTGTTGTATATATATATATGACAATAAGATATTTGTTATGATTTCTTTGTTGACGTCTATTCTCTTATAAGAAATATATATCTCATGCATTTCTTTTCTTTTTTCTTTTTTTGATAATAATGATGGGAAAATAAATATATATATATATAAATTTAATAAATAAAAAGAAAACGAAAAATATTTTATAGATTTTATTATGGGTAAACAAAATCGTGTTATTGCTCAAAAAGCAAAAGTTAAACAACAACAACATAATAAAAAACCAAAAGCTGTTAAAACTAATTTAAAACGAGTGAGATGATTGTAAAAATTTTGTTTTCTTTTTTTTTTAATTATTTATATAAAATTTGATTTAGTTAAATGAACAAGTAAGAAAAAAAGTTGAACAAGTTGATAAATTATATGATAATAAAGATGACAATCAATCGAACGAAAAAGTACAATGATAAGAATTTATTAAATTAGGATTTTCCTTTTTTTTTGTTTTGAATAATTTTTATTTTTTAGAAACAAAAAATGGAAACAACAAAACAAGATACATCTTCCGTAGATAAAAAATAATTGTGATTGTTAAACAATTAATTGTTATTTTGTTTTGTTGAAAAATAAAAATTTGTTCAACCGACGTGTGATTTTACAAAAAAAAACTCTTTATATCAATCATCATATAAATATAGATTTTATTTTAATTCTTCTCCGCAATATAAGATCATTCTAAGAAGAACACCCATGTAGGATATAATAGAAGATCCTCTCTTGAATTAATTTTAAATCTTATCAAAACTCAAATATTCATGTGTACGCTTATATTAAAATATATCTCGTTTACAAGGTTTTGAGTTGAAACGCCTGAAATGAACATGATTTATGAGCTAAAATCATTTTGATTTTATGAAGAATCCTTTAAATTAAAAACTTATAAAACTAAACGCGACACAATAGAAAACCCGAGCTCTTCTATTCCAGAAAAAGGTTGCAATGATGAAGAACCTAGTGACAATATCGTTTCTACTTAGGGCAAACCAAAAGTTTGTAGAACGGTTTAAAAGAACCTTCTCGGATAAGGTAACCTATTCATAGGGGTGCAACAAACCCAAAGCCTTGGGATTTGGTAAAAAAAGAATTGGGTTTGTTCTAGACTGGGATTTGGATTTGGGTTTAGGTTTGGTTTTAAATTACCCAAATATGACGAGGCTTTGTAAAATAAAGTCCCAGAAGGGAGAAAAGAATCCCAAGTCTTATAAATTAATATGAAATGGATTGAATTTGGTATAGATTTGGGTTTTGGGATTTGGATTTGGATCTTAGATTTGGTGTATAGCAGGTTGGGATTTGGGTTTGGAGGTTGAGATTTGGTTTCAATTTAACAAGACTACAAAGTTGGAGTCATGTTAGATTGAAACCAAAACCCAAGTCCAAATTCAAATTCAAGTCCAAATCTCAAAGATTTGGTGCCAAATTCCAAATCTATTCAAGGTTTGTTGCACCACTACCTATTCAGAAATGAAAAACCAAATACACCATGTTGTAGAGCTTTTTGAGGCGCGTCGAATGGTACATAATAAATCCTGTTTTCATAAGACTTTGAAGAAACTAGAGTCAATTTACTGATAGACGATTACGCACCCACACTCACATCCACCCATACCCACACTGACAAGATGACCGGAGATGCAACATATATGAGGTTGTAGCCCGTCAAAAACTCTTCAAAATCGTGTGTGAGAAAAAATATTTTACAAATACTTTCGACTAATCCCAAGGACCACAATATTCAGTAGCCTATCATACTTAGGTGAGGGTGTGAGTATGGGTGCGTAGTCGTCTATCAATAAATTGACTCTAGTTTCTTCAAAGTCTTATGAAAACAGGATTTATTATATACCACTCGACGCGCCTCAAAAAGCTCTACAACTTGGTATATTTGGTTTTTCATTTCTGAATAGGTTACCTTATCCAACAAGGTTCTTTAAAACCGTTCTACGAACTTTTGGTTTGCCCTAAGTAAAAATCAAAAAAATTTTAGTAGTGCAGTATCTTTGCAGGTAAAATGTGGAACTCATATGCTTTCTTTCGGTTCATTATACTAATACGACCTGTCCAAGCGTGACGGAATAACTTTTTTTTTCCACTTTATCTCAGGAATATATCAACAGATTGAACTCTAATAGGGCAGATATTTTGAAAACATGTATAAGTCGAGTTGCCCTACACAGCATAAAAGTTTCACTAGTTCTTGTCTTTCTTTTACATTTTTATGACTAAAATATATGCCCATGACGGAATAACCAAAAATGGACTCTGGATTTCAGTGGTGTGCGAAGAACTAAAAATTTTAGATCAACTACACATGTGATTAAAAACTTTTCTATAGAAAAGTTGTAGCTGAGATGACGAGCTATACATAAAAAGAAAACAATTCAAGATATATGATAGCTTCGTCTCATATGTAGAAAAAAAAATTGCCGTGACGGAATAACGATTTTTAAAATCGGCATATTTTCATCAACGTTTATTTCTACAGAAAGTTAATACTAGTTTCCCCGAGATGAATCAATTGATAACATCTCTGAAAGAATAATTAAGAAAACGTCTCACATCATCCTTTTGACAACGTAAAAATTATATAATGAAAGGATGAATTTCGTATTTTTCTGACTTTGCCGAAATAGGTGGACCGTTCGAATACAAAACACACAAAGCATAAAAATCTTTAAAAAAAAGTCAGTTCTTTTCCAACAATAATTGATTGTTAGCAAACGTTCTGCCTTTTTTTGTTTGTCTTGTTACTATTTGCATAATATGTTTTTGTGTTGGTAGTATGACAGTTGTAGGAAATCAAAACATCAGTTCTAATTATATTGAATATAATCGTTTATCTGTGCAATAGTAAAAGATCTGCATTATTTAGAATATTGAAAAACGTATTGTTTTTAATCACGGTTATTAAAGTCTGTAATGAGTAGGAGGATCACCTTAAACGTTCGTTGTTAGGATCTAGTAGGAGGAAGTCGTAAAGACCACAATTTAAACTTCAACTCATTACTATTTCCATCTAACATATATTTAAGTTCCACGAAAAAATATTCTGGAAAGATTATTAAAAAATTTCCATCACGAGTATTCGAATATGTTGAATTGTTTTATTCGAGAAATCAATTAAGAATATAAGCATAGTTTAGTTCTTCAGTAATAGTGTTATCTATAAACATTTTCATTAAGAAAACTTTGATCATTATTCAAGTATTCATATTTATTTTAATTAATTATGTAAGTTCATTCATTCTATGTTATTTATTCGTTACAGTTTTTATCACATTGAGCTTAAAATCAGTTTGTGACTATATGATGTTTTTGATATCAAAAAAATAATCATAAAGTTGAGAATGATGTTATTTTGAATTTCAAATTTTCTAAAATATTTCATATCGACTCTGAATTATAAAATAGAATATTTGATTTCAGCAATGTATCTTCTAACACATGTCATGTAAAATGATGAATAATTATTCTTTTTTATCGGTTCCATTAAAATAGAACCCGACGAATGAAATAAAAATTTCTTCATTTGAAACAGTCATTCAGCAAACAAAAAAATTATTTTATTGTAGAATTAAGTTATTTTATTTCAACCAATTTGACTCGAATTCAATAACACAAATACAAAAATGGAATCACTTTAGATTTCAGTCTTCTTTGGTTGACTAAAAGAAATAATTACTACTGAAGTATATTTACATTTCCAAAAAAAAAATAAATGTCCCATCAATGAAAATTTCTTTCGTAACATAATAATCCATCAGCAACTTATGAAAAATTACTGAGAAATTTCTATATTTTTTTGAAACTTCTTTCGATATATTATATGAATAAATCCATTCGTAAGATAGTTTATGAGAGAAGTTCTTTTTTTATTCTAAAGCAGAATTTTATCATCTGTTATTCTTCTTAGCAACATGAACAAAATCATTGTATCAACATAATACAAAATAATTATATAATTTCAAATGATATCTTATCAAATAAACAGTATGATAATTTATGTAGATATTAACATTTTTGAAACATAATTTATTTGTTTATATTATCATTCATATTTACAAACATATTGATAGATTTGAAAGATGCAGATCAAACTATTTTATATAATTTTTAGTTCTTTTCTCTATTTAGAAATTTACTTCAAAAAATAAAAAAATAAATATTTTAAATTTATTGATCTTATTATAAACAATATGAGTTATCACAATGTATAATGAATAGGCACAAAACGACGATATTTTGTTTTAAATGTGTACACTACAATATGTAGGTATTTTTGATTTAATCACCGGTAAAACATCCTAAACAACAACAAAAAAACATTATATCATAAATATAAACAAATAAATTTCTTTACTTTTTCACCATTTTCTTCAAAAATATTCAAGGCATTAGTTACAGCATCTCGATATTTTCGATTTGACATTCGTTTTGCTAACTAAAAGATAAAACAAGAAGAAAAACATTTTATAATTAATTCTTCTTCTAATATACTTACAATACTTAAATATGTTTTTAAATATTTATCTAATTCATTTCCAACAACTGTACTTAATTGTATTAATGCATTTAAAGCTCCTTCAAATACTTCATCATTATTTGAACTTAATGCTAATTTAATTGGATTAATTAATTTCGGTAAAAGTAGTATTACTTTTGGTCGTGCATTTATATTTGACATAAGTTCTGTAAAACCTTGTCGACTTATAAATGGAAGTGGATGTGATGTTTCACGTAAACCTTCAGCTAATAAAACAAGTACAGGATCATAATTAAGATCATCAATTGATGTATTCCAAGCTAAACGATTCCGAACTGAACCATGTACAAGACGACAAGGTATTCGTCCTGATGTAAATGCATTTAAAAATGGAGTATTACTTGTAGAATTTGCTGTTGAAAAAGGATCGATAGTTTTTGGACATAATTTTGCTGATGGTCGATTAAGAGATGCAGCCATTAATCATAAATGTATGTCTGTATTATGTTGCTAAGTGAAACAAATAGATCTGTTTGTTCTCTCTTATTTTTTTTGTTGTTGTTGTTGCTGTGATTCTTCATCACGTCAAGAGGTGGCAGTAGTTTCCACCTAATTTAAATAAGTTTTAAAACAATTTCTTTGATTTAAGTATCGAGATTATGTTAAATATTATTCTTGTTTTTATTATTTATTTTGAATTTTGAATAAAATAAATTTCTTCTTCAAATTTTCAATGAAAACTTATAAAAACATTTTATTTTTTTTGCTTTTTTTTTCTGTATAGTTTTAACCTTCAATTTACACCTACACATATAAATTCAATATTTTTGTTTTTCATTAGTCCTTCAATAAATTACTTGAAATAAAAATATTAAGATTCTTAGTTATGTGATAGTTACTTATAACTTCAAAATTCAAAAAGAAAAATAAAGTATTTCTATGTAAATATTATTTTTTCCTTTGAGTGATTCTATTCAGTTAATAATATTCAAATAAAACATGCCTGACTTTTTTCTTTTATTTATCGAAAATCCATTTAACGAAATTTAATCGTGCAAAAAGAAAAACCTATATCATGCACGCACGGCAATAATCGTGCGGTCGTTAACAAACATGAAGTACATAAAAGTACGTTGCATTATTATTTGTCATACAGGTTAAATTGCCTAAGGACGATAAGTATGCATAGCACATCATGTTTTTTCCTGTGTCATCATTGTTATTGGTGCATTTTTAAAAAGAATATATAAGGGGATCGACAGTTTTGCTTATTTTTAATTATTTATTTTTCATTTGTACGTTAGAGATAAAATTTTAAAAAATCTAGCGTATCGTTATCTTTCCAACTTGTGTCAACTTTTTTATAGGAGATGTTGCTACATAATAGCTATTAGTTTTTATTTAATCTATTTTATTCCTATCGCTAATTATTAAAACGTTAATAATCATGACTGAGGTTATGTGGTATAAAGCCCAATCGTTAGTCAATTTCATGAATAACATGCATGCCTGATTTGTTTCTTATTTTTCTTTGCTGTTTGGCAACAAGTAAAGAAACAATATGAGTAATGTTGTTGTTTCATTATGGATCCATGTCGACAGTTTTTTATATTAAACGAAGGAAAAAAAAGGTGTATTAAGACTCCTCCATATATTTATATATTTGAATGAATGGTTTATGTTTTTCTTCAGATTACTTTTTATTACAGAATGGTCACATGTCTTGCACAGCAATCTTCGACGCAATTATTATCAAGTAATTGTTCTCAGCAATTTCGTATGATATCACATGATTCAAAAATGTCATCAATGTCATCTCGAAAACGGCTCTTAAACGAACAGAACGATAGTAATCCATGCTGTATGGAGTATTTTGATCGTCAGAATGAAATAACTAAACGACCCAAAACAGGTAATTGCGTCATATGAAAATTCAGAATAGAAAAAGAACAAAAATTTTGATCTTTGCTTTTTTCACAGTGTTTCTCGTTCGTTCTCCTATTTTCTATCGCCCACATTTCACGCATTGCCTCATACTTCATATTAAATTTTCTTTTTGTCACAACCAATAGGGTTATTTCATCATGAATCAAAGAGCAAATATCATCATAAGATACAGCGCTGTGCGCCTGGAATATTACGACGTAGAAGCCTTATTCACTCAACATTCACCTATATAAAGTGTGCTTCAACGACACACACATACATACCTTTTTTACAAGCTTTATCGAAAACAACAACAACAACATTAGAAAAAAACATGCTTGCTCTTCAACAAAAGCCTGAAATTGTTAGCAATGATGAAACTGAGAAAACTCTTGATTCACTATTTTTAACATGCGCTCAATTAGCTGCTTATATAACAACAATTACGAATACCACTGATCGAACAATATTAATAATTGATTGTGGTTCACCATTACGGCATACTGAAAGACGAGTTCAAGGTTCATTTTTATTAAATGTTAATGATAAAATATCTCGAAAACGTTTGGCTACTCGTGGTTTAAAAAATTTCTTAGATAACAATCAATTAAATCGTTTAAATAGCAATGAAATCATTATTTTATATGATGATTCTATTCGTCCATCATCAGCATGTGCTAATGCATCAATTCAATCTCAACTTTCATCGTCAATGAAGTGTGTTTATGACGAAATAAAACGATATGATGCAAATAAAACAATTTATATTCTTGAATCACCATTTGACGAATTTTATCAACATTATCCATCGCTTTGCTATATTAGTACATCAACAGACGAAGATATTTCATCACCGGCAATATTAACAGCTGTACCAATAGATATTGATTCCTTTCAATTATCTGAAATAATACCTGGTCTTTATCTTGGTAGTTCAAATGATGCTGAAAATCTTCGTTTATTACAAGCACATCAAATAGATGTTATAATTAATGTATCAACGACAATTCCAAATTATTTTGAAAATGAAAATATATTTGAATATCATCGATTACCATGTCATGATTCAGCAAATCAAAATATTCTTCAATATTTTGAAACAACATTTGAATTTATTCATAAAAGATTATCTATGAACAAAAAAATTCTTGTACATTGTCAAGGTGGTGTTAGTCGTAGTCCATCATTTATTATTGGTTATTTAATGAAATATCATGTAAAAACATTTGACGAAGCTCATCGTCTTGTAAAAACTAAACGATCTATAATTAATCCAAATTTAAACTTTCTTGGACAATTAATGCAATATGAACAATTGTCGAACAAAGCTTAAATTAAATTTGTTTTATTGTATTAGATTTGTTTTGCATATCAATACTGTATTATTTTTTTTTGTTTTGTTTTGAATGTACAATGTGTCAGATACTGTATGTTTTTGTATAGAATAGTAACGTAATTGTATATTTCACTATTCTTATATGTCAAATACATGCATATCTATCGGGTACTTGTTAATAGTAATCAAGAAACTTTCATTTACTCTGGTGACATATATAAACATAGCACATTTTAATATAAATGTAATCAAGAAAATATAAATAGATCTGTTTTCATCTTGACTTTAACATATAGCATATTAAAATATCAACACAAGTGGATATCTTATCGAACAGATGTTACAAATTTATTGTGTTAAGTTGAATTGTGATTTTTTGCGTCTTTCCAAAAAAATATTTTTACGGTCACGATTATTGACATTTGTTTCTTCTTCTTTCATTCACAATAGAAGATTCTTTTTTTTTTGTTTTTTAGAAGAACAAAACATCGAACATTATAGAAGAATCCTTTAAATTAATTAATTTTGCGGAAAATTATAACTTAGATTAGTATATTTAAATCAAAAAATGCAAAATTTCCACTTGATGTAAAAGACGTCACAAAGAAGAAAAATAATATCGAAAAAAATACGAAAAGTCTAAATTCCAAAAAAAGAATATTACGAAAGAAAAAAAAGTCGCAAAAAGCTATTTGTGAAACAAAAAGTTTCAAGTCGTTTGAAGCACATGGCATCAATGTCATAATAAACCTATCTCTGCTTGTACTTAATAGTTTATTTCAAAGATATATGATGATGAAAGAATGAACTCACATAATCACAAAAGCATGAATAAGAAAATATCATTGAGGGTGTGGGTGTGATTATGAGTAAGTTTTCGTGTGTACAAGGATACTTTCTTCATATTACCTATACACTCACACCTTTCTTTCTTATGTCAACATACGAAAAAACGAAGAAAATTTTCGATTGGTACGAGTTTTTTTTCATGAAACTATTGCTAAACAGCAATAAAATGAAAGGATATCTATCAAGATTTAATTTTTGAAATTTTAAGTATTGAAAATCCTATTTTGTTCGACACTTCAGAGGTCGACTTTTTCGTATTCAAATTTTTTTTTCGAACTTGTTACATTAATTTCTAGTTTTCAGAGTATTGAGATGAAAAATCCTAAAAAAGATTACAATCAACATTTTTCTTCTGAGTTATTGAAAGTTTAAAAATCTTTTCTCAAATTCTTTAAATGATTTTGGTTTTCTCAAAATAATCTTTTAAATAAAAATTTATGAAAATAAATGAGGCATAATCGAAGATTCAGGATCTTCTGTTGAAACCTAGAAGACATCGTATAGTATATTTTAAATAGTGCATATCTTCTGATAAAGGTCATTCATTTTGATAATGAATAATTTCTGATAAAACATGTTTATTACCGACAAGAGCATGACTGGTTATTAATCATTCTTGAGTGATTTATTACATAGCAATATGTAGAAACGATGAATATTATCAACAAACCATGACGTTAATAATAAATATTTTGCTGCATATTTTTATTATCAAGCATAATCAAAAATTAACATGCTTGAGAATGTGAATGTAGATGCATGACTAAGGGCTTTCGAGTAGACTGTTAGTATGAGCATGTTTGAGAATAAGACTGACACTTACATCTATGTCTGTCCGCATACCAAGACTCATAGCTGCAACCACAGGTTACACCCAGCATTCACTCTCCATACTTACACTCACAATTCATTGCTTTATGTCTATGATAAAATATCAAATGGAAATATTTGCTGCAGGAGCTCTTAGAACTTATATCGCACTATTCTTCCTTGTCACTCAAAAAGCAAAAAAAATAATCTGGAATCCTGCTATAAATATTCAAAGAATTGGTAATAGCACAGCCAATTCCATAAGAACCAATGCTAACGGAGAAAATAATGTATTTAAATCAAGAAGAATGTTTTGTAGAATATCTTGACAAAAATCTTGCAGAAAATAAATCTATCACAGTGAACAAAGATTGAATAGTAGAATGATTTTTTTTCTCTTTGAAAAAGTTTCATACAAAACAAATTCGATCGATAGCTATATATTGTAGTTTTGCAAAAGAAGTTGTCTTGCATACTTCTACAGATTACATTTGTTAATATAAAATCTCATCTTATGAAGTGAAAGAAAAGATTCTGTTTCTTCCAAATAAAATCTAAATCCATTAAACTATTCAAATGACAGATTTATTCTTTGCTTTCTTTTTCTTATCTAAAATAGTTAAGTTAAAAATAGATTATAATCCTTTTAACCTATTTTATTTCAATAAAACGATAAAAGGTCATCATTTTTTAACATTAGGGAAATCGGCCTTGAAATGCTCGGAAATTTTGATTTTACTAAGAATACAAGAATTATTCAGTATCGGATTATGTTTCTTGTGAAATTGTATATGATCTTTCGTCGGCAAACGGGGGGGGGCGAAGTACTATTTGATATAGAGCTTTTAGTATTATCGAGAAATTGTTCGACATTCTCAATATCAGCCTACAGAAGAAAAGTTTGATAACATGAAGATATTCAATAATTGATCAATATTTATTATTGCTATTTAATGGTCGACACTATTTGTATTTTTGAGCTTTTCAATTAATTATAGATGAAATTTTTAGAAATGGAAATGTTTGTGTAATTCGAAGGAAAAATTTATATTCAAAAGGACATTCATTAAATAACGATACTTCACGAACATATTGACAAAAATTCATTTGAAAAATCATTTGTGATACTTTTATACTATTTCATTAAATTTGAATATGAATAAATATGACAGTGACCAGTTTTCTTTCTTGGAAAATAATCAACACAACAAATAACTTTACTATTTATGAAATTTTTTAACCTATATTGGTTTTTTTCATTTGACGGTCAATAAGGTTGATTATGAAACTATATATAGGCTATAACTGATTCAATTTATAATACAAATTTGTTTAATCATCGCAAATGATCAATAAAATTCTTTTTCAAATTATTTACAACAATGAATATTTCAATGTTATGGATAACAAGAGATCAAGTGATAGTGACACAATTCAGGTTGCACAAAAATCTTAATTACTATCACAAATCAAAGAAGAAGATCATAAATTAGGAAATTCTTCGTAGAAAGACAAAATAATACATTCAAAATATTATTCAAAAAAATATTTAAATGATTCTTTCTTTGAACCATAATTGTATTCAAATTCTCTCTTTTGAAGGAGCGATTTAAAACTCTTAATGGGTGATCATCTATTTTTGAAATACAGACACCACACTGCATGGTACAATAACTACGAACTCTGAAAGGACCAGCCAAATCTTCGAATGATCATTGTGTTACGTTTAAAAATTAACTTTACCATTGACTATTATAAAATGAACGATCAATCGAATCTGTTAGCGTTCAAATTTCTCTGTATTTTACTCACTTTTACACATCTTATATAGGTTTCATCATTTTTATTTTGTAGACACCATTTGAATTTTAATGATTGAAACAATCACCATTAGAATTTTTCTTACCAATAAACAAACGTTTAAATATCACTTCTTTAGCATCGTACAAGCTACGTTCATAGAAATTGCGATAATCAACAGCACAAAGAATACATTCGATAGATTATGATTACAGATGAAGCCCTTTGCATTCATAGTGAATATCACATCAGATCTCTGAACAAAAGTTGATTAATTATTGCATCGGCAAGAGAATAGGTAATATCATTGAATGACCTAGTCAGCAATGTAAAGCAATTAATCAAGACTAGATCATATATCATTTTATTTTGTTCAATTTCTTACAAAATAGTGATAAGTAATTGATCCTGGTGATCAAAAATTTTTCAAACTTCCGGATTTATTGCTTTTTTTTTTCGTTATAAAGGCAAGGATAATTGAGATATTAGAAATATTTTGCAGCAATTGACGATGACTCGGTCAATAAACTTACATCTTTCTATGCATTGATACTGCTGGAGATCAAAAACAATTGTAGTTGTGTGAATGCTAGCATTTTATTCATATTACTCTAGGTAAATATCAACCGAGATAAATGTTGCTATGATGAGCGTGACAAACGTCATTTCCATTTATAAGTATCATGATATATATTGAATGAGACTACAATTATAAAATAGATTATAATTGTCTCTAATATGATTATGATACTTCTATAAAAACTAACAGTCATAAGTACTTATCGCTTATTAACACGTACTTCTAAAACAAATTATTTTCAATATCATAAGTATACAATCGTAGGTGTCAGATGTAATGAATAAAATATCTTGTTTATTTATTTATTTATTTCACACAATATTTTCAAAATAATCTCTCATTCTTTTGCTTAACAGTTAGAATAACAAAATAGATATACAAAAGTATAGTAAAATAAATCATGAATAAATGAAAATGATGATGGATTTTATTATTAAGTTCATCTTTGACAACTCTTAATTATAATACTAAAAGGAATCTTATTTTTATTCTAATTTCGGATTCACTCTAATAAAGAAAAAAAGTTTTTTTTCTTTTTTCTTAAAAGCTATTCATGTGATCAACAACCAAAAGAAAGATGAAATTCAAATCATTTCTATGTTGATTAATAGTTTATCAAAAAATCAAATCTTCTTTCTGCATCCTAATAATTTTTTCTATACAAACATATCATACAATGAAAATTTTCTTTTTAAAGCTCGTTGATTTGTGAATAGTAAAAAATATGTCTAATAAAGTTCCATATGAAAACGTCTTTAGTCAATTATCAGTTCGATTTTCCTTTAATTTTTTCATCTATGTTTACAAAATGACAAGAACTTGCATCTAAACATAAATATTTCGGTGGACAATTGAAACATTTTACACCTATTTAAAAGAAAAAAAGTCTAAGTAAAAGATAAGATTAATTTGTCGACAAACCATCACATGGAGGTTTCATCCACGAAGGAATTTGACATGGTGATTTTTCAGATTTAATACATGATGGACAATTAAATTGACGTTCTGGCAATGTCACAATACCACCTTGACAATCTTTTATAAATTTGTCTAATTTATTACGTTGTGATTCAAGACATTTTCTTTCCATATATTTCGTACCATTCTTACACGACATGTGTTAATCGAGAACAGTAATATATCAGAAACAATCGCAAAAAAAGAAATATGAAAGAATCACAAAAATATATAAAGGCGCTCAAGTCATATCATCATTTATGTAAAATTGCTAAACAACTTCTTTTAAACATTCACATGCGTAGAGGTTCTTTTTTTTGATAATAATTGAAGCTCAATATGCTTTATATACTAAGATGTTGAAATGAGATTAAAGAGGATTTCATAGAAGCTTATTATAAGCATGATGATTTTTAGTATAAAGATTTTTTTTTTATACTTTAGTTTTCTTCATCTTAATCTTTCAATTGATATAATTCAAATTTCTTATTTGTTGATGTTTCTACTAGATGAAATGATCTTGATGCTTCATGTTCGATTTAGACTTTTCGAAGTAAAAAAAATTATTTTTCTTTTTCTTTTTTTCGTCAATATGAGTATTACGCATGTTGATCAAATAATTAATATGTAAAAATATGCTGAGAAAATTTTTCTTCATGACGAAAAAACTGCGAAGTTAAAGATGATGCAAAATGATAAAAAAAAAACAAGGAAGCATCTGATAATCAATGATTGTACTGTTTAATATTTGATTATTAAAAACAAAAAAGGCAAAATTTGCACACCGTTTGCATTTATATACAGCATATAATCGAATGAAATAGACAAATACAAATAAAAATTAAAGGCCCAAACGTTTCTCACCACACTCACAACAAAATTTTGCCCATTCAACAGGAAAAGCTTCACCACATTCATGACAATGTTTCGCTGCTGTGGACACTCGTGGTTTTTGCTGTTGTTGTTGTTGTTGCTGCTGCTGCTGTTGCGGTTGTTGTTGTTGTTGTTGTGAAAACCCATTCGTTTGTGATGGTCGACGTGCTGGACTTGGTGATCGTGTTTTAAGTCCTGTTGTACGTCGTTGTAATTGTGGTGAAGCATCACTTTTTTGCTGTCCTCGTCCAGTTGCTGCCATTACATTTAAATCATCATTTTCAATAGTGCGACCTGTACGCATCATACCAGGTAGATAAGCACCTGTTGCACTACGTGTTTTTGATGCTCTGTTACTACCATATTTAGGTGGTGTTCCATTCATATGATTTGATGATGTCTAGCAATTAAATTATCAGCGATAAAATCTCATTGCAATGCGTTGTTTTAACATACAATAAATACACGATAGATTTAGTTAGACATTTACTGAACTCGAGCCTACACAGAACAGCTCGAACTCTGTCAGACTCAATTTCCTTGGTAGCTTCTATCCATCAGCGAAGGAAGTACATTGAGTTTTAATATACAGACTAGCTGTTTTTTGCGATGCGGATATCTCTTTATGTTTAAGATCACATTGATTAATTAAAAAAGATTATGCCAAGACAATATTTTTTCTAAGAAAGACGGCGGAAAAAAACACATCTGTCATTTAGCTGAATGAAAATCCATGAGCATTTTAAGAGAACATCATCGCGAAATAACACATCGAATTATATACTTTAGACTAGAATATGTGTCAGAGTTGGAACTACTCGGGCTCGGTACATGCCTGGATTAAGTAAAGTTATGGAGATATAGACCGATAATTTAAAAGTAGACATACAATAATACAAATAAAAATATCAAACGAAAATATAAAATGTTCATAAATCGGTTGAGTCTAATATTTTAATACCTTTTTTTTAAATAATATTTGTGAATAGATTATTTTTATAATTATAGTTCTGATTTTGAAACTATTGAAACTACATGAAACATTATCAAATAGAAATATTTCAAAATAAAAAGAATCTAAAGTTATAGGATAAATTAGACAATGTATTGAATGAAGTCTTGAGCGACTTATTAACAAATACTATTCAAAAACGTATTAATATACAAACTCAACCGGTATATGAGCACTTCATATCTTCGTTGAATATTTGTATTTTTATGTGTCTATTTTTGTACTGTTTGTCTATATCTGCAAAATTTTATTTAACCTATAATCTCTATATTACATGTTAAAACAATAAATCACAATGATTTTGTAGTTGTTAAAATTATATTTGTTACAAAATTATATTTATTTTTATTAAATACCTCGCCAAAATTAGTTTTTTTAAATGTACTTGGATTTAATGGTGGTCTTCGACAATCTTTTTCATCATGGGTTCTAAAATTTTAGTTTTTCATGTAAATTAAACGAAAAAAGAAAAACAAATTGTATATAAATTACTTTTGAGGTCGTCTTGATACAAAAGTAGAAGGTGCTGAATTGATTTGATGCTGTTTATTAGCACTTCCTGTCGGTGAGTCAAGATCTAGAAATTCATTCAATGTTTTCTTTACGAACTATTTTCTATTGACTCACTATACTGCTGTTGATATGCCTATATTTAAAAACAAAAAGAAAAAAGAAAAGTGTTGTTCAATGATTAATGACAAACTAACTCGTCCTTGTCGACCTATACTTCCACCAGCAGTACGCGTATTATTTGCTGCTGCATATTGCATCTGTTTTCGTTTATATTGAGTTTCACAACTGATGATTAAGTTGAAAATAGATTAAATATTTCAATAGGAAAAAAAACAAATAATCATACAAAGGAATGTGTCGCTCAGCTGAATGTTTATTAAAATGACGTTGACAAAATTCACATTGAACATAGTCACTTGGAATTTGTGCTGGTGTTTGTTTTGGTAATGGGGCACCGGTTTCCATGGCTCGTGTTACTTGACGAGCTTCACGAATTGTACGTACTAAGGCATTATGGCCTTCTCTCCAATTATTTGGTCTTTTCTTCTGATTATTCTGTTTAGGTTTAACACCTTCATAATAAAACTAAAATTTATTACAAAGTAGTTAAATTATTTTTACAAATAAATATCTGAAAAATTTATTGATTTTTTTTCGTGACTGTTTATCAAACCTGTGTAGTTTCTTTGGTTGCTGCATAAGGCACATCAGAATCAGTAGCACGTTGTTTACCCATATCAAAAACTTTTCGAGGTTGTTTTTGAGCAGTTTTTCTACAAATTGGTTGATGTTTACGCTAATGATTTAGGAAACAATAAAATGAGTCATCATAGATTTTTTTTTTCAACTTAAAATTTTCTCTACCAAAGATTCGGCATTAAAGTTACGACCACAGTTTGAACATGGGTAAAGTTGTACATCGGCATAGACAGGAATTGATATATCATCGTTCACTTGATAGGAGCTTTCGACGAAGCTGTTCTTGTCTATTCCGTACATGTCACTATCGACGTCCATCACGTTGCATAGCACAGAACTCTTTATTGTTCTTTTTCTCTTTTCTTATTCTCTTTCATTCCGCTCTGCTTTAAAATTTTTTTTTTTCTTCTGTTAGAGTAATGCAAAAAGACTGTAAGAAAAAGTAATAATATTATTTTCTCGCTCACATGAGAAGCTATTAGAAGAAGAAGAAGAAGAAGAAGAAAAAAAACAATTTTCATTTAAAAGAAGTAAAAAGAAAAAGACATGAATTTTGTTTAATAGATGTCTCTTTTTGACATAGATTTTGCAAAAAAAAAATATTAATCTATCAATTCTAAGTCTTTTGTAATTGTAATTATCGCTTAATTATTGACAGATAACAAGTAGCTTTGTGTTCGTGAATGATTAAGTATTGTTTTTGATCCAATTATTTTAACATTTGTTTGTATAGCTAACATAAGAAACAGATCGAACATAATAATAATAGAAAATAGGTTGAATAAAGCTATATTTTTCAATTGATTGAAGTCGAAGCGTTAATTCGATATTACATTTTTTATTTCTTATTTGTTGTTACGCTTACGATCGCCAATTCATTGTATACTCTACAGGAGAAATACTACTCGATAAATTTCATTGAAATGTTCTTGGAATATATATTAATATGAATAATTTTTGTTAGTTTAAATTTATATCTTTGATCGAGTCAATGTCTATGTTATTATTATTTTGAATTGAATAATAAATATTACGAATAAAAAACATGTCTTTTGTTTTATAAAGAAAAATAAAATGGATTATCTCATCTTGATTTATATGGAAAAAAAAATCATTAATAATGTAACTATATAAATTAGTTCATATGTATAAAGAATATTGTTGAGTTTGATTTTAGGAATATTTTATCATGATAATTTAAATTAAATGAATCAATATTACAATCATATTCTTTAAATATACTTGTTCAAATCTTTATGATTTTATCTTTTAATTATTCTATTGTAAAATTGATGTTAGTAGAATGAAACTTATAATTCTACTCCTTTTGATAAAATATTTGTCTGTCAAAATTAAAAATTTACTTTAATAAAGTTTTTCTTCTTGATCGAAAATTACATAGTAGAATCAATTATTTTTCTTCGACTTAATTTAATCTTATATTGTTTTTCGAATACGAAGATATTAATTTTTGTCATCTTCAAAAACTATTCCATTTTAAACATACAATCTTTCATTCACTTTATATTCAATTAATTGAAGGCTTTATTGAATAAATAGCAAATTTAATTTTAATTGAATCATGATTTTTTTTGTTTTTATAGAAATTCAATAATCTTTTAGTATGAATGAATTGGTGAAATAAAATTGAAAAATTTATATATTTGTTAAAACATAATAAAAAAAAAAAATTTATTCTTAAATAATATAATGAATTCATATAAAACTTAACTTAAGGATATCATTAAATGTTCTCACCGTATTTGTATTTATTGTAAATCATCTAATATTGTTATTAGACGTAAACGATCACTTAATATATTTGGTTCACTGTCTGAACGTTGTTTTGGATGAAAATAACTTGATGTTGAAGAATCTATATGAATTGGTAGATCTATAATATCTCTATTATAATTTAGTTGAGAATTTGTAAGTATTTGTCGAAGACGACACAGATCATCATAAAGAGATGTTAATTGTTCTGCCAATTCAAGGTCATCTTGACGCATACTAATCTAAATAAAAATGTCTTCAGTTGATGAAATTTATAAAGATTTCATTGATAAGACTTATTCTAGAAGAACTAATCTATTAACCTTTCTTTTTTTTTTTTAGATCGAGAAAAGAAATATCGTTATCTTCTGTTGATGTTTGATAAGCACCTGATAACCATTAGTTTCTAAATGATAGATAGACAATACTGTCTATGGATTTTCTGTAATGATAAATATAGTCAATGATAGATTGTATTAGTTTTGAAAAAAACAAAACTCTTATTTATTTATTTATCTTAATAATATATACAGTTGCTTTATAGAATGTATTATTTCCAAGACGAATTCTTAAAAATATTAAAAAGTCTAAAGAAGAAAATACGTCTAAGGAAAATATCATCGAACCTTTTTATGATGCTAATCTACTATTTTAATAATATTCGAAATAATACGAAAGAAACAAAAAAAAACATACTAGTTCTTCGCATATTTGTTCGAATAATGATGATATATTGTCATCATTTGTTTCATTTTCTTTTTCATCTTCTTCTTCACTTTCGTCTTCATCTTCTTCTTCCCTTTCGTCTTCATCTTCTTCTTCACTTTCGTCTTCGTCTTCATCTTCTTTTTGTTCTTCTAGTGGATCATCATTTTGTTTTTCTACATCAGCCATTTTATTTATTAGAAAACAAGTGTATAAATTCTTGATTTGTTAGTTAGAATGATTGTTGTTGTTTTGTTCTTGATTGTCTCGTCGTATTACCGTCACCTCTCATCTCATCTGGCTTTTATTGTCGTCATCGTTGTCTCTACAACTCAATCGACACGTACATACTCAACAATACACATTGGCTCGCCTCGCATATACATAGAAACGCGCATTCGTTTTGCAGTACATCGTCTCTCTCTTTTTTTCTGCTGTCTCAATATGTTGTACATTTGTCGTTGATGTTTTATATAAGCTATAAGAAGAGAAGAGAAGATTCCATCTGCAAGCAGTCATTTCTAATGGTTCTTAATCGATAATGACAGAAAGAAATGAGGAACATGGGTATATTCGTGCAATCATACTATTAACCATACATTCTGTTTTCGGTTTCAATTGAAAGTGAAAGACACTGATTTATATGTCAATAATTAATTATATGTTTTATCTGTGAAGTTTTATAGATGATATGGAAAAAAGATGATGTAATTGTTTTGTCTGAAGAATTATTCAGATCAGTTATCAAATATTTCAAGATTTATATTTGCTAGACTGTAAAGATAGAATCTAGAAACTGAAGGTCTATCTGTGTCTCTCGGCTTGTCTGTCTGTACCAGGGTGATAATCAACAGTCAGTAACTATGGTATAAATCATTGGTTAGTTACTATACTTCAAATGATAGTGTATTGAAGATCATCTATAGTCACTACGATTTAAATTAATCGACAAAATGACTTATATGAAAAGGAGAAGTGTAGTAAAATCATTTAGTTTAATTGGATTTATCATAAACAAAGAAAAAAAAAACCAGATTCTTTAAATAATGTGTCATTCAATTTTTGAGTACAAATAATGCTAATATCAAGTAATTATAAAAATCATGTTATTATTAATAATATGATTATAATTCAATCATTCAATACTAATATATTTTATTTGAACGATGAATATCGGATCAAAAAATATGGATAATCAAACAATAGAACATTTGTATACATAATAACTTATGACACTTATTGCAGATGTTTTTGATTGTTTCATATAACATATTTTCCTTCATTGAATAACAAATTTTTATTTAATTATTTCTGTTTTGATATATATATATATATATATTAATATCCACAAAATAAAGATAGTTAGAAAAAAGCAAGAACTTTCTATTACTTCTCCAAATTTTTTCAGAAGAAGCAATTGCTACATCTTATAATGTTGATGTGTCATTCATATATTATTAATGCATGTTTATATTTGTATACAATTATATGTCTATCGGTTATTTCTTCAGTCTAGAATCAAATGTCAATGAACGTTATCTATTTCTTTAAAGTAAAGTTTTATGGAAATTCCATTTTAAAATGTCAACGTAACTTTATGTCGACATTTTTGCAACTCGTCTCCCTTACAGACACATTCTCATTAAGGATAAGAAAAAATAGTTACTATGTTTATCTCATTGCTTTCAGCTGTTCGTTACAAAAGAAGTTTCCAATACAATAGATTATTAGATTTGCAATGTGAAACAGATTTTGTTTTTTTTCTTTTACAAATGGCAATGCACAAGAAATTTTTCATGGGTAATATTTGTTCGATCTATAGAATGTCTCTAAATTCAGGCATACATTCGATTTTTACATGAGATAATAACACATGTTTTGCTATTAATTTGTTAAAATTTATTATATTCTTAGATCTATAATACGATCAAGAATTATATTTGAAATTGTTAAGTCACAACTCTTGATAGCATAATATTTTTAAGAACTAAACTAATGATAAATAATTATCTATGGTTGATAATTATTTGTCATTGACATTTTTATGTCCTATCAGTACCATTTTATAAAAATTTGGTTCTATTTAAGTATAAGACATTTAGAAACAAGCCTTATATTAACTCAAAGGCTATCTGGAAGTTATGAGTTGACACGATTAGATTGAATAGAAAAGCGAGCAATAGGTTAAGCTACACCCACAGCATTCGATGTAAATATGATATTTATGAATCTCATATTGTCCTGCCTGTTTTGTTGTAAATTTTAGAAAATTTTTCAAATAGAAAGAAAAAAACGAATGCTTTACGTATTTAATATATAGATGCTTAACAAGGTTGTTCAAACATATTCTGTGTATATTATGAACCATAAGATTGATGTTATTGAGTAAATTATTCTTCTGAACGATCAAGTTTAGTCAAAGAGAAGAAAGGGTTATGATAATTTATATCAATTGCATTTTATCGTATTTTTCTTTCTACATCACAGGCTAAAACAACTACTGATGTTTTTTTTTAATAAAAATGAAAGTCAATTATTTACCATAGATTAATAGGCGCTTTATTTTATATATTAGAAACTTATAAGATTTCAATTGTATATAAAATTTTTAACGACGACATTTTTTACACTCTTAGCAGTGTTGATCATTATTAAATAAACTGATAAATATATATCCATATTTTTTGATATTTCTTATTCTATTATTTGCTGTACTGTATTAATTAATTGTTTTGTACATCAAAGGTATATATCCTGGTTTATATAAGGTATGTGAATTCGAAATTTTACCCCAAAGAGGCTTCACTAAGAAGCTTTTTTTTTATTATTATGTCTAAATTTACTTTCATGATGGTTATCAAAGAAAAAAAAAAGAAAGAAGACATATGAGATCAAGGATAATTTTTTTTTTTTTAAATTAAACATGTCAAGTTTTGATCTTTATTTTGTATAGAATATTTATAAATATTCAGTCGAAATAATTCTATATATTAATTAAATTTGTTGTTCTTGTTGTTGATTGAATTCAGTAAGATTCTTTAGAAAATTTTCAACACGTTCTGATAAAGTAGCATCATTGATTAGTTGTTGATTTCGATAAAAATCTTTTATTCGTGATTTTTTAGCTGTAATAAGTGCTGTTCGTACACGATCAATTTTTGATTTTGTCATTATTATATTTGTATCATGATCTTTTGGATCATAATTAGGAACTTTACCAGTACGAATAGCTAATTGTAATTGTCGATAACGTTTAGCAAAAATAGGATCATTTCTAATATGTTCTTCAATTATATCAGGTGTAACAAATGATTCAATTTCTTTTCGTCGTCGAATTGATTCTTGATATTTTCGTTGAAGTTCAAGATCATAATATTGTTTTATAGATTCTTTTCTTTTTGTTTTACGTTTTTCAGCAAGCCAATTTAAAAATTGTTGACGAGCTTCATCTTCACTTTGTAAAGCAAAAACTTTTAATCTAACAGGCCATGTTATACGATGTATAGATGATGGAATACTTGGTGGTATTATATCAGAATTATTTGTAGGTAATTCAGATAAATGTTGAGGAATATCTATACTTGAAATAGCAGATGTTATACGATCATGTGAACTTTTGCTTGATGTTATACGTGAAGTAGAAGTTGATATTGTTTCATCATCACTTTCAATATCTTCATGATCAACTGTTTGAATAGGTGCTGTATGTGATCGAGGACCTATTAATGCAGATTTAGCACGAGTTTGATTATTTTCACGATTAGAACGAATTGAATTCGAATGAATTTCAGGTACACGTGAACGAACATGAGGAGCAGCTGATTGAACCTAAATATTAAAAACATGTAAACTTCAAATTAACTAATGTACAATTTTTCTTTTTGTTTCCAACTCGAATTACATTTGATGACTTACACGTACACCAAATCGATAGAAATCTTTCGGTTTAGTAAGATCAATTGGTTCATAAGATGGTAAAAGTGCAAGACAACTATCGATAACATATTTTTCTTGTTTTAACTCAGTTAAAATATTTTCTTTTTGAGTACGTTGTGTAGCTTGTTCACGTTGATGTGCATGTTCGATTGTTGATAAAACAAGATTTCGTCGATTTGTTTCAACGCGATTTCGACAAACAAGTCTTCGTTCATTAAATACTTGTTGTATAATACGAAGACGAACTTTATTCAATGTTTCACGTGATGGTGATGAACCAGCTGCAGCAGCAATTTTTTGTTGACTCAATATGAGTAAATCAAATGGTGCTGACATTTATTTATTAATATTTTTTTTTGTTCAGTACAGTGAAAAAAATAAATAAATAATAAAACTATGAAAGTTTCACAATTTCAAATCAAATGTTGATTGAGATTTATTACAAACTATTGAATATGGCATTGGATTCACCACAGGGGTGAAGAGAACAACGATAAGTGAAAGCAAAATATTTTATAATAAAAATAAATTTTGAAAAATGAAATATTGTGATTCAAGAAGAAGAAAAAAAAATTTATAATTGATACTATTTTTATTTGATTCTTGTTTTTCTATAATTGCTTTATATTGTAAATATAACAACCAATAACAGTGTTGATTCTTTTTTGAAATGAATTTTTTTTTATTACGTATTCAAGATATTTACTTCCTTTCTTATTTAACAAAAAGAAAAGAAACTATTTAAGAGACACTTCATAGTTCAATAGTAAAACACAAGGGGTGGGATAAATATGTGAAGCAAAAAAAAATTATATTCTTCTCTCTCTTTCAATTTTATCTAAATGTTAATTATATGGAAAAATTAAATAACACTAAATAATAATTTTATAACGAAATTTTACCTTTCTATTCATAAAAAATTCATCAGCATTACAAATAACTTCTTGATTATGATTTAAGCATTTTCTAAAATCATGCATAGCTGTTCGTAATTTACATGCATTTATATCATGATGACAATTAATATGTTTGCTAATAAGTTTAAGATGATTATGTTCAAATTTATTAAGTATTGTTGCATAATATTCATTTTGTGTTAATATAACTTTTGTTACTAAAATCTTATCATTATCATTATCAATATCATGAACTTTTGAAGATGCGAGCATTTTATAGACGTTTTAATTCTAAGAAATCAGCTTAATAATGGAAATGGAAATAGGAATAGGAGTAAAGAGAAGAGCGAGCATTGCTAGTTGTACCGACGAATAAAGGTTGACTGCTTTAGGGTACTTGATATAATGCCATTATATGAGCAATCACTAAATGTTGGTATAAAGAATAATGTTTCAATTGATTTGTGACAAAAATTTTTTATAAAGAAGTCTGTGTGTAGAAGGACAAAACAATAATATAGAGTCATAAAATTAGGAAATGGTACCTTGATCTTGAAATGTTCTTATAATTGTAAAGAATCGATAGGAAATAATTGTTTCTTTTGCTTTGGAGAAATCAGTCTCGGTGGTTTTAAGAATAATAAGAACATCAGATATAACTAAAAATTGAGGATGAAAGTAATTTGTTACACTAATGACGAAAAGTTTTGAATGTTCTAGAAATTTGTCGAAAAACTAAATGTAAATTATCTCTTAACAAATTCAAACGATTAGATTACTTTTCTTAATAATATAATAATATATTCTTTGAAGTTTCATTTAATAGAATTTAATTGAACAAAAAAAAATGTTGGTAATGATTCTCACTAACTCAAATATACAAATTCATCATTTTTTGCTTATTTTCATAATCAGCACTCATTCTAAATTGAATCTAGTCTTTTAAAAGCATTCTCTTAGTACTGATTTTTATGGTAAATTTATTGAAAAGATTTTTTCCAATAAATAGTCATTTTGTTCAACTAATTAATGCTTTTGATTGTGTTTGTTGACTCATATTCTTATTAAAGTTTTATACATTTTTCAATCGATCTTGGAAATCATTTTCATGATAATATTAATCCAATGATATTTAATATGACTTCGATGAAATATATCGAATTATAATTTAGTTATTAGTGAAAATTAACCACCTATTGCAAATAATTGAATATTTGACTGTCATTCATTTTATCAAACCATACAATTTTTCAATAAGTTTTTCTTGTGAAATTTTTGAAAGTCTTTCTCAACATTGTTGATTGCAGTGACATCATTTTTACACAATCATTCTAACTAACTTCACTACAAGTTACATATGATTCTTTCATTTTTATATTCAATTAACATTTCTTGTTTCATTATTGTTATTGACTACAATTTGATCACCAATAAAACTAATCGTATGCTAATCTGTTGAGACACAGATATTTATTAGAAACTAGACGAAGAAAATTTCAATGAACATACTATCGTATAATTAAAAAAAAACAAGTTAACTCTATCAAATTGTATCAGAAATATTTACATCTTTACTTTCCCAATACATTTTTGAGATTCACTTTTTATACGTTATTGACTAAGAGTGTTTTTATCTTACAAAGTCTTTATTGACATTTGATTCTCTCTAATGAAAGTTCAAGTTAGGTTTTTGTTCGTATTCTTGATGAAATCATTTAATTTCAATTGAAATAATTCACTCTATTCATTAATCAAATATGAAATTCAATTTTCACATAAACCCGCTTGTTTCCAGTATATTTTATTAGAAGAAAAATGAATAAACCATATGCACCAAATTATAAATATCACTCAAACAGATAATGTCAAGAAATTAATGAGCTTTCTTGATAACAAGAAAGGAAACGCATAACCTCTCGATTTGGGCCATTCCATTTTACTTAATAGAGAATGTTACGAAAACGTATATAGTTTTGTTGTACTTGAGCTCGTGAATCTAAGTCGATATATAAATTTTGTCTGAAAATTGACATATTTTTGACACTTGCAAGTTTAGTCATATTTATTGTATGCCTTCTTGGTCTAGTCTAAGAATAGAATCTCTACATTTGAGATGTAGATAGATGCCTATCAGCTTACTTTTATTTTGATGAATAAACCATGAGATGGGCTGTATTTTTAGATGAAAGCTAAGAATAAATGAATCAAACAAGCTTGAGCAATCACAATCGACTTATTTCCGATCATTTATAAGCCTTGTCATTCTGATATTTTGAAGAATTGAGAAACTTAGGATTCGAAAAATAGCGTTCTGATATCAATTGTTTCGTCAATATCCAGAGTATTCATGATTTATATAATCAAAGAGATAATATATTCGAAATTAGTACAAAATGAATTACAAATTTGTATGTATTGGAAAACTCTCTGAGAATTTTTTTTTGGAAAACCTTTCACTGTTTCTTCTCAGGATCAGGTAAAAAAAACCAATTGAATACAATTAAAACTATTTGCATCTCAGAAGTAGAGCGTCTATTCTTACTTCAGGTCGAGAAGATATGCTATGGTTGTGGCTAAATTTTCTTGAGGCAAAAGTGTTTTAATTTTCAGGTAAAACTTATACATCAAGTTAGACTTATGGCTCAAGCACTAATAATAACATATAAGTGTCCATAACATCATCTGAAAAACAAAAGTAATGGCCCAAACTGAGAGTTTATACTTTCCTTTCTTTCAGTTGAGTAAGACAGGAGATATTTGATGAGAAATAATTCATCATTTCAATTTCGCATGATGTATATTTTGGAGCATTTGATGTAGCTCGACCGAATTGATATGTCATAAGACATTGTTGAGCAGGATAATCATTTGACGAACACATACATTCTTCAGGTATTGATGCACAAAATTTCAATTTGTTTTTATATTCTTCACATAGATATGATAATTCAAATGGATGAACAACAGAAAGTGTATGTGCTAATTCATGTGCAAGTAAACCAGCAATTGACCATGGATATGGTCGATAATTAATGAGTGAAGTACCTAAGAAAAACAAAATAGAATAATATTTTTTTTTTCTGTCAGAAAAGAAAACTTTACCTGATGTAGTACATGGTGGTCCTTGAGAATAGCCTCCTGCAACTAATGAAGTTTTATTTGAAATGAGTACTCCAACAGTATAAACAGTTCCAAAAAGTGATTTATGTGTATTAGCCAAATATGTTTGAAATTGTGTTAAAATCTCTGGCATAGCTGTAAAAGAATTACCTCCAACTGGAAATGATATTTGATCACCATTTGACCATATTTCTGTGCCTGCATTAGTTACTATTATATTAGCATGTGCAGTATATTTTGATGCAAGTGTAGCTAATTGAGTAGCATAATTGTTTGCATTATCCAAATTGTTATTGAGATCAGCTGATGCTTCATTATCAAATACGAAGAAACAGGCCATTCTTTGAAATAGAAAAACAGAAACATTAATTTTAAATATTTTAAATAAAATTAAGAGACAAACTTTCGACGAATTGTAGCTGCTCGTACTGGAGTAGGATCGAAAACTAGATTTCCAACTGTTTGGATACGTCGCGAAATTGTATCATCATCAGCTCGTTTTATTCTATTATTAGTTTTCGATGAAAGTAAACTTTAACAAATAAGAAAACATTTGAAACAAAAAACACAGAAATCCTTTTTTTAAGGAAGTTCTTACCGATTCAATGAAACTCCTTCAAGATAAGCAATAGTGCACAATATTAAGAGAATCACGAGAAAAATCATTTGGTTCAATTGAGCCATAAATTTTATAGACGAAGAAATAATCTTTCGATCTTTTGGAAGAAAATAACAAATAAACGATATTTTGCACTGATATTTATCTAAACTTTGCTCTCTTCTTTTTATTCGTACAAATATTTAAGAAAAATTAATGAACTAGAAAATATTTCAAGTGTATATATACATGCAACATATGGATGTTTTATCAAGTGAAACTCTTTTCAATTATAATGTTTTTGTCATTCTAGTGGATATTATTAAATGTTTATTGAAGAGAAAAAATATCATCAAAATTTTTAGTTATAATTAATAAAATTATTGTGATCACATTAGTTTAGCTCGAGAATCAACGAACATTAATGGAAATGGAATAGAACGATCATTTGAACTTCGTTCAATAAAACGATCAAGTTGAACATAAAGATCAGATATTAATTTACATGTTAAAATTTGTTTCATTATAAGTTTTTCTTTTAAATAAATTTGTATTGAAGCCGTCATACTGAGTGCTTGTCGATATACATTTGATAATTGAATAAATGTTGTTTCACATTCTTGGCTTTTTAAAATAGAAAAAAATTCGACAAAATTTGTTCTATTAATTCGATCAGGTGATAGAAAACGAATTGGTCGATTTACTGAACTTGATGATATAAATTTTAAATTAACATCGAGATTAAGTATTTGACTTAGACGAATAAGGCCTTTGATATCATCATATCTATAAAAATAAAATCATTTATTTTGTTCTATTTTTTTTGACTTACAAATTCAAACATACTTTTGTTCACTTCGTTCATGAAATAATTTTGCAAAATTTGGAAAAACATTATTTAATGCTAATGCATAATATGCTATTTCATATTGATATTGTTGCTCAGTTAACCAACGAATAAGATTTTCAATAGCTTCAGTATTATTCGTTGTTACTGTTCCTCGTAATGATTGTTGATGATTTTCTGTTGGTATTGATACATCTTGAATAGATGTATGTGGAATATAGACAAAAAGACAAACGCATATAAAAAATAACGTTCGTAACATCATAAACTTTTCTCTTATCACTATTTATCACATATGATGCAAGGACGCGAGTTTGAAATGATTACTGAACTTTCTTTTACTTTTTTTTATTATGATTCTTATCTTCATTGCATAATTTTATTTAAATGATTCAGATAAAAAAACACGTTGTTTGCAGATGATATTTTCTTACTATTCTACTGAAAATACTAATTGTCCTATAAAATCTAAAGCGTTTTTCACTGTAGTCCAATCCTCATCGAATATTCCGACACCTTACGCTATCGAGTTGTGTGCATTACTTCTCAACTGTGCTAAAAGCTAAATGAGAATGAGAATTAAATCGATAATATTCATGTTTGAAGTATGTTACTGTTGTAATTGAGTAGTGACGACGTAAAAAAAACCACATGACTTCTTTTCTTTATTGTTTACTGACTTACTTGTTCTGAAGTACGAGGGAAATCATATAAAGTACTTGAACCAAATACACTTGTATATGCTCAAGTGTTTTATGTCTTTGATTAACAACTATAGCGGTTAAAATATAAAGAGCTTTTCTCTATTGTTTTTCACTGGAGATACTTACAGTCAAACAGAATTCTTGTGTCTTCAATTCCAAACCTAGTCTCTGAAATAGATATCAGACAGACAACATAAAGAATAATCCTTCTAGATAGACTTGAAAATTCCTGTGTTTTGACTATCTGACTTGAACATGATCGTGTTGAATATCGGTAAAATATCAAAATACTATTTCTCAATACGAATAACTTGATCATGAGTGGATCTATAGAAGAGAAACTCAACATTTATTGCAATGGAAAAACAACAGAGACTTCATAGTGAAATCTCATGAAGATCTAAAGTCTTTTATTGGAAATCCTTTTAGGTCTTGTGAAGTTTCTTGAAAAATTTCAATTCGCTGTTGTCGAAGCCTTGAAATCTGCTGCTTTCCCCTCGAGTCTGGCATTGTGGATATGGATTTTGGGAGTCTTCTCTGTAGTTATACTCACATTTATCCACCTACTTTCATAGTCACAATCAGTGAAAGATAATCATTTTCTAACTATGTGTTCAATCTTTTAGTAAAAAGTATGTAGCAGCTAGAAATAGTTCATCAACGATGCATCTGTAACGATTTTATTGTTAGATCCATGTTGTAATGCAAACCGAATTATGACATGTATTCTAGAGCAAAATAACCGAATACTAATCTAACATAATTGTTATGTGAGTTACGAAAAACTCGCAGCATATATTAGAAAAATATTTAAAACCAGCCGCACAAAAATGTGAATTTTGACATCAATTTAAGACTTAAAACACAAGGATAAGATAGAATGTGTTTCATAAGTCTTCAGGCTTGATAAAAATGAGTTTTTATGCAAACAAAAAGTGATCTCGAACTGTATGTCTTTATATGATGTTTGAGTGCTCATGTTGTTCTTTCAAATGGCATATTATTGGATGACATGTTCTCTTGTAATAATAAAAACATAAATATGAGAATATTATGATAAATTTTTGGAAATCGATAAATAAGATATCTTATTAAAATAAAGAAGAATATTTTAGTTTACAAATACACATATTAATCTGATAACAGTAAAATTGGATTGAACTATGTCACGTAGTTGTTCTCCGCCGTTTTTTGTCACTTCGTTAAGTCTTTAAAGAAGTTTATCAATCATTCTTGTAGAATCATTACATGTTAGTTTTTTTTGTTGTTTTGCAGTCTAGGTTTTATGTGTTCCAACTTGAAAATTGTTTATTCCGTACTTTTTTCTTTAATATTCCATATACATTTTCAGTGCTCCATACCTCAGTAGATTTAGTATCCCCATTTTGAGATTAGATATGAACATTAGATAATTGACCAACAATGATGATAATTATACTACTAAGAGTACAAATGATGCTGATGACTGATGACTTTCTATCATCAATTTGCGTTAAAATCTCTGAATCTCTTTTTGATTCACGGGATTCCAATTCATCGCTCTTTTGCGATAAAGGCATGAATAAAGTAAAGGTCAAAAGGGCTTTTCTGATGTATTAACTCCTTGTCATAAAATAAATTGAATGCATGGATTTCGATTTCGTTCTTAATAGGAAAGTAAACTCTATAGGTTAATGAATCATGTCATCAAACAAAAGATGTCTAACAACTCTTATAAAGAGATCTTTGTTAACTGTTGAGATTTGAAAACATTTTGATGAGTAACATTCTGGAAATTTTTTGTATCTTTTGAAGGATAATAGTGCTGAATACCTAAGTCCTTTCTCTCTTTTTGTTTTATAATTATTCGAAAAATGCCTACGTCTACTGAACTCTGAAATAGACATTAGTTATGTATCCATTCTTTTGATACGGTACAATCTATTCATACCAATAGCAAGTACATGTATTCTTATAGATCGTTTTTTGGATGACCACACATCTACATAGTTGTCAGCGATTATCTCAATTACATCTTTTTTTATTCTATTCTACTACAGTATCAAGCACAATCATTATAGTTCACGATAGTGCATGTGTGACTACAAACACAACTATTAAGCAATTATTTTTCCTCTCTACTCAAAAGAAAAAATATCGCTAATAAAGAGTTATTATTGATGTATATAAGTGTTTCATTTTATGTAGAATAGTATTGATTATTGGTATAGCAAATTTATCAAAACAATACGTCTTTTATATAACTATCAATAATCCAAATCGTTTAATAACAGCTGCTGATGCAAATAACGGGTGCGGCAGAATAAATGGCGGTCTCAGTATTTTGATTATAACTTTTTTTCTTTTTGATCTTTATAACTGGTTGTTTTGCCAAAAGATGCGTCCTGAAATTCTCTACGAAACCCTAAATAAACGTATTTCTGTAGAAAGTTAAGAGAAAAAAAGAAATGAATATTATTCAAAGCATAAAAAGTGCTCAACTTTCAAAGCGAACGGATGTTCTACGAATGACTGGTGTTCGTATCTTTTTTTTATCCTCCTCTAGTAGACATATTTTAAAAGCAAAGTATACTATAAGATGCAGCGTGAAAATCTCTACAAGTTATATTAAAAACCCTATTTTATATGTGTACTTTTTTTTCAAAATGATCAAAATTCTGTGCGACCAGTTTTCGACTCTGCGAACAATATCCTTTTTTGGTACACTACGAATTCGTTTTTTTTTATTTCATCTCTGTATCACCTAATATATTCTATGAAAAGAAAACGAAATATACCACAAGATGCAGCGTGAAAAGCTCTACAATTTACAAGGAACAAGCCATTTTATATACATGCATCTTTTATTTTTAGAATATGCAAAATTCTGTGCGACCGAAAAATGGTCTTTTTCGCAGAGTCGAAAACTGGTTGCACAGACTTTTAATCATTTAGAAAATAAAATGTGCATGGATAATATAAAGTTTTTACTGTAGTTTGTAGAGCTTTTCACGCTTCATCTTTTGGTGTACTTTGTTTTTAAAATACACCTACTTGATAATTAAAAAGGGTATGCAAATACCAAGCATGCATGAGACACTCGTTAGCTTTGAAAGTTGAGCACTTTTTATGCTTTGAATAATATTCATTTCTTTTTTTTTCTTAACTTTCTACAGAAATAAGTTTATTTATGGTTTTGTAGAGAATTTCACGACGCATCTTTTGGCAAAACAACCAGTTATAAAGATCAGAAAGAAAAAAAGTTATAATCAAAATACTGAGACCGCCATTTATTCTGCCGCACCCGTTACATCGAAATGATTTATGCTTAGATCTAATAGAACTTGTATTTGGTTCAGTAGCGCAGATGAAAACCACCTAACCGCATCAAGTCCATCTTTAAATCAATGTGAACTTCTATTCAGCAATCTACAGAACAAAATGCTTCTAATTGCACTCATAGTTTTTGTTTCTGGCTCTATTGTGAACTATATTTGAGATATGTTCAGAATTAGAAAAAAAATATATCAATGGTTAAATTTAAAGAAGTTTTTGATACACCAAAAGCATCTATTAAAATAAAAAGATATAGAAATTAAGTAGCAACTTCTGAAAATTCACGGTTTTTAGCGAAATTTATCAACGATCGAAAGTAATTTAACTAGAAATTACAAAAATTTCTCCTATACTAATAAGAAATTTCGGTGTGAATTATGAAAGTACTTAGCCACTATGAAACTATTTGCAAACGATTTTAATAATTATCAAGCTCATGAAAAGAAAGTTATCAATTGTTCCAAAATATCCAATCATTTGCACAAATTTAAAAAATCATGAGGAAATTATAGTAAATATAGAATTTACCATATTGACAAAAAGATCTTATTCACTAAAATATAAGTAATTTTTCTAATTACTAAAAAATTTCAGTAAAATATTGACTTTGTGAAGTATTTATTCTATCTCCATGGCAACTTACTTCTTTATTAAAAAGAAGTCACAACTTTTGAATATGCAGGAAATTTTCACAGTTTCTCAGCTGTCTGTCAAAAATAATTATATTTTATAGTGTAGTTTCTTGAGGATAATATAAAACGACATTAAAATCTATGTGTAATGTATATAATAATTTCCTCAGTTTTTCAAGAATCACTAATATTTTAAAAGTTAGAATCTTGTTTTTTTTCGAGAAAAATAAATTGATATTTATCAAGAATATATATATAGTGATTTACTTACTAAAGTTTGAATGTAGTTTTGCAGTAATTACTAATATTCAGTCAATGTTTCACGTTAAATTTTCGTGAATATTGTGCCTTTTTGAATGTTTAGGTTTAGTAAAAATAGTTAGAAATTTCTTTTTTTTTTCTTAAAATTACTTAACAGCGAAATGATCTGGAATTTGCTTAGTAGTATATGAGAAATTTCCTTGCATACTAGAAGAAAACAACGAGATTTCTGCTACCTCTATAATTTTAAGGAACTTCTTGGAAGTTTGAGTATTTTCGAGTAGACAGTTACGATTTCTTTAACGGTTATTGTGGCGGCTGTCAGACTATCTTGTCGATATGATTTTCCTGTGACAGAAATTTCTATAATTTTATTTTTCACGAAAAAGATTTATTGTTTTTGAAAATCTGAATACTGCTGGAATAAAGATAGAAAAACATTCTATTTTCTTTATATATGAGAAACTAGTTCTTTTATTTTAATATGTAAAATCTATAGATGTGATCATGTCTTCGAATTTATTGCATTCGTTGTTGAAATTTGGCAAAATGTCTTCGATAAAAGTAGATAAAGTTTACTGCTTGGTTACAAAGAATGTATTTCTATTATTTCACTATCAGATATCTCATCGCAATACTTCATATTTAGCAATGTCAATTATTGCATTCAAAAAAAATACTTTATTTCAACATTAGTATTTTGCCATAGGTTCTTAGTAAAAAAAGTCGGTTCTTTTGATCGTGAGTTGTCTACAATTGTATTCTAATCTTGACTGATCAAAAGGAAATTCTACAACACCAACAACCTTATACTTTTAATATCTATTCAATAAAGATTAAGTATGGATATATTTACTAATCTCTCGAAAAAATAAATGCAATTTACATTAGTGAAGAATAATCAATATAATAGTTAAAAATTATGTTTTCAACTATTTCTCTTTTATTTAACACATATAAACATTTTCTAGCACACATCTATTCAATAAACTCTTTCGATCTTTTTATAGTTAGCAAATCAATCATAAGAATTAAAAAGTAGGCTCGTAACTATTTCTACAATAGGATAAAAAGCAGGTTTTTACATAATCTAAGATCACTGTAGTTTCATAGGCATGCGAACAAACACAAATGTTGACATATAATAAAGTAAAACATAAAAGAATCTGTAAGTTGCTTATTCATGTAAATAGCCCTGCGGTATAATTAATCTTGTATATTCAGGCAAAATATATAACTAACGTTAAAATATAGTGAATTTGTGTTTATGAAATTCTATATGAAAGCAATCATGACTGAGAAAGCCTTTTAATTTTTTTCTTTCGAATGTTCAACTCAATATTAATATTTTTATATATTAAATATCATATCATCATCATATCCAACCATTTTGATTGTAGTTCTTATATATGATGAAAAAACTTATCATATAACCGGATGGTTTCTTTTCCTGCATAATCGTACTTTATTCAGCAGTTCCGATAAAAAAATAAGTACCTTATGAAATATTTTTTCTTTTCTTGCTTGTGCGCGACGAGCAAAAATATTATATTAATATCGTCGTTAGAAGACACACATGAGTCTGTCATTACTTGTAACCTCGCACTTTCAAATGAGTAAGAAAAACAGTCTTATTTGCATTTTTTTTTCTCATCACACTTTATCGAGTGTGACAAACGATGTCGGTAAAACATCTATGGTATACTTATAGAGTTGTGCATTTTAACCATAATGTCGATTTTGTTCATAACTTATCTATATAGATATATTGCTATAGATTACATCTATACATTGACTTTTTCAGAACTATAACAAGTATTTTACTGATGAGATTATGGACTAATGGAAATTATCAATTAGAATCATGCGAGGAACTTGACATTTTCTACATTTGAAGTTGATAGTGTACATGTGTGTGTGAATGAATAGAAAAGGTTCCAATGAGAGCATTCATTCCTATTCGTATTTTATAGAACCAAGCACCTTCAATTTCTCTGTTAATGCGAAACGTTGAAAGCAAAAACAAATGTAAGCTAGTTCTGTGTAACAGCGCTAGTAGTATGGTATAATCTAACATGAAATGTTGTGATGTATTTCTTTTTACAAGTCTGCTGATAGTTCCTTTGAGATATGCAACTGTTTCTATGAGTATATCGATGTTTTTTTCTTTATGACAGTTTGTTGTAGCTACACCAAGCCCTTACGTATTTTGTTTTGAATATTTCAAGGTAGCCGTGAAGCATATTATTGCTTGCAGTAAGTGTTATAGAGCAATTATTAAAGTTAGAGATAACATCTTTCTACATATATATATATATACATAGATACACTTGATATATACTTCGAAAACAAGCAATTCTACTAAGAGAAATACTAAACAATATGTATACGCACTTCATCTACCTTATTCTATATTTTTTTGTATTCATTCTGAATCAACAACTAGCAACATCAGGTAAATAATTGTACAAAGGCATATATTGTCTAGCACTTAACTTGTAATATTATTTTTCAGAGAGACATTGTCGTTGTCTCTCAACTGACTCATCATGTTGGCCGAATGCTTCTCAATGGCAAATGTTCAACGAATACGTAGATGGACGTCTTGTCTATCCTAAGCCATCAGCTGCCGTATGTAATGGTAACACGTATAACGCCAATGCTTGTGCTGTAGCCAAAGCTCAATGGTTAAATTCAGTATGGCGTAGTGATCAAGTTGGTGCAATGCAAAATCATAATTGGGAAAATAGTTCATGCTCTGTATCAACAAACAGCACGAAATGCAATCAAGGTTCTGTACCTGTGGTTGCTGTGAATGCAACATTACCTGAACATGTTCAAGCAACCGTTCGCTTCGCTGCTACGAATAATCTTCGTTTAACGATCAAAAGTACAGGACACGATTATTTTGGCCGATCAGGAGCAGTCGGATCTCTACTTTTGTGGCTTCATTATATGAAAAACATGACGCTTATTGAAAAATACTCATCCTGCAATGGTACTAATGTATCTAATACTGTTCGTATAGGTGCAGGCGTTCAATGGGGTGAAGTTTACAGATGGCTGAATGAGTACAACTTGACAGCGATTGGAGGAGCCTCGGCAACAGTCAGCGCTGTTGGCGGATACTTGCAAGGGGGTGGCCATAGTCCATTATCGCGTTGGCAGGGTTTGGCTGCCGATCAAGTACTTGAATATGACGTTGTTATGGCGAATGGAGAACGCAAAACGGTTAATGCATGTCAAAATAGCGATCTATTCTGGGCATTAAGCGGTGGAGGTGGAGGTACCTATGCGATTGTACTTTCTGCAGTCATCAGAACTTTTCCATCACCATATATGATCGGTGTTACATATGGAGTCAATACTAAGAATAATACTCGTTATGCAAGACTAATTGAAAGTTTTATTCGTTTATTACCTACATTAGCCGATGCTGGATGGTCGGGTTATTTTTTTATCGAAGATTTGACATTGAGAGGTGTATTTCAGATACCTAACGGAAATTTTACAGCAGTCAATAGTACACTAAATCAATTTGCAGCCAATAACAGTGATTTAGATTTTGGAAGTACTAATATTTTTATTGTTCCGTCATTTTACCACTACTTTGCGATAATATTAGAACCGAGTAATCCAACTGGCTTCAATGTTTTACTTAGCTCACGACTTATTTCAGAAAGTATTGTTCGCAATCAACCGGATAAAGTCGCACAAGTGTTCGTTCAGGCAAAAGGTCAAACTGCAACTGGATCATCGCTTCTTGGAAATTTTATAGCTGGTGGACAAGTATCCAATTTAAAAAATTTTAATAATAGTGTCAATTCAGGATGGCGTACATCTCTTCTTCATATGGTCTATTCTCAGGCTTGGTTAGATACAACACCCGAGGCTGATCAAAAATACCTAGCTCAACAAGTCTCAAATCATGCAGAAATTTTAAACACATTATCAATTGATTTTCCGGCAAGCTGTTACTTAAATGAAGCTGATCCAAATGAAATTGATTGGCAAGTTAAGTTTTTTGGTACAAGAGCTATTTACGATCGACTCAAATCAATCAAACAAAATGTTGATCCAGATGGATTGTTTGTTTGTAAAAATTGTGTCGGCAGCGACGATTGGACATCGGATTACAATTGTCCAAAGACATCACATTCTAGAAAACTTCATTTAACAATATATCTCTTAATTATGGAAATAGTCACAATATTATCGTATAAATTCTAAACAAGAAGGAACTCGAAACTATCGAATACACATTGAACCTAGTAAGTCTACTGAACAACATGTACAATTCATATAAGTTATTTTCCTTTCAAATAAATATTGAAATAATAAAACTTCACTTTTTTTGTACATTGAATGAATTTATAAACACGTAGATGATAATTAATCGATCATAAAAGTATCTAATTCAAGTATTGACTGAAGTACTCCCTTGTTTTTTTTTCTGTAATTGACATGATATTTAGATTTGGATGGAAAGAGATACCATAATGAAAATCATTGAGAAATGAAAAAGATGCTTGCAATTTACTATTCAGAATAAAAACATGACACAAGATGTTCTTTGAAAGATCAATTTTTCATCGGAAAAATTACTTGCATTCTATCAATTACGAATAATTTTATTTCAATAGTTTATTTTAGAGGATTGCAGAATTTCTTGATAGAGCTAGCCGATACTACTGCATTCTATGATGTTACAAGCAATTGTAGGAATTATCTAGTGAGTATGAGTGGATGGGAGAAATTCCGGAATTCGACTAATAGGGCATTAGCCAATGACAGCAGCCTGACGGATTTTCGCCAGCCATCACAAAACAATATTAACATACGATAGAGCTGAAGGCTAAGTTAATGTTGGTAGAATATACATATATTTATATCATAGCTTAAACTCATCAATGTAATCGATAGAAACTTTTCATCTACGTTTTATTTACTGTTACGTTCGTCGAATTGCAGGAGTTGTTTCGACGAAGTTACAGTGGAGTTTTGCTGATTGGAAAATGCACTGTCGAGAAAAGTCATATTGGCGAAATTTCCGCCACCCGGATGGGAAGGTTTGTGTCGTTAGTTATGCGTATAGGTAGTCTACTTACACGCATCCATACCGACGTCTACGTGTAAGATAGTGATAACCACGATGTATTTGACTGGTAAAGACTATACAACAATTTTAAAAGTCTTGAAAAGCTATTTTACTATTCAAGTTACTATGGTCTGAAAATTATAAAAGCTTGAACAATTACAATGATATTGATCTGAACTTCGGTAGATATTTGAAAGAGTTATTCTGTCTTAAATTTCTTTGATCATAACAAGGTATGTGACATTTACAGCTCCATTTGCAGAGCTAAAGCTACTCAACAGCTCAGTACCCGTGAGCCGCAGAGGGTCACAAGAAGTTTTCTACGGCTACCTAGATCTGATCTCTGTAAGTTTCCTAGTTCTATTTGAGCGTGGTCTATATTGGAGGTCTACAGCTTACGCTCATGACCAGTCATATCAGCGGTCATGAGCATGAGGCATGCACCCCTAATAGAGGCCACACTTAGGCAGATCTATGAAAGTTATAGAAAGCATCACTGGGTAGCAATAGAAAAGTTACGAGAACTGCCTGAGGTAGCCTGAGAAAAGTATAGGACGGTCCCTGGATAGTCCTAGAATAGTTGTAGGAACAAGCACAGGATCTTCCTAAAGACAAACTTTGTCAATTATAAACTTCGATTATTCCAATATTTATTTATTGAATATGAACTTAGTAGCTATTTAATAGAAAGATACAAGTATTATTTATCGATTTGAAAAGAGATAAACAAAAATAAATTTAGTTATTATTTATTGAAAATTATATAAATATCACTTATAAGACATAATCTATCACAGGACAAGGCAAGTTTATTGATTAAATGGTCCCAACAAATTTTTGATATAACTCTTAATAAATCATCAAATACATTATTTAACATAATTATTGCTTCAAAATATCTGATCAATGTCCATCAATTGAATTTAAAAAAGATCTATTCATTTCAATATGATCCCTTGTCTGTCGAACAATTATAATTAGATTTAATATTTATCTAAAAGTTGATTAAGACTTATTTGTTATCTATTCTGTTATGAATATAATCTTGATTGAGACATGATTGATTAAAAAATATCTTGATGAAAATTTAAATATTCAAAAATAATGTTTAGTTCAAAAGCTTTAGTTCTTACTAAAACTACAACGTTCTTTCAATATTCAAAAATTACTAACAGTACCAACCAAACCTACAGTAAAATTAAATAGTTACTTGTTCTTGTCTGAAAAACAAATTACTTTCCCTTTTTTTTTGATTTTCTATTACTTGTTTTTGTTTATTCTTTCAGTGTGAGATTTTCAAAATTATGATTCATTGCTTATGCCTAAACAATATATGCAGAGCGCTAATAAATGTTTATATGTCCATAGATAACATAAAATACGTCGGTGAAATTAACTCTGCATTTCTTGATTTCTTCTAAACAAAGCATAATAATTTATTATTTTACTATTCTTTAACATTTGACTTAACCGATTGTTGAACAGCAAGCTTTGGGACTAGCAGATTGAGCTGGTCTTCTTCGTCATGATATAGATCAGTTTGTTTTTCAATTACTTTATAAAAACAGTGTACTTAGATAAACTGGCAGATTGTTTACTTTTCTACCAAGAATGAATGAAGAAAACCTTAATATTTGACCTGTTTGTTGCCATGTAGAATGGAAGCAAACTATTTGAAAAGGACATTAATTGACGATGAGTTGATCACAAAATAGTTGTATTCGTACAATAACAATAAATAGTACGTTTTAATGTTTATGACTGTTTACAAAAAATAGCTAAAATAGAAAAGCATGTCTATAGTGACTACAGCAAATAAAGGAAACAACTCTGCATACAGCTAGAAAGAAAATCTTCGTCAAAGAAAAATCATACATCCTGTACATTCTCAAAATAGCCAGGTTTTTTGATAAATAACCACTGTCATAGGAAGACTAACTGGTCATACGAAAAAAAATAACTTTTTTATATTAGCTAATTGTATGTCAAGGAAAGCATTTCTAACATATTGTTCCTACAACAAATAACAATCTAAAGTTGATCTTTTACAATAAGATCACAAACTTATTGTTTGAAATAAAATTGTGTCAATATCATTGAAGCAGTCTAAATATCTTTAGTACACACTATATCTACACTTTTCTTTGCCTAATTCAATAAACCATGTAAACTGAATCAAGCCACCAATAAAATTGATCTCATTTTAATGTTTACAGACATAGATATTTATTGAAAAATATTTTAAATAAAATTTTAAATAATACTGCATTATATCATGAAAAAAACAGTTAAATCGCTTGCATTGTAAAAAAGATATTTATACTCATGTTTCAGACGAACTTTTGGGACATTCTGTACAATTATAAATGTATATTATCATCTAAATAAAGACGAGCAAAAGGTTACTAAGTGTAAAAATTATTATAGGAGTTTATTATGCAATAAAATAAACTTCATATTTTCAATAATTTTTCTTTTGTGATAATTCATATATTGTTATGTAAAATTTTTTATTTCATGGCAAAATATTTAAATATAGTTTCTTGAACTATACCATATTGATCGATTAGTCATATAATTAATTGTAACCCTATTTTTACTACTGTAACTATGGACTTATTAGAACTTATCAACAGTTATTCTTAAAATAAATCTTTTTTACTCATCAACACCCAAACACACTTATGTCAATTGGATTTTTTTAGTTAATAGATAATACAAATCCTACATATATATATATGTATATATAGTTTCACCTTATCTCAAAATTGTATGTCGTAGTTCGTCATTTGTCAACACTTTAATTAAACTAATTTTTCTTCATAGTATATAAACAGAGAAAATATTGTTTTATTGATTATTCTAAAATTTTCTTTAACAAAAATTCAAATGATTAATTATCGTGTAGTTTTAATCTTTTTATCTGTAATTCTCTTTGTTTCAACATTACATGGTGAACGTGCACGTATTGATGATCTTCAAGATGAAGAAAGTTTAAATGAAAATGAAGGTATAAATTATTATTTGAATATTATCCTATACGAAAACTTTTATTTCTTTTCAAGATTTTATCGAAGCAGTTAAACGTTTTTGGCTTAAGAAAAAAACCTCAACAACAGAAAAACCAAGTTCCGATGTAATTTCAGCTCTAGTAATAACAACACCAAGTAATGCAATTGTTACATCTTCAAGATCATCAATTTTTGATGGTAAATATGATGAAAAGTCAAATGATAAATACTATTTATTATTATAAACTTTTTTTTTAATCTTTCTTATACTTATTGATAGGATTTGGAAGTACATCACAATATGGTCGTACACGTTATACGAGTTCACCAATGAAAAGTTTGTTTTCTAAATTCGATCTATTGTCATCTGTATTTCATTTTTTTGTTAAATTAATAAGATGATTGTGGTTTGAATAATCCCTGTCAACATGGCGGTACATGTCGAACATTGGCAAGTGGTCGACTTTACTGTTTGTGTACAGATGAATATTATGGAAACCATTGTGAAAAAAGTAAGAAAATTTATCTTCATTGTTTTTTTTTTTCTAAAACTCTATGTTTTATGTAGAATTTAGATTCAGTGGTTCCGATGCTAGTAGTAGATTACGTAAAGATCATTGTGCAAGCTCTCCATGCCAAAATGAAGGTGAATGTGTTCCATTAAAAACAACATATTATTGCCGTTGTAAAATACCTTATTATGGAATTAATTGTCATAAGCGTAAGTATTATTTGACTGTATGTTTAAAAGAATTGGCTTTCATTTTCATTGTATAGAATTATCAAAACGTGAACAAATAGTTGATGAATCAAACTCATCCGAACAAGAATTCAATATTAATGAATATGATTTAGAAAGACATTTAAAACAATTTATAGCTTCAGAAGATACAATTGATATTATAGAATAAATTTTCATTTTTTCTATTTATGTATTTTGCACTTAAAATATGTCAATAAATATATAAACGATTGAGACATCAAGAGGAAAAAAAAATACTTGTTCAATCACAATAGTTTCTGTAAGAATCTATAATAAACAAATATGTGAAAACGCACACTAAAAACAAATTAGATAAATATATCACAAAACATAATTGATAATTTAATCAAGATTTTCTAAGAATTGTTTCATCATTGATTGGAACATTTGGATTCATTTCTACATCCAATAATTGCTAAAATAGAAAAAACAACGTAAATAAATTTTGTGTTTTTGAAAGAAAAAGAATAACAAAAAAAAAAAAATGGTTAATTCAAATAATAAATAGACAAATAGAAAAAGCGTTTAATATTTTAGCATTTAACATCTAGTATTTAACAATTAAGCAACAATAATATAAAATCTACTTCATAAAAGTTGCGATGATGATGAAATAAACTGTGCAGATACATCGCCATTATTATCTGTACGAAGATTTACACTGGTTTCCTGGAATCATTCATGCAATGATTTATATAGATAGATAATTCAAGGTATTAATTCATGTCTCATTCAATTTCTATATTCATAAACAACTTACATCATTCTGTAGATTTGATTTTCGAATAGAATCTACTGGATAATAAGCATGCGCATTTGATGATATGCCTTCCATGTCAATCAATTCAACTGTAGAATTATCATATTTACTATTCAGCACTAATTCATTATGATTATCAAGCGATGGTATTACAATTTGTGATGATCTTTCATTTCGATTCTATGATTATTAGAGAGAAAAAAAAAAATCAAAGCAGTGCAAAGAATTTTTCTCAATTTGAGCCAACTAATCATGTTGTATTACAAAACAATTTAACTTACCTGATTACGTTGTTCTTTTGTTGTTAAAAATTTTGTAATTGGTACAAGACATGCAGGTAATGTAACAGTTAATGGAGGATAACTATGTGTTAGAAGAGGTTTCATAAATCTAAATTTATCAATTGAAATTATTTTTATTATTTTTTAAAAGTATAATATCATAAAAATAATTGTCATCGGGGAAAAAAAAGAGATTGTATCAAACAAGAACATATATTGAAATAAATCTCAAAAATAGTTTTATCATTTTCTCATAAAAGATTTAAATATTTGAAGAGAACTTATGAGAAATATAGTAAAAATTTCTCAATATGTCTCTAGTTAAAGAAATTTAATTGTATATAGTATAACGAAATTTATTCAAGAACTAATTTTTTCACTAAACAAACAAATAGAACAAGCTGTTAGCTTAATCCTTAAATTTTCAAAATATGAAATATGATAGCATTACTAATATTTTACAAAAAAGAAGTTACTCATGTATCTTTTAGTTTTGTAAATTTCTAGTAAATATTAATGCATTGTAATGATGTAAAATACAAATCATAGCAAAATTAGAGATCTGAAAATGTATGCACACATAATCCACCAAGCATGTTACATCAGAGTTACTAACTTGCTCCGACTGCTTGAACACAACAAGAATTATGATGGATAGTATGTATTGCTTCTTTGAACTTTATATTTCTGAAAAGAAGAAATTTTATGGATAAGTCGACTTTCTCATTATTTATGGTTATGCAGCAATTATCTACGCTATTCATTTTTACAAAAGTTCATGAAGCCTTGCTAGAATAGTAACTGTTTCGCTGTGAATATTCGATGAACTAAAAAAAACTCTTTGATGCTCTTTGTAGATCGTAACCAAGTAATCCTACAATCAATCGAATTAGAACTTTGAAGAATACTTTGTCAGAATAAAATATCTCGATTCATTTTAATTACTTACATTCGATCAAAATGAGACCATTTTTTTAAAAGCCATGTTTTTGATTCAGTGTTTCTTTCAACCTATAATATAAACAAAATAAAAATCTTTGATTTTTCTAAACTAAAGAAAAAAAAAAAATAAAAGCTATTTTCCAACACCAGCTGTTAGTTGTATGTTAATATTAGCAAGAATATTCGATATGCGTAAAGACAAATAAAAATACCTTTTTTCTTGCTGATACATTCCGTCGAACATCAATTGTTATTGCTGTTTCATCATTATCATCATCGTTATCATCATTGTTCAATAAGGCAATCTCGTCTGATGAACGACGTTTTTGCTGAAAATGTTATTCGAAAAATTGTTTTGAATTTTCTTTTGTTTTTTTTTTTTTATAATTTAAATCCTTTTCTCTTCTCTCATTATATCTCTTATTAAAAACAAAATTATTCAAAAATAATAAATATATCTTACATTATTATTATGATCATCCATAATTCGATATCTATCATTTGACGAAGGTATTTCAATTTCTTCATTAACATTTACTCTACGAAAAAAAAAAAAAAATCAGATATTCTTTTTTTTTTGTCTCTTTAGAGAAAAAAAAACTCTTTGCTTTTACCGAATTTTAAGCAATTTTAAAACTGGTGCTGTTAATGTTCCATTAAATATAACAGTTAATATAACAATAATTGATGTTGTTGTATACATAAGTGAACGAGCTTCTGTTGAAACATTTCGAATAGCTAATGCAAATGCAAAAGCACCACGTAAACCAGAAAATATAATCATCATTTGCCAACGCCAACTAATTGGATCTTTACGAGTTAAATTAAGTAAAAATGATAAAAATACTACACATAATATTCGAGCTAATGCAATAGTCATCTAACAGAAACAAAAAAAAAAAAATAAATAAAATAATTTTAAAAATTAAAATCAAACTAATTTATTTTACAAGAGATAATATAATAAATCGAATATCCCATTTATGATTTGGAAATGTAAATAATGTTATACCAATATAAATAAATATGAAATTTTCAGCAAGAAAATTAAATAATTCAAATAACTAAAACAAAAAAACTAATTAATTTTTAAAAATAAAATTTCATTTATAACATACATCACGTGTTCGTTGTTTAGATTCTTGAGAGAGATTATTGAATGTATAATGTGCTTGAAATATACCACAAAAGAGTACAGCCACAATACCTATGTAATTAAATTATATTTTATATATATTATTTTAAATAGTTTATTTCATAAATAATCCGAGATGTATAATAATACTTGCAAGGACCTTTTCTTTTTTTGTAATTCACACTTAATTGTCGTCCTGAATATTTGAGATTTTTTGTTTTTTGCAATTATTTATATTTCAGCGATTAACACATCCGACATGTTTCTTAGGCAGTCTTAATCATGATCTTATAAGAATCAGGTTATAATACACTCTTACTTTTAGTGTAGCACTCGTCAAAATAGTCTTCGACTTAGATTCTATGTAATAGAATAACTCCCTTAGTGATGAACAGTTTTCGCTTTTCTCGAGCTGAGTTTTAGTATTTATTTGCATAGTTCTTTTTTCATAAAAATACAGTCAATCATAACGAAAATCTTTAAATTGAGTTTCTGAATCATTGTTGTCCTACACTAATCTTGCAGATAACTTTCTCGAAGATAAATTAATTTTATTGTTAATAAAAATCAGAATTTTTATTGAACGGTTTCTTTATTTCTATCAATTTAGAATTTAACTTATTTTTTTTTTTCATACTAGAAATTGTCTCTAGTTGAGTCTAATCATAAAATGTTCTTTTGTTTTCATTAAATTTTCTTCCGATGCATAAAGAAAACGACATTATTTTAATGATTATCGAAATAAATAGAAAACACTGATAAAACTCTTTTTTTTTCTATTCTTCATATATGTTACAGGGGAAATCAAAATCTAGGACAATTTAAAATTCCCATAAGAGGAAACCAGAATGTTAATTTCTCCCATAGGAAAACTTAAAATTACTCTAACCTTAATAATTACATTATTATTTTCGTTTATTTTTTATGAAAATTCAAAATAAATGATATCATTTTATTCATCTGTTTGTTACGTATTCACATTCAAAAAAATAATTTTTCTGATTTACATATCGTTAATCAAATAAATCTACTAAGCATTGCATTGAGATAAAGCATGTAAACCATATATTTTATCAGAGACAAACCAATTATAGAAGTATGTACGTGTTATGATAAATGTACTACAAAAATCTTATCCGTGCAAAACAAAAAAATGTTAAATGTTGCAAAAAATGTCATCAAAAAATAATATGTATGTGCAGACAACTAATTAATTTTTTTTTCAGGTAATAGCGCGTGATACACTTTGATTTGTTTGCTAGCTAATGGTTTTCATAAAATGATGTACTTTCGAAATATTATATGATAATTTTCACGGTAATAAAGCACTTGTCAACAAAACTAATGATGCATGGAGTACTACGACTAGCGTAATTTCAAAAGCTTTCTATATCAAAAAATTAAAACTTTAAATTGTACTAGATTTTAATGTATTTGTAATATATATTATATTTTGATCTTAAGTTTAGATAGACAAGGTTATTGTATTGAGAATAAGAAAAAGATCAACGCTTTGTATTTTCAAAAAAAAAAAAAAGAAAATTTATTCAAGTTTTTCTTCTATTCAATAAAGTAGATAATCATTTTTTATTTTTATATTCCATATTTGGAACGTTTTGAAGGTATTCTTATGGGGTAAAGTTAATCTCTTGGTTGTAAAATAATGAAAATAACTTTGATGGCTTCTCAATAGAAATTCTTATCATTTGAATAAGAAATTTGATCAAACAAAATGTATGTTTTTGATTACTTCATCTTGTTAAATTACAATCATTCGATATTTAATCTCAATAACAAATTCAAATTTATTTTTTTTATCTTATGAAATATTGTATTAAATAGAAACTTTCTTCCTAATATATTTAATTTCATATGATTATAATTACCTGTCAATCCTGCAGCTTCTGAAGCCAAAAATGTACTATAAGACATCAATACAAAAAGTGTTGTTTCTAATAGAGGAAAATCTCGAATATATGTAAATTTAGTCATCTAAAATAAAATAAAATTTTATTTTAAAATAAAATTTCTTAATAATCATACTAATGCTGTAAGACATCCCATGCCTGAACCAATAGCAAATGAACCAATAAATACGACGAAAAAATTACTTAATGATTTAAACATAAGACCACGATCAAATTTATCTAATATTGCACCAGCAACATATTTTTCAATTGATCTATAGAAAAAGAAAAAAGGAAAACAAATCTTAAACCCATAAAAAAACAAAAAAAAAATAATTCTTTTGCATACTGAGCGAGAACTATACAAACAGCATCATTAAGTACACTTTCACCAAATATAATTGCATAAAGATCGACATCAACATTTAAATCATTAAAAATCGCTAATACTGTTACTACGAAATAAATAATAAATCTTTAAAAACAAAACTAAAAAATATTTCATTAAAATCTTACCTGGATCAGTTGCTGATATTATAGCACCGAAATAAAGTGAATCCGTAAATGAAAAATAACTTCTTAAACTACTAAACGCACGTACAGAACCATATATCATTATTCTTAAATTATAAAAATTTATTTTTTAATATCAATAAAAAAAAAAAAAATATGAAAATACCCTGTTGATATACAAGCAATTGTTGTACCAATAAGAGCAAACATTAAAATAGCTCCAAGATTACGAAAAAAATTTTTCTATTATTTAATAAAAAAATAAATAAATAAATAAAATAAATAGCAATAATAAACATACTCTTTTCATACTATAACCAGCATGAAAAATAATCGGTGGTAAAATTATATTAAAAAATATTTCTGAATTAAACATTGCCTAAATAAACATTAAAAAAAAAAAACGAAAATAAGAATTTAATCATAATAAAAAAAAAAAACAACTTTATATTCTTCAAGAGGTATTCTATTTTTTTGATATGGTCCTTGAAATGAATATAAATATGTTGCTGACATATTTTGATCTCTATATATATACAATAAAAAAAAACATAAATAAATAAATTTTTATTATATTTAATAATATTTACTCAAAAGAGATTAAAGTCGGTACTGAATTCTTCGGTAGAGATGTCTGATTTAATCTTAATACACTTGGTTGTGTATTTGATGTACTTGTATGACGAAGAACAGCTCCAATAATAAAACCTAATAAAATAATTCTTTAATACAAAAAAAAAATATTCTTCTTTTAATATATTACCATAAATTAATGCAAGACATGTTTCATGTAGATAACGAAAATTTCGTCGTTTAAATATCCATATTGTTAGAACAACAATAACAAGAAGTGTTGTAAAAATGAGTAAATTAAGTGAATCAGCTTGATGAACATTTGCCGTTCGTTCTTCTTGATTTGATTCGATTTTTTCCGCATCTAAGCCGCTAGTTGACATTATAATATATATATTTAGAAATATATTTAGTCTGACTGTATCGGATCAATTCAATGAAATGTTCAGAAAAGAAAATGAGAAAAAAAAAGGAAATCTTTTTTTTTTTTGTAAGTTTGACTTGAAAGAATATGTACAAGATAATCTGAAATAATAAATTTCTATGTAGCATTTTCGCTAATTACTTTTCACGATACGTATAATGAAGCACATTTTTTTTTGTACCCATTTCCTTTGAATTAATAAGCATGAATGATTTATCACGATATACAAAAGGAACTTAGTTTTTCTTTTGAAAGGAAAAAAGTGATAACCAATATGAAAATAAGGATTTTTTTTTTTGCTTCACTAATGACTATTTGTTAAAAAAGAAAATTTTCATTAGAAGATCTACTAATAGATTATCCTTAAGCTCTATGTAGCAAAAAAATTCTAATCTTACCATTTATGATAAAAACATCCTGTTCACCTGCTTCAATTACATCTTTGATTGAATTATAAATATTATCCAAAAAGTTTTCTGATCTAGTAGATTGATTAAATCTTGAAAGCCCAATAGTTTTATTATTGATTGTCTCATTGTTTGTCTCGTATATCGCCATGAGAATAATATTCTTAATGTCTTTTGCAAACCGTATGGTTTCATTTAGAGGACGAAAAAAAAAAATTCGTTTCCATTGTTTTTTTTTCGCTTGCAAGAATATTATTTATCTGGTACTAATATTAGTGCAGCATATGCTACTAATCTTTTTTTTTCACTTCTACTAACTTTTAATTCAAATTTTGTTCTCATATCTTATACTGAGAGACATTTATATCTGTTTAAGATTCGATACAAAATACTTCTTATTTTTTCTGTGTAAAAAAAATGATTAATTATTATTCAAATATTCATCTCTATGAAAAGAGAAAGAAAAATATCGCCATTCGTTCCCCTATGGTATGATGGGCAGCATGAGAAAAAAAACTTTAATCATATACATCTGACAGATATATTAGGACGTTTTTTTTTCGAAAAAGGCAAAAGAATATTATCACTATTGACCTCTTATCTCGATACTTATTGTTATCATTGAACTCAGAGATCATAAACTAAAAAGTTCACTTTACTAAAAGAAAGAAAGTAATCAACATTGTTGAATAGAAGCTCTACTTAAACAGTTTATGTTTTTTTTTTTGTTTTACACAGAATTTGATAAAACGAAACAACTCATATGTATCATACACTATTAAATCGGATTTTACAATATCTACAAATCTTATTTTAGCAATTAAGTAATAAGATACTTATTTATAAATAATAAATAATAAATAATAAATAAAAACAATATGAAAATCACAAATATTGATCAACATATTCATTTTATATTTTCATAGATTAGTGCATATTCTCAAAAATAGAACTTCATCAAAATCTTTTTTCAATGAAAATTGACTAACCTTTACACATTAAACTATATCTCAAGAGAACAGCAAATGAATGTATGTAATTCACTCACTCATTCATATGAGTTGTTAGTCTTTTTTAAAGATCTTCTATTGGTCTTCTAATAAACAAGTCCTATTTAAAAAAGAAGAATATAAGCAGATTTCGCATCAGTGACATCTATTGCAAGTTGCAAATACAAAATAAAAATAAATCAAATTTTAATAACACTAATACGAGTTGTTTTAACAAGTACGGGTTGATTTCTTAATTGTTGTAATTCTTTAACTGAAGTCCATGGATCCGTAATTGTTCTTCGATCATCTCGAGCATTAGATTTTAATTTTGGTAATTTTATATCTTCTTCTTCATCAATACTTTCAACAATAGTAAAACTCATAGATGCACCCATTTTTTTTCTTGTTAATTCTTCTTGTTGATCTCGTTTGTTTATTTTTTCTAATATTTTTGCATGTTTACGAAATGATTCATCACATGATATATTTGGTAACATGGGTGTGCCTGGTGTACTATCTAATCTTGAAAATTGTACTCTACTTGATGAATCTATTCCAATAGAAGGCAACTGAGGACGTGAAACAACAACTGCATTTGTAAGATGAGCAGGAAGTGTTGCACGACGTACTTGATTATTTGTAATATTATTATTTGAACGATTGAGTAAAATAAGAAGAGAAATTTCACGAATAAATTCTCCCCAATTCATTAGAGAATTTTTTCTAATATAAATTAACTAGGACAAATTTATTTCAAGTTCAAATCTTACCTAGATGTGCCTTCCATATCCTCGTCATAGCCTAAAACGGCATCAATAAATTCGATACCATATTTTTTTCTAGAATGAAATATTTTTTTTTTTGCTTTTCTTCAATATTAAAATAATTCAATTTATAGATACTCGAGCACTTGAATAAGATCACGATGAATCTCTTTAAAATAGTCTCTTGTTATAATTATATTAGAATTATTATCAAATGTTTTTCGTGGATCTTTGAAAAATAGATTTTTTGCAATAACCAATTCTTTTGCAGTTAATTTCGATGTTAATTCAGTCTAAAAATAATTTTTTTTAGAAAACTAAACAAGAGATAATCATTTAAGGGGGAGCCCCCTCCCCCTCAGAAAAGTCAATTTTGGTCAAATTTATTGATTTTGTAATTTATAGCTCGTTAGATAAAGCAATGTATCTACTTTCAAATGCAATAAAGTTTATTGATTTAATGATAAGATTTAAGTATATTACATAGGTTTTTCTGAACTTTCATATTGAAAAAATAAGGTTTTTAAAAGCTTATTTTCCGTTTTTTGCAAAATCCATTTTTTCGAGTATATCGTTTACGCGGAGAAACCTTTCTGAATAACGAATCAATATAAAAGTAGTAACTTTTTTCTGTTATACAGCAGACACTTGAGACTAGATCCTAATAGAGCCCGATTTTTGAATTTCTCCTTTGTTTAAATAAAAAACTTAGATCTTTTATTTTAATTAGCGTTTTTTTCGCCACGAATTTGAGAATTTTTCGGAAAAGGTTTTTTAAAAATCAAACAAAGGGGAATTAAAAAATCGGGCTCTATTAGGATCTAGCGCTAAGTGTACTCTACAATTTAAAAATCATCCCGACATGCTTAGCTCATATCCTCGTTTTGAAAACATTTCCCGCGTAAAGGGTGTTTTTGGTCAATGAATTGACAATAGCTCATGAGTACCTTGGAGATTTGGGGAGATATTTTAACCAAGACTAGCATTCTCTGAAATTTTGGTTGAATTCCATGGAAAAATAAAAAAAACTTCGTTTTTGAGGGGGCTCTCCCTTAAGAAAATAACTAACTTGATCTTTAGCAGCAATAAATTTACAACTATAAAAAAGAGCAAAATCTGCCCAACAAACAACACCTTGTTGTTTTGCATCCATCAAACTAAAATATTTTTTTCCTAATTCATGATTACGTTGAATAAATAATTCAAAATCATTTGATTTGGTTTTATTTGATTTAAATGAAAGATATTCATCTAAAATAATATAACCATCTGAAACGAAAAACTTGAATTTATTGAAATTTTTTGTTTTTTCTAAAACTGAACACTTTTTAACCTTTATTTTCATCGATTTGTTCGAATGCCTGAATTAAACTATCAAGTTCATCTTGATTAAGTAATCGAGTAAGATCACTCTTAATTTAAAATAAAAAGAACAAATGTAAAATATAAATTTAAAATATTAAATAATTTACACATTCTGGACAACTCCAATCTTGTTTTGCAAGACGTGGTAAATAAAATAATTCATCATTAACATGACCACGTTCAAAAAGACATTTAGAATGATATGCTTTAGTACAAATACGACAACGAACATAATTACCAACACAAGCACCTTCACAAGATGAACATGATAATTCATATGAAATAGCAATCTTTTATAATAGCAAAAAAAAAATAAACATTATTAATTAAAATGATGTATCTATTTCAATCACATACTTGAGCTACATCCTTTTCTGTTGGCATTCGAGGCGTTTGATATGATTGTATAGGTTTTGAAATCGTTGATATTCCATGTGATGAATATTTTCTTGTTATAGATCGTTGACTAGCTAAACTAGGTGCTGCTATACCTAAATAAAAAATTCTATTAGACGAAAAACAAAAAGGATTGACAGATATTATTGTCATAAGTTACGATAAACAAAGCTCTTCAAGTATATTTATATAAAAAAAGAAATGTATGTTTGACATTCATTATTTGACATCAACATTTAAAAATACAGTGATAGTTACCCTGTTTGTAACTTAATTTCGTTCCTTGTCTAGATAAAATATTCATTGAAATATCTCGTGCGAGTTGCCATCCAGATTTCTTCATGGTGGTGGTAGTTGAAACTTGGTTTGATAAAGGAACTTGTTCAAGGTTTGTCGATGAAGAATTTTGTCTCGCTTGTTGTCTTCTTTCATCATTTAAAGTATTCATATTAAAATGATGGCTCGAACCACCTTGTTGTTCATTACCCATCTTTTTATATAAGTGTGTATATATTTATTTGGAAACTGAATAACAATGACAAGATCGATAATAATACACTTGAAATTCTTCCCTTTTTTTATTCTTTATTTTATGAGAACGATGTAAGCAGTAAATGCGAACAAGAAAATAGACGAGGGAAGAACGTGAGAGTAAGGAAGCGATAGAGACAAAGAAAAATAAGCAGTGTCAGTTTCGTTTTTCTGTTTGAAGTTTTGTCCTTCTCACTGTAACAAATATTTGTCATTTCAGTCGATTACCTCAACAAGTTGCGATAAGAATAGACACGAGAAATAAATTTTTATTCTCAATTAAATTTTTTATTCGTCAGAAAAAAAAATACATTAATAATAAACTTTTAAAAATAGTGAAAACTTTCATAATATATATATATATGATGTTATGAATAAAAGTTATGTTCTAGATAGTATTCAATTTAGAATCCGTTTTTTTTTATTTTCAGATTAATTCTGTTTAAAATAAGTAAAATAAAAATTTTATATTAAATGGTATAAAATTTTGAATATCTATTAGCGGATAATTATCATACTGTCTAAGAGACATGCATCAATATAAATATGAAGAAAACATTTGATAGTATTATCTTAAATTTGACTTAGTAACGTTTAATTTAGTTATCTTGAAGTTATCAATAACTACAAAAGATGGTCAAACTTGTGAATATGAATATGAAAGAATACATAATAAATTAGAAGAAATAGGTAAAAGAAAGTTCTATTTATTAGTAGAACTATTTCAAAGAAGAAGCATTATATTACATAATCTAAAGCATGTGAAAGATTATTTTTATGTTTTTACAATAGTTTTTAGTTTCTTGAAAAGTATTAACATTAAGAAAAATATATTATATTGTCATTAAAGATATCAGTCAATCGACTGAGCTACAAACTTTCAATATATATCAGTCAACGCTAGGACATAAAAACAGATACTAGACTATGAAAGTTTTCGATGTCTAGCATCAGCTTTTTTAGAATATTTTTGTTGAATTTCTGATTATTATATTCTCGATCATTGTATAGTCCTTTTTTTCATTTTTCAAAATGTTTTGATATTAAGAAAATTTTTAAAAAGTAATCAAAAACTTTCAACCATCGGTGACAAAAGAAAATATATGGAGTGAAATCAATCACCGCTGTCGATTAATGCATCAACTTATGCTTCTACGTGTCAAAAAATCTTTGTTATTATAACAATAATCTATGACGTAAAAGAAATTCAGTCTTTCACAATACTTAAACTCAACTTTGAATTACACATTTTTGATTTCTTAATCAATCGAATATTGACATTAATGTGTTAGAAATAGAAACTTTACAATCTTTATATTATTTTTCAGAAGTTTTTAACGAATAATTTGAATCGATTGATAATGGCTTTCGGAAAAGATACATAAAAGATATAGATGATATTGTTAATGTAAGTCCAATAGCTATACTGAGTGAAATAATGATCTGAATAAATGTTTTAGATAAATATTGACGACGATTTTCTTGAATTATTTTTTTCTGTTCGTTAATTTTCTCATACTCATTATTAATACACACAGGATCTTGTTCAAAGCAGCTACGTAATTCAATTGATTGATCATCAGATTGAATATGATATTGGTAACCAGGATGACACATTCTTGAACATGGAGACCATACGACTAAATGGTTTGTGTTACATCTTATTGAAGAGATTAACAATGAGAATATTACTATTGAGCTGAACATAATCAGAAAAAGCGCTTATATTCATTAGATCTAAATTGTCTTCTTTGTATTTTAAAACTCTTTATAATTTTTCTGAATAAACATGCTATGCTTCATGTTACTGAGATAGAACGATCAAAGCAAAGTCGATAGGTTTTTTCTGAAATCGAGTGACACATTCACTAAAATTCTATTGATATATGATCATTCAACAAAATGAAACTTTAATGTTTGATATCGACAGTGATATTTTACTTTGAGACTTTAAGAAATATTAAAAATATAACAGGTGTTCTATAATAAATGGCCAGTTTTTTTATTTCTTTTTGTCATTATCTAGTACGTTTATTTTATAGTTGCACTTGTTGTTTTCAAAATGGACAAAATTTTGAGCGACCAAATTCTGTTCGCGCGAAAATTGTTCACACAGAATTTTCCTTTTTTTTTGAAAACAATTACAATAAGCTTTACTGTGTAGATTGTAGAGCTTTTTACGCTGCATCTTGTGGTAGATGTTGTTCTTTTTACGAAGACATATTAGGTGATAAAAAGATGAAAGAAGAAAGAAAGGAAGTTGTCGTTCGTGTAGAAAAAAATGATTTTTTCGTAATGACGAAAATTGGTCGCACAGAATTTTGCTTTCTTCGAAAACAAAAAGTGCAACTAAAAAATAAGCGATCTTATATAAATTGCAGAGCTTCTCATGCTGCATCTTGTAATATATTTTGTTTTTAAAATAAACGTACTAGATGATGATAAAAAGAAATAAAAAATCGGTCATTTATTATGGGACATCCATTACTTTTATCGAGAAGAGATCGATTTATGTTGTCAATACTTTGCATGATTATGAAATACTAGATGTTATCGTTCGTCTTATATCTTTCATGTTTGAATAATAATTTTAAATTATTTTTCGATTGAATCAGAACTCAGCTAATCAACATCTCCAGGTGAAAAAAAAATCATGTAAGATCCTAGAAGGTCTTACTAACAATCGGATGTCGTTAGTGTAACGACAAAGTACAGAAGCATCATTACCATCAATATCGATACTGATGATGTTTATTGAGGCACTTCACATATAATACACGCTTAATTGCAAGAGAGCAAGAAAAAGAGGGAATAAAGAAACAAAGAAGATCAGTGGGAGCTGATATCAATATTAGTATCGTAAAATTCATATTGTATGATCTTACAAAATCGTGTAAATAGCTTACTGTAAAGTTTAAAATGTTTCATCTAGTAAGATACTCCTGTGAATTTCATATTATTCTTACTTTGAGATCCTTGCAAAATCTTATTATTCAAACCTTGTAAGATCTTAGATAATCTTACATGATTCTAGTTTTATGCTTACCCAGGTCAAAACATTAGACGTAAGACCTTTAGATCATATCTCTGATATTGTATAACCCTGTAAGATCAGACGAAATCGTACAAAAAAACGTGGTGTCTACAAAACTTACATGAAGTCTTGATTTAGTCGTCTGATCTTACAGGGTTATACAATATCACAGATCTGATCTAAAGATCTTATGTCTAATTTTTTTGACATAGGCTTATAAGATTAATGAATGATTCCCTAAGATGCTGTATACTAAATGTTCTTCTATTTTTTCATTGTCAATTGTCCTGATAGATTCACAAGTGGAAGGGAGAGAAAGATCCGCCTTCCTCATCTATCATGAAAAAAAAATATCCATTTTAAATAATAGGTTATCTTTTATTAGTTTATATACTATAGATTTTTGTTGTTGAACTGACCTATTGAATACGAATCATAAGATGATTTACAATAAAGAAATAAAGAATTTCAATCAAAAAGAATCGACTTGAATTGAATTCATTCCTAAATCGGTCTCAAATAGGAGTAACATTTTTTTCTTGTTTACTTTGACAAAATAAAGTAAGGATAATGTGCTATCCTTAATTTCAAATACAGAAATAAACAGTTAAAAGTTAGAAGTTTCGTGAATTTAATCGAATCGAAAAATGACCTGCGACGAAATTTTTTATCAGATTAACGCTACTACATAGAAGATGGCTTTTCAATTCTAAAAGATGTAGCATTTAAATTAGTATATATTTAATTGCTTAAACATTTAACTTGAATGATTTCGATTATATAGGAATATGTTGTCTTTTATTTAAAATTTTTATTTCTTTTGTTGTAGATGATACTAATGATTAATTGAATGAAGATAAGTTCTTTTCATATTGAACTATTGATTTCTTTATTTTAGATTTTTTTATCAATTAAATTAAATACAAGTAAATTTCCTTATATTACAATTATTTTATCTCTCAAACTCGATAGAAACAATTTTTTCTTGTTTTGGTTGTTATTTCCGAAGCTTGTACTTGTTTTTTCTTTAGTTTTTGTTTTTTTGATCAATGACTATATGTATATACACCATGCAAGATAAAAGTTTTTCTTAAGACAACAAATCAATAGAAGCCATAAACAGGACAAAATCAAGTATACAATGTTGTGGAATATCTTGGAAAATCATAGATGAGTCTTATAAGTTGTGACAGTAATATCCTACAAAAATTATGTACCATGATTTTATCAAAAATAATAGCTTTGAAGTTGGCATATAGAATCGGACAATATCATATACAATTTTTATATGAATTGTACAAGATCTTATAAGTCGACTTTTCTAACTGGTTCACATTATTTTTCGAAATGTTCTGATCGTCAAAACTACTATTAGAACCTTGTCTCTAAAGTACATAGTCAAAAGAATTGTTGCAACGAATATTTCATAAAAGCTTTTTCTAATAGTTGAAAATATTATCATTTCTATTTTCTATTTAAGTGTATTTTCAATAAGAAGACTATTAAAATAATTCAAAATTCAATTTCTTATTTGTATCACTTATGTCTGTGCCATTATCATTGAAAGACTAACATTCATGAATCATGGAAATATGATGATACCTAATCTGTATTCGAATATTGAATATTAATAGAGTAAATAAAGAAATTTGATCCCAAGAAACAACAAGTAGATCAGTAAGGGTAAAAGAAGACTAGACAAATATATATACGACTGCTAGAAGAGTAACTGGCTCTGCAAAAACACCAGTCAAAAATGATGAGATGTCGCTATTACCAATTTTTTCATTTGATTGTTCCTATCACAGTAATGGGTAGATCAGTACACTATCAAATGATATATGACTCAAGCCTTTTTAGCAGATTCTGCTTCTATTACACATTTTATTTGTTGTTTCAAATCAACAAGTCATATGGAACAATTT